GAATGCAACTGTTTTTTTTTTTTATTTGTTTTTTTTTTTTAGTACAAGACTGGAAGAAAGTGCTAAGTCATTTGGCACCTCCTTACAAATATTTTTCATGGTCACGTTCATTAAATGTTACTACATTTCTGAATTTTTGCAAAAATGTATTTTATCATAATAAGAATGGCATTATTTTAAAGAGTTTGAAAAATTGACATGGTCAGTTCAGAAAATGAATTGAAGTCCGAATAAGGTCATTGCATTTAAAACATATATATATACTTGATTGATGAGGAAGGTGTGACTTTCATTGTATATAGGTCTTATAATTCATAAACATATCCTGTATCTTAGAATAAAAATGTTTGTTCTATATTTGAAGTCATGCATGGTAAGGAGTGTGTTTAATTGCTATAAACAGTAATACATCATAGAAGACCATGCTGATCTAGTGTATCTAAATACTATAAATGAATTGGTTGCTATTTGGTATTGTACAGTTCACATGTTTACACACTCAGTGCCCTAATGTCCCCTGAGGGAATCGCCTTTTAAGTGGTCCTTACAGTGGTGTTTTAAGGTTACTTCATCACAGAGCTCCTTGGTTTTTGACTTCTGCACTTAAATTTTTTTTAATAACGTGATGATGATGATGATGGTACATTTTTCTCTATTGCTTCTAGCTAAGGGCTTTTAGTCCACCAGTAACTACAATCAAATGTTATTAAATGTTAATGTTGCCATTCTGTAAATATTGAATTTTTCCTGTCATTTAGCACAGTGCTGCTTCCATCTGTCTTAATGCTGGCATTAAGATCGTGAGCCCTTTTTCTCCAATAGTGCAAGCTTTGAAACTACTTTTATTAAGTTATTGATGCAATTTGATATTTTTCCATAATCTATATTTAAACAAAATTACATCATTGCATCATCTTTTCTAAATTCATCTCCATTAAAACTTGCCTTAACCTACCAGATTGCTTTTGCCACCAGTAGCCATAATGTGTGTTTGTATGTTTAATTTACTTTCACAATAAATTTATGTGTAGTGAAAACAGGGTCTTGACTTTTTATTGACATAATCCAGAAATTTCTGCTCTAATGTTTGTTATGACATGAAAATTGATTTTGTTTTTTTCTGAACAGTTCTTTCATCCTGCTTTGTAACCTTTCATAAAAAAAAACAAAAAAACAGTGGCATCTAGTGGTTATTTTACCTAATTCCAAAGAAGAACTTTCATGTTAATATCACAGTACTAATTTCCCAATGTATATTATGGTGTTCAAAATATCTGGCTTAATTTACCCACTCAATGAGATATGACTGTAGAGGGGGGGAAGAATTCTGAAAATTAAATGCAAAATTAGTGCCATCTTTTAAGCTAGTCATTTTAGCAATATATACTTAATTTGTGCTGGTGTAGTATCAGACATTCTTAGGACTTTTCTTGGCATTTTCCTATACCCCCAAATTACCTTTTTACTTTAGAAGCAATACTTAAGTTTGGTCCATATGAAAATACATACTTACTCACCATCAGACTTACTGTAAATGACAGATACCTTTAAGTGCTGGGTTGGAACCATAAAGAAAAATTGCAAAGAATGAGATTCATACTCTGAGGATTAGTTTCAAAAGTTGTTGAATCACCTCTGGAAACAGGTATTTGGATATTCTCATTTTGGGCTCTGTGGGAAAAGAAGTATCTTACTTGATATATGCTTCATTTGGCAATGAGCTTTTTTAAGCCATAAGCTGTTTCACGAATTTTCCATTGCTGCATAACACATTGCCCCCAAACTTAGGAGCTTAAAACAATAAACATCATCTTACAGGTTCTATATGTCAGAAATCTGGAAGAAGCTAAGTTCAGACCAGGCTGGTGTGGCTCAGTGGATAGAGTGCCGGCCAGCAAACCAAAGAGTACATTCCTGGGTTGCAGACCAGGTCCCCAATAGTGCACAAGAGGCAACCACACACATTGATGTTTCTCTTGTTCTTCCTTTCCCCCTCTCTAAAAATAACTTTTAAGAAATCAAAAAAAAAACAAAACCAAAAACAACAACCAAAAACTAAGTTCAGTGGTCTGGTCCAAGACTCTAAAGGTTAAAGATTCAAGTTGTCAACCTGGCCTTATAGTCATCTTAAGGCTTGACTGTGGTTGAAGGATTCCCTTGTCAAGCCCACTTACGTGGTCATTGGCTGGCCTTAGTTTCTCACAGACCATTGGATGAGAGCCCTTGATACGTTGCTAGGTAGATGTTGGGACAGCGAACCCCCTTCATGTGGTGTCTTTATAGGGCAGCTCATAGCTTGGTAGCTGTCTTCTCCCAGAGCAAGTGATCCAAGGAAGATTGCATATCCATGATGAAAGCCAGTCTTTAATAACCTAATCTTGGGTTGCCATATTCTATATGTTAGAAGTGAGTCACTTGGTCAGACCCACACTCACAGGGTGGAGTATTAAGCTTCATCTCTTGAAGGGAGGGATGTTAGAGTTTGTGGATATATTTTTAGAACCACCCCAGCTTTAGCCCTGGCCAGGTAGTTCAGTTGGTTAGAGCATTGTCCCAATACACCGAGGCTGTGGATTCGATCCCCTGTCGGCAGAAGCAAAAAGCAACAATTCATGCATAAATAAGTAGAAAAAGTTGATGTGTATCTCAAACTCAATAAATAAAATTATTTTTAAAGATACTAACTGATGTTTAGAGGGAAAGAAACATTGATGTGCCAGAGAAGCATCAATCTCCAGATCTTTAACAGGCCCCCAACTGGAGACCAGGAACCAGGGCCCAGGCTGCATCCCAGGCACCCATTTACCTACAAGTCAGACACTCATAAACGCAGTCCTCCAGACACATCTTTGAGGTATGATAATTTTATTTTAAAGATTTTACTTATTTTTAGAGAGAGGGTAAGGGAGAGGAAGAGAGAAACATTGGTGCGCAAGAGAAATGTCAATTGGCTGCCTGATGCAGGCCCCCAACTGGGGGCCTGGCCTGAAACCCAGGCATGTGCCCTGACTGGGAATAGAATCAGCTGTCTGGTTTGCAGGCCTGCACGCAATCCACTGAGCCACACAAGCCAGGACTGAGGTATGATTATTTTACAAATGAGGAAACAAAGGCATGGAGAAGTGATTGTGGAGAACTTGCGCAAGGCACAAATTAAATGGCAGAACTGGGATTCAAACTCCTAACCCATGTGCTTAACCACTATCTGGCATGAGCCTGTCCGTCCAATTTTTTTGGCTCAGACTGCCTTGACTGCCTGTGCTCCCTGAATACACTCTTATCAGTCCACCAGCACCAAGTTCAATGTTTCTGAACATCCCCACCCTCCATCTGGAGGAGGGGTTCTGACATACTCCCAAATTGGTCTACTTCCCTGAGGCACCTCCTGCTTCTACTCTGTGTACCAACCTTTGGTCTATGGCCTCCTCCCAGACCACATTCCCAAAGCTGTCAAAATGACAAAAATCTGGGTGGATCACACTTAAGCGAAAGGTTGAGGGATAGCACAACAAGCGAAGATAACCTTTTGTTGACTGACGTTCACAGAAACCTATCTGCCTACTAACCCAACGGGGGCCTCTCCAACCTGGTTCTTCCTGCTTCTTGGGTTTTTCCAAACTAAAAATCCTTTTAACATTGTTAGAGTGAGTGTGGCTTTCTCTTTCTTTGTCTTTGTCTCCCATACGCCACCCAGCCTGCCCCACCCTACTTTGTTTACCAGAAATAAGTCCGTCCAAATGTTTTTTGAATAGAAGAACGATTCCTTGTCTGATTGGATTTGAGTTCAATTCAGACATTTTAATTTTACTAAAATTATTCCTAACCAACCTTAGAAGTCCCGCCCGTCCCGCCCCGTCCCCCGTAAACCCCCCCGCCCACCCCCGTCTTCTTACCTTGCCATTAGGCCAGCAGCCCAACTAACTTTTCGTAAGCACAAAAGCCCTACCTGTAGGAGCACTAGGAATGTTTTTAAACCTTCGAGGGGCAATGCAAAAGAAAGAACTTGGGTTCTACCACCTAGGACCACAAGACCTCTTTAACCTGCCTGGGCCTCATTTTTTCGCTTATGAATGAGTTACAAGCTTTCGTCTCAAAGTGATTGTGAGAATCCGTAGAGGCCTAAGTCCAGTAGAGACCTGGTTGACTTTTAGCTTTGGCACGGGCCAAAAGCTCAGGCTGAACAGGTTAAAAAGAGTCCCCTCCTTCGACTTGTAGATGGAGAAACTGAGGCACAAAGAGCAATAGAGGTTTGGTTTAGACCACACAGTGTTGGAGGCAAAGCTAGCCCTGGCTTGAGTCTGAGTTGGAGAGGAATTGCGCACATCTCTTGCGGTCAGCCGGGAGGCCCAGGCTGGCTCCTTCTCCCTCCATCTATTGCTCTCCCCACAACTCCTGCCCGACCACCACCTACACAATCTAGAATCGGGTATTATAAATGGAGCACACTCCTCACTCGCTTTGAGTTCAACCCGAGCTCCAGGAGCGGCTGGGTAGGGAAGGAGCCTCACTATAGGACAATTAGAGGCAGCTGCCGCCGGCGTCAGTCTCCGCCCAAACCCGGGATTGGTGTGCGCCCGCAGGCCCTGGGGCTCCGCGTCCTTCCTCCCTGCTGGGCCTCAGAAGGAGCGCCTTCGGAACTCGCCTTTTGCTCCCATTGAATGTGCGTGACGTGCGTGTAGACAGCGGATGGGGGTGGTATAACCATGTCACATATTGTGTTGCATGGCGTACACATCCTTGTTTAGACGCGTGAAACGTGTGCGACGCGGTGCGCAGAAGTGCAGATTGACCGAGTACAGGGTTCCTTATCCCAGCTCTTCCTGAGGCTACTTCTCCGGCCTCCTTCAGCCTTGCCGGGACTGTCAAAGGAGCCTGACCCGGAGTTTGCGCATGCGCGACTCCGCCTTAGGCTCCTCCCCTACGACTGAAATCCCTCCTTCGCCCCCGCCCTCGCCACACTTTACGGCCCGGCACGCCACTTTTGCTGCAGACGCTGCCGCCGCTGCCGCTACCCCTACTACCGCGGCTGCTGCTGGTGAGGTGAGGTGAAGTGAGCTGAGGTGTGGTGTGGTGTTTGGGCCGGTGCTTCCGGTGACCTGGGAGGAGTTGGGGAACAGGACCTCCGAGGGACAGCGGCAACGACGGGCCAGCTGCTGCTTTGTCTCCTCAGCTCCGGTCCCGTCTGCGCTGCCGCAGGGAGGCCGCCCCGGCCCGGCGAGCCGAACCAATGCTGGATCTGGAGGTGGTCCCCGAACGCTCTCTGGGGAACGAGCAATGGGAATTCACGCTGGGTAAGTGTGGGGGTCCTTCCTCAAGACCCTGTTCGCCGGTCCCTACTTCCCTCCGGCCCTTGCCGCCTCTGGTCTCTGATCCCTCACTCACCTGGGCCCGCGGCTCTTCGCCTCTTCCGTCCTTTTGGCTTTTGGGGGTCCAGGCACTAGATGCGCGCTCCAACCGGCCCGACCTGCCAGTCTGTCTCTCAACTGGGCCCTGACGCTCTCGCCTCAGGCCTCAACAGGGCCCCTCCCGGGGCAGTGGTACGGTAGTAATAACAGTGACTGACACGCCCCAAACACTCCAGGCCAAGCGTTGCTGTCTGGTGCGTAATTATCTTTAGTCGTCCTTCTGGGGATTTAAAGGTGGATACTATTGTTATTCGTATTCCCATTTTGCAGTTGATATAGCTGAGAAGTGACTGAAGCACTTCGACGCCACAGCAGTCTGCCTCTCTCTGCATTTCTGGGCTAGGGGTTGTCTCTTCGGAGTGGGAAACCTAGGCTCCCGTCCCATAATCAGATGTTGGGGATCTGGTCAGAGGATTTGAAGAGAGCTTTGTATGTTAAAGGAACTTCTGACTTGTTTCCTTCTCTTTTTTAATGTGGTCAATGTGTGGCGTAATCCTAAACCCAGACCTTAGTTGAGAATGAAGTAGGAGTTCAGGGAAAGTAACATTTAGTTTGTAGAAAATGCAGTTTGGTAATTTTTTTTGTTTTTTGGGCCCAGTTTTCCTCATCCCCAGCGTCACTCCCTTCTGTGTACAAATATTTGCTTTCAGTAACCCCAGTTTGTGTTTACTTTGATGTTCGGGCACTAGGAAAGGGGGTTGGCAAGCTAGTGTCAGTGTTGTTTGTTTGTACAGGCCTGAACTTTTGTCACACTAAGTTAGGCTACTGGACTGAGTTAGCTGCACAGCTGGGCTGTAACTTATCTTTGAATCAGGAAGACTGATATCTATGGAGAAAGAGTAGGTTAGAAACGGGGTAAACTTTTAGCTGGTGTGAAGCAACCAGAGCTTGATTGGGTGGCTAGTGATATCTTTGCCTCCAGGCCCATTCTTCATGCTGGCTGTTTGGCTTCTAGTTAGGAAAGAACCTCCTCACCCACAGCTTCTGCTCATACCAGGATTTAACAGGGCAAGTTGAGAACTACAACCATAGCTTCAAACTCTGCTTGACATTGCAACTAAGTTGTGGTACAGTCTTGGCCAAAAGTAGTGATTAGGATATCAGTTGAGACCAAGATTTCCAAAAAACTACATGGGAGAGCAAGGCTGCTTCTGTCAACTGTTGTTTTTGATAACTTCACTCCCTCATTTAACTTTGCCAGTTTCCAGAAAGGTTTGGGTCGTTCTTTCAAACTGTCTTAAGTAGCAACCAAAAACAGTGAAAAGAGCATTTCTGTACAGTGGGTCCAGAATTGAACTTTGGTGGAAAGCCCTTAAAGGGGGCCTGAGCCTTGATGTTTCCTTTGTGGGTCTTAAAAATCCACATTTTAAAATCATGTTTGCCTCAGAGATGGTGGTCATTTAACTTCCTCAGGCTTAAAATAAAATTATTTTTTCCTCTTAATCTTCCCCCTAACCCTCACACGTCTAAACTGCAGTTGGAGCTGATAGGTAGGGCTAGGTCTGAGAAGTGGATCTTTGCTTTAGAATTACATTCCAGGCTAGAGAACCAGGCAGTGCCTAATTCAAGTCACCACAGCCAGGTGAGGCTCAGGATGGTAGAGATGATAAAAAGTACTGGACAGGGATTTCTTGCTTCCCACTGCTCTCTACCCTTCTGAGGATGGGCTCAGCTTTATCACCAGGTTTCTTTTTGGAATCTCTGCTAATGCAAATGTATCTAGATCTTGCCATCATCTGGCATCATAATGGGGAGCTGCGTCCAACTTCTTGGCTGCTTTCCTGGCCTTTGTTTGATGGTGGGAGATTAGAGAAATGCCAGCAACAACAGGGACAGGAAACCTAGGACAAGAGGAATCTCTGAGAATGCCACTGATGGCTTGATGAGTGGTGGAGTAAAGGCAGTGCAAATTTAAAATGTGTTCAGTGAGATTTGCAGAATGCATTGGTGTGGGAGGTATGTCTCTGAATTTTGGGGGGGTTTTTTTGTTTTGTTTTTGTTTGTTTGCTTGTTTGTTTAATTGATGTTAAATGCCCACAGAGGATAAATTTAAAGGATCAGTGGAGAATGGCATTCTTTGAGTTTACCTTGTTTCAGAGAGACTAAAAGCTCACTTTATTGAAGGCAGCATGTACCTCTACGGACTTTGCTTACAAATGATGAAAAGTGAATAGTCAATCAGTCCTGCCCTGAAGGGTTTAGTCTAGTGGGAAGGAAGGGTTAGAGAAATAGTGCATTTTATTGTAATGAGGTAGAGGTTGTATAGGGTGCTATGGAAGGGGAGAAGGGATTTTATCTAGGGGATTCAGGGAAGGCTTCTTATCAACCTACAGGAGCCAGTACCATTCCTGGAGCAAGTGAATGCAAGATAAGTAGATTCCTGGTAGGAAGGCCTTATAAGAAGGCTACTGCCAGATTTCTCATCCAAACTGTCTCCATCTAGTTAAAAATGAAAATAGTGGGAAGGAAAGATGGTAGGTAGGGAACTGTAAACAATTGGGTATTGTAATTAGAGCGTGATGTACTGATGGAAGAAGAAAATAGGTTCCCTATATTCCCAGTTCTCTTTCGTAGTAGTGGCAGGGGACATCATCAAGGAGTTTCTGGGTTCACTGGAAAAGAGGATATCTTTAGTCAAGTGTGTTATAGGCATGGGTTTAGGAATAAAGTTTGGAGACTATTAGATTTGGAGATAAGGGGGAGGAGGAGGAATCCAGAGTTTTCTGGCTCAAGTGACTGGGTAGATGTTAGAGGTCAGAATACAGAGAAGCTAGACTGAAGAGAGTAGTGAATGACATAGTGTTTTTGAATTGTCTGGAACTTTGTTTTAAATTTTCTCTCTGTATGTGTCTTCTTGTTTGGAATACAATGGACTCTGAAAACAGACTTTTTGGTGTTCCCTGTGATTTCCTGGAAATTTTGAGAGGCTGTTGGGATTTCGATTTTTTAAATAGGTGCACATATAAATCTGTTTATAATGGGCCATGAGTTAAAAAATCAAGTGTTAAGATTTAGAAGATATTTGTGAGTAGGTAAGTAAGGATAAGTAGATAAGTTGGTGAAAATCCTTGGTAAAATAAGTTGATTCTGGTAGGTGTGTGATTTTTTTTAACTCTTTTATTTTTTGGTTTTTAACTCTTAATGAGCCCTGACAAGCCATGTGTTTCTACAGACTCCCATTTGAGAGATGAGGAGACAGATGCCACAAAGGAAGGGAGGAAGGAACAGTCCTAGGATATATGTAGTCCATGGCAGAGTGAGAAACAGACTCTTGGTCTCTAGAGTCATGCAGTCAGTGCTTTCTCACTCTGTTTTTTGGTTTATGCTGACTTTGCTATCTCAAAGTTCTTTGACTGCTTAGGATCAGCTTGAAAGTCCTGTTTTCAGAAACATTTTTTTGTGTATTAACTCCCTTTGCAATTTAGCTATAAAGTGCTTGTTGCTAACGTTCTAGCTCTTACTGCTTATTGAGTTTTGATTTTCCACTCCAGGCTTTACTGCAGGGACTGATGCCTAGCACAGTGGTAGATGTCAGTAAATGGACAGCCCAGGTAACCCATGCAGATGCCCTTGCTTTATTTCAGGAATGCCTCTGGCTCAAGCGGTAGCCATTCTTCAGAAGCACTGTCGCATCGTCAAAAATGTCCAGGTTCTCTACAGTGAACAGGTGAGTGGTAGCTGATTTGCTTACTGAAAAAATAGCATCCTCATCAGTGACCTCCGGAGGTTGATGATCTGGGAGAGTCTGACTGGCAGGAATTGTTGGATCAGTATGTTCGAATGGGAGAATTTTCAACACTAGTCAGTTACCAAGCACTTTTTTCTTTAATTCCAAAACTTTTGGTCTTGATGATCTAGTGCTGCCAGGTTTTGAAGAGCAATAATAACGAAACTTGGTTGTTTTGTTTTTTTGTTTTTTTAATGTTTTACTTACATACTGGCCCTTTGACGGAGACTTTTAGGTGGGAGGTAACCTCAGGGACTATTGCGTCTTCTAGGGTGCTTGCTTTCTATTTTTGAGTTTAAAATATTCTTCCCTGCTTTGTTGGTTGCTTTGGTTTGTGTTCAGGATTGTTGTAGTGCGGATCTAGCTAGGAGAGCATCACATGCTTGAAGTGGGTATACCTTACCCCTTTAGTGAGAAAGATCTGATACATGGAAATTGGAAAATATTGGCATCCAATTAATGGACATATTTTATCCTTTTTTTTTTTTTTTTTTTTTTTGGTCCAACTTATAGCAGTCTCTATTAGAGGTTGGTCAATTGTGTCAGGAATTAACCCCTATAGTATAATGTTAGATGTACCATTTTCAGTTTCCAGAAGACCTTCCTGAACATTAGAATTTTTAAAATAATACTTTGGTTTTTTAGGTAAGTAAAGTTAGAAACTATTTTTCATAGGCCTTTATAAATAGAATTCTCTCTCTCAAAAATTCAATCTCCCTTCCACTGAATTTTCTGAAACCTGTGGTTCTTCTATGACACGGACCATAAGCTGCCATATGGCCTTTGTGGTGCTGTGTGTGTCACCGACCTTAGGGATCAGTTTTGAGCCTCCACAGGCTACAGGCTGTCCTCAAGTGGCTTTTCTGAGACCTTGTAAGTACCAGTTTAAAGATTTTAGTTGCATTTGTTCCAGTTAGTTTCATATCCTAAAGCATATGATAGGTTATTTTTGACATGTAGTATTAGAAGTGGGTGAGATTTCTGTGAGCCTCTCCAGTTTCACTTAGTGTCAGAGTTGAGCCTGTTACCTATACCCAGAAATTGTATTCGTACTGTACCCCTCTGCATCTTCAAGCAAGTGCCTGGATATTCTTGTACCTACCACAAAACAAGTGATTTGTAGGAGCAGATGGGCTCCTTGAGCCACAGAGCCAAAATGACCTGAAAGTGGAGGATGGTAGTTTTTCCTCTTTGTTGCACTCAGATCATTTGTAACCTAATCTGACTTTCAGTGTTGGACCATGAGAGAATTACTCATCACAGGTAGCAGCCATCAAAACAGGAAGCAGATCAAGAAAATGGACTTGCTTCTTGAGCTTGTAGATAGCTTGCAGGTTAAGTTAAATCAGATTTCGGTACCCCAAGATTAGATGCATTTGGAAATAGGCTTTGAATATTCTTAACCAATTTTTAAGAATGTGTTATATTTTTTATATCACTATCTTTGTCTGTCATTCCAGTTTTAGGGTACAAATAGTTTCAGCATTAAACTAATTTTCCTGAATACCTTCTAAGCATCTGGAATCAGCTGGAAAACATGGGTTTAATAATTAGTCTGGTTCTTCTGTGAAATGGATATAGTTTTCTTATTTTAATCATCTTTTGATGAGATGAAGAGGAGATGGTCTCTCAGAACTCTTATATGGTGCTTCCTACCGGTGGTTCTTTCCTCTTCTGCTCTCCCTCCCTTCCTTTCCTATTTGTCTCTTTGCTTCCTGTCAAGTGCAGAGAATAGTTTGGTCCATTAAACATTTCAGAAATATCTTGTCTCCAGCAAATCACACCTTGGAAATTAAATGTGCATATCAAGTAGGTCCCATCTTTCTTAGAGGTAGAAGATGTTAACTTGCAACAGACAGCTTAACTGAATTGTTTCATGTGCAGGACTGCATAGTGCTGGGTGATTGGTAGGGCCTGCTTAAACACCACATAGTATGTGTGTATTTTGGTTCTGGAGATACAATGTACTAATAAAACATTGATTGCGAGGATGGTTTATTTGCTTTTTTAAAATTGCTTAGTTTTATGTCCTGCATTATAACAATTCTAGGGGGAAAAAAATGATCAGTTCTTGGGAGAGTGTAAAAAAAATCCAGATCCTTTTTCAGCATTCTTCCTCCAAGACAGGATCTTGAGATGCAAAAACCTGCTTACCCCTATGGAATGGCCCTGTCAGAAATGGAACTGTTTGTTCTGAGTTGAGAATAAGGTCAGGGTTCATTAGTTCATTATCTTGCTTAAGACCTAGTGGTTTAGACATTCGTGTGACATTCTTTTGGTGTTTGCCAGGCATGAAGGTGCCACCATGGCCTTGGGAAGATCAGTGGGGTAGAGGGAAGCACACAGTCTGAACTAATCCCAGAATTCTTTGGAGAGAATTTTTCTAGTAAGGCCCATACCAGTAGGGGTACAGTCTTTTTCTCTGACATTCACACCTTCATCATTCACTCCTTGATTTGAGAAGCTCTATAAAATAACTTCTCTAAGTTCTTTTGAGAGCTGTGTGCCAGTTTCAAGAAAGGACAACCTGGTTAGAGCTGTGAAGTCTTCAGATGTTGAGTCCTCGAATTGATTGCATTGGATCAGAAGTAGGCAGGCGGGGCCAACATGAGGAATGAGTGCAGTGTGCTGTGCTGGGTGCTTAATGATGTACTACCTATCCTTACAATAACCCTGGAGGGAAGGGATGGTGGCATTCCCATGAAGAAACTAGAGCTCAGAGAATTGAGAGTCACTTAAGGTCGCCAGCTCACCTGGACTCACAGCCAGCTCTGTCCACTACTCTGTGCTGCTACTCCCCTCCCCCTAGGACTCAGAAGGGACAAATGTCGAAATATGAGTCCTTAGATCTTAGACTTGGGCCCTTCAGAAAGAAGCACATGTGAGATGGGATGGTTGAGGGAGGGAAGGAAAGGGTGAGTGTCACCTCATACATAATCTTGGAATATAGCCTAAAAAATTCAAAGAGTAAAATGTGTTCTCTGTGAATGTACAGCCTGGGAATCAACAGGCATAGGTGCAGCCCACATGCATCAAGTGTTACCTGCTGTGTTTGGATCCTTGTGAGACTTTTTCATGTGGCCTGCATTCCTCATGAGCTGCTCTGTAGGTTTGACAACTGTAAACCCATGTTACACGTGTGGACCGTAGACCCTCAAAAGAAAGTGGTCTTTATACTCACATAATTTTGGCCCTTTCCCCCCCGCCAAGATAGTATTACTCAAAGCCTGGATAAGAGAGGCTTTTTTCGGCCAATATTTTAAAGTAGCAGCTGTAGGCTGGAAATAGAGCACACTGTGCATTTATGCAATAGTTTGTCTCTGGCTTCCAAACCTTGTTAGTTGGGGGAGGGAGTGACTGTTTGCATTTAGATATTCTCTGTGTGTTGCCTTTATAATGTAAGGCCTTTAGTTGGTGCTGGTAAGTAATTAAGTGTTCAGAGTGTGTGTTTGTGTTTTTTTTTTTATTTCGTAGTCTCCTCTAAGCCATGACCTCATCCTTAACCTGACTCAGGACGGGATCAAACTACTGTTTGATGCTTTCAATCAGAGACTTAAGGTAACTAAAGTTTCATGTCAGGCTGATTAATATGTGCTACTGTGAAATAGTTTTCAAAATGCCTAAGTGGGAGTAGACTTTTGTGATGCAGAGACCACCAAGATGGAAGGGACTGAAGCCATTCCTGTTTCTCTAAAAAGAGAGAAACTGGGTCTGGTAGTTGGAAAGATTCTGGGAAGGACTCTAGTATCACAGGCTCTAGAGGTGAAGGGGAAAGAGTATTGAGTATTTGGGGAATATGTTATGGGAAGGGGGCTTTTATATTGAATTGGAAAGCGAGAGGAGGTAAGTGTATAGCATAGGTTATCCCAAGTCTTTAAAAAGTGGTCCTAACTGCAGAATAGGACCAAAAGATGTTAGTTAGATTTATGTATCTTGTTTTACATCATTCTTGAGTCAAATAATATGACTTAGAAGGTGAAAATTGGAGCTGTTCTTCCTAAAATGCTGTGGCTTAACACCACCAGCAATGAGTTGATTCTTTAACTCCTTTAACAAAATGTAATCAAACAACTTGCTGGTATGTAGGGTTGTCTTAATTGGTGTTCAAGTGCAATTTACTAACACCTGTTTCAGTCCAGGATGTTTATAATAAACTATTTACAAATGCCTGGGTTTCACAGATTAGTCATGTGACAAGACTCATGCCTCAGAGTCACAAGATTGAATGTGGCTCTGGGCAGTGACATGCCAGAGCTGTCATTCCTGTTAGGGTATGGAGTTACCTTTCCAAAAGACTTGGATGCTTCCTTGTTCTCGACATCCCATCACAAGTGGGCTGCTGAGGAGACAAGGTAGAACATGGGAAAAGAATCTGTGTATGAGAATTCCTCATTTATGTTGGTTTTCAAAAGCAGGGTTTGATGTGAAACTTCCCTCACTGACCGGAGGTTTCACACTGGGAAAAAGTAGAGGATGGATGGCCTTCAATCTGAGTTCCTCACAAATTGGGGGAAATTAATCTTGACACACCTTTAGAAAGAGTCATTTGCCATTGACTTGGTAAATTCACTTTAGGAAACATAACTTTAAAAGGTTATGGGGAAGTTAATGTTGCCAGATGTTTATAGCAGGGCTTTTCATAGTAATGAAAAGGTGGTAGTAACCTAAGTAGACAACTAAAGTGGGGATGGCTAGGCAGCCCATCATAGAATCACAGCATGGTGAGGACAAAATCATTTATTTAACGAGCACCTGATACATGGCTGAGGGCTTCCCATGCATTTCTTAATTTAATCTTAAAAATCCTGTGAGTGGTGGTGTTTACCAGTGAGACAGTTGAGGGAGAGAGGATGAGTGGTCTGCCTGATCAAGCTTTTAACTGTCTATTACCAGTGTGTGGAGACTAGCCACTGAGAACTGGAATGGGTTAAGCTCTGTTGTTGGTTGTGGGAAATGTGATAAAAGCTGAAGAAAATAGTGTGTGTACCTTATGCATAAATATGAGGAATGGGAAGTACGTTAGACTGGGGGGAAAGGTCAAAAAGTCTTTACCTCCCTACCCTGACTGGTGTGGCTCAATGGATCTGGCATCATCCCACAAACCAAAAAGTCCAGGTTTGATTCCTGGTCAAGGAGAGACAACCAATGATGTTTCTTTCCTTTCTTTCACCCTCCCATCCCCTCTCTCTAAAAATAAATAAATAAAATCTTTTTTGTTTTAAGTCTACCTCTGTGTGACCTTAGTGAGAAGGAGGAACTAGGGCCCTGCTTGAGCCGCTGGAAACTGAGGAAGTGATCTGTCAGGTGCCCTTGCTTGGCACCAGGTCTGATCTGACCCATCTGCCCGCCCCCTCCATCCAGGGGCTTCAGAATCTACCTCTCACCCATGCTGTCTGCTGCAGCTTTCCCATTCCCTCACTGCCTGTGAGTGAACTCTGTGGAATGAGACTTCACAAGTCACAACCTTTACAGCCACCTGTCTTTTCCTTTCCTTTCTTGGCTGCTGCCATGTCTCCTCCTCTCTGGCAAAATCAAATCCTTTTTCAGCCCAGAGAGTAGAAAATCATGGACTGTAGACTTCTCCCAGTTGCTTGTTATTGGGGTCCAGCAAGCTCCATGGACTAAAACCTGCTCGTAGATTCTCCTGGTGACACAGAGGACTCACAGATGGTGAGCACTCTGGATCCCTTGCCACAAGTGCCACCTTGTCATTAACCCTGGTCCACTGGGCAGGCAGTGTTGAAGCACCTGTAAGTGTTGGTCTGAGCTGCAGCAGGTTGGGTGACAGTGACATAGGAGGAATATTCTGGAGGCTCACCCCCACGGGGTGAGTGGTGGGAAGCCCTTGAAGGTGCCATTGGCTAGCTGTAGTGGTAGTGATGAGAAAGACAGAGTGCCTGCCTCTGCTGTATGAGCAGGGTTCTGGCTGAAGGTTGAGGTCCTCTTTTAACATGGGGTCCAGGCCTTAGTGAAGTGGCATACCAGTTTGACATGATAGACTGCCATGCCCAGGCTTTCTGAAGGGGACACTAGGTACCTTATGGATCACAGCTATTCCCCTGCCCTTTCTTGCATGACCTCTATTGGCACCTGTTGCTTTCGAGCTTCGTGTTGCCCTCGGCTAGCTTCATACCAGACTGACTTGCCTGACATATTGAGTACCTCCCCTTTGTAAACTAATAAGCCAGACATCAGGGGCCTTAACTCAGTGAGACCAGTGGAGAGCATACAGAAGTAGTGTAGGAAAGGGTTCATTCAAGTGCTGTAATGGCCCAGCAGAGATAGTGATTTTTAGTAGCAGGCAGGATCAGAATAGCTGTAGTTAACAGGTGTCTGCCCAACTTGTAAATTCAGTGTTATGATCTGTAAACAAAGTTAGAGACAAGGTCTGGCCAAGAATGAATTACCTATTACGTGTCAGTTTCTGTGACAAAGCCAGATGTTCCTATGCCCAATTCACCACAGCCCCTTCCAGGGTCAGATCCAGATTGTCATCACAGACATAGTACCAGCCCTGCTCGTACTTTTAAAATGAGGCCCAAGACCTTCCAGCTTGAGGATGATGGATGGTACTCCAGGTTCCAGCCAGCCATCCTGCTAGCTGCCAAGCAAGCCCTTGACACCATTGACAGAAAGGACTTTGTAGTGCTTATTTCTTGTCACCATTAGTGGTTGAGTGTTCAGTAGCTTTTCCTTTGTCTCTACCCTGAATTCTGGGCGCTTCATTTGAGGCCAAACCCACTGAAACTCTACCAGTGTCCTGAGGTTCTCCAGGTTCAACCAGATGCCCTTCCTTAAGGCTATACTAAATACTGTCACAGTTGTTCTAACCTAATGTATTGTGACATTTTCTAGCAGGATAGACCTCTCCCTCCATCTTTTTGCTTTGTAAACCACAGTATTTTGAAGCTATTTTTGAAGTCGACTTGATTTGGGTCTTTATAATACAGCAGAGTGTTGACTAGAAGGAAGGGGGCTCGGTCAAGGTTAACAGCCTTAATGAACTGCATGAATTTGTTTTTATGAAGGGGTTCACTGTCCAGTAGGGGTGGTATGTGCAGTCTTCTCTGTGACCTAACAGTAGATGAGGTACAAGAACTTTGACCCAGAGCATCCATGGACATCTGTTGAACAATCCACTGGAAGAGGAGGATGAAGAAGTTATGCTCTGTGTGTGGTGTGGGTTTTTCTTCCAGATTTAAAGAGCTAAAGGTAATGTGCGGTGCTTCAGAAGGGCTTCAGCTAGTGATAAATTTTTTTTCTTCACTATTCTATAAATGACTTCTTATTAATCTTCAACTACAGAGCAATAACAGCACTTATACTTTGTTTTTTTAGGTGATTGAAGTATATGACTTGACTAAAGTAAAGTTAAAATATTGGTGAGTTTTCTCCCTTGCTGGTATGTCACAAGCTTGGTACAAGTGGGCTTTATCTATACACATTACATTAGTAAAGGAATGCCATCCATAGCGTTCCTGGGATTAGAGCCTGGTGCCATGATTTCCTCAGGCAGCCTTCAAGTCTACTCAGTTTCCACAAAAAGAAAAGCAAACCTTATTAGAAAATGCTGTGTGTAAAAAACTTTACGTATATGTCACCTTATTTAATCCTCACAACAAAGCAAGACGTCTGCTCAGGTGACGTGACTGTCTCTTGAGTCTCAGCTGTCCTCACCTATACAGCATCTTTTGGCACCTCTTTATGCTTTCATTAGCAGCAGAATTGGAACAGTCCAGACAGATCTGACACTGAAACCTTTGCTGAAGAAGCTACCGAAAGGACTGCTATTTGGGGGCCAAAATCTGCTTTTTAGGATGCGGCCTGTGTGGTGCACAAATATTTGTCCCTCATGATGGCAAGGCACTGTTCTAGCATCTAGAGTGCTCTGTCCAGTAAGTTTCCAAGGTCTGGATGCCCTAGGCTTGAGTTATGTGTTCATGATTTTATTAACCTTTGTGACCTTGGGCAAGTCACTTAACCTCTTTGAACTTGTTTTTTCATCAAAGAAATGAAACCAATAGTGTAATGGCTGTGTTAGGAAGATTGCATGAGATAATGCTGGTAAATAAAGCACATAGCAGTGTCTGGTTAAAACAGAGGTGTTCCATATAGGATCCTAATTTTCTAAAAAAATCATTCTTAACCTTGAAGCATTATCCTTAAAGTCATAAATGTCTTATGTTCATGCTTATCTGAAATCATTTGCCCCTCTTTGCTCCCAAGCCCCACCCCCAAGGTGTTTTTCCTTTGTATGAGATCCATCCCTCCCCCACTTACCTACCCAGTCATCTTCCTGTTAAGAAAACATGCTGCCTTGCTTGGCCACCCCCTTCTTTTAAGATGTTCATCCCTTTTTAGGAAAATTCCTTTTTCAAGCCAGCTACTAGTAGGCACCCTGGGGAAAACATTAACACTATTCCTGAGGCCACTCTTTAATCTAAGTTTGGATGTCATGGGGCTCAGACTGGATTTTTCTCCTTCTGAACTGTACGTGGTAGCCACAAATGTCTTGGGAGGCCCTAGAGGACTAGTACTGTATATAAACCTCAGGAAAATTGACTTGTTCTGACCTCATTAATTGTCTCTTATTTAAAAGTTCTTTAATTAAACTTTTATTTTGATATAATTATGGATTCACCCACCTGTGTTTTAAGAATAACTCTTCCAGCCACCATCTCCAATGATCTGTGAGCCCATCCTGGGAAGCCTGGTATTAAAAAATGTCTTTGTTTTTCAGTGGAGTACATTTTAACTCTCAGGCCATAGCTCCCACCATTGAGCAGATTGACCAGTCTTTTGGTGCAACCCATCCTGGAGGTAAGCCAAGTCCATCTGATTCCTCTGGTCACCTGTGTCAGCCCATAGTGATAGACCTGGCACATGGTACCATCCCAGCTGCAAGCCCCTGAAGCCTGATTCCTATAGTATGTGGGGGTTGGTACTTGGATATGAAGGGAAACTCCTCCCCTTTGTTTTTACCCTGGCAGGTCAGTTCAGAAATGAGACACAAGGAAGGTGTTGCCAGTCATTACTCCCTGCCAGGCTGGTTTGTGTTTGCAGCTTCCGATGCCATTCAGCATGCCATTTTCTTCTCCCCATTCTCACAGTGTACAACTCTGCTGAGCAGCTCTTCCACCTCAACTTCAGAGGACTGTCTTTCTCTTTTCAGTTAGACTCATGGACTGAGGCTCCCAAGTATGAGGTTAGTCCTTCCCTTTCCCTGGTATTTGTTGCCTGGTGCCCACATTATATGGGTCAGCAGATGATGCTATTAAGAGAGACTAGATAGGTACCCTTTCTTTGGTTGCCTTGTCTCTGAGGTCTTCAGGGGCCAAGGAGGTCGAGTGGGTAGGGTTGACAGGAAGAACAAAGCCTAAGCCAGCATTCCCAGGAAGTGGGCACTTCCAACTGAGGTTAAACTCACTTCTCAGAGAGTAATCCAGTCATACCTTGCTTTAAAATGCCTAATGACTAGGCCATTTTTCTTGATGACCTAGAATTTGAGAGTTTATCCTGGATTTTAGGTTACCTATTGTTTTTAGAAAAATGTTTCATTCATCTTTAGGCAACAACATCCTTAGGGTTATAAAATGATAGCTTTTCATAAGGCTTACATGTTATTAAACGGGGCATTCTTGCATTTTTCTCCCTGATGAAAGAAAGAAGAGAAAAAATAAAGTAAAATTATAGATGAACTTGCGTGGTTGGCGTGAGTTTATTGACCTAGAGCCAGATTTAACTGTGTGCTTTGACCTGGCTGGTTCATGAAGACCGTCTAAATGTTGGGGACATGCCAGAACCTGAGTCACATGGCCTGCAGTGTGCCCTTAATAAACCTTTGTTCTGCATTTGCAGCCCAATTTTGCCCATGGTCTAGCTTCTCTCCAGATACCCCACGGAGCAACTGTGAAACGAATGTACATCTACAGTGGAAACAGCCTCCAGGATACCAAGTATGTTTCGGGGAGCCACAAGCTTCATGCTAAGGCCTGGGAGGTAAGGCCAAACATGTGCTCATTCTGTGCCTGTCCCCAGGGCTCCCGTGATGCCCCTGAGCTGTTTCCTGGGCAATGTGTATGCTGAGAGTGTAGATGTTCTTCGAGATGGAACAGGACCCTCAGGTTTACGACTTCGCCTACTTGCTGCAGGTCAGTTACTGGCTTTGGTGGATTCCCTCTTATGTCCATGTTGAGACAGTCTAAAATCCCATGTGCTTAGAGAGAGTTGGTAGAAGACAAATGATGCAGATGTTTATGGTTAACACTTTCATTTAAATTTGTGAAGGGACAAAGATAGTCCTATCATTAATATATTTTAATAAACAAGATTAGCACTATTCCCCTCAGCATGTAAATAAGCTTTCTGTCAGGTTATGTAGCTTTGTGTTGGTTCCTCAGCTATTTCTTGGAGATATAGGTTGTGGGCTGATGTATTGTCTCTTCCCCACCCTTTAAGCCCAGTTCTCAGAGTAGGCTGGCAGGAGGTCTCCTCAAGACCTAATTAATTTAAACATGGCTCTATTTGCCATTCAGTGTATATGTGCTGTGAATAAAGACTTGGATTAAATGGAGAACTCAGCACCTAGTTATTTTATATTTTGGATCCTAGAAGTCTTATGTGTGTAACAAATGGATTGTTATCCATGAAAGAGCTTTGTTAACTCCAAAGCCCTGTGCAGAGTAAGGTGATGTGGGTGTTTATTACAGTACCAGGAACTGTAGTCCTCCTTGCATTCTTGGCTTCTTTTTTCCCTTTTTGAGGGAGTTGGGGGTGCAAAACACTTTGTCTTTCCAGCCACAAAATGGGGGAAATTTTACTAGTGGTGTGTCTGTTGCTACTTCACAGCTACCTCTGTGTGTGTTTTAATTGGAGCCATTTCTGAATTGTATTAGACAAGTCAGGGTTTAAACATTCTTCTCAGAGAAGAAACTTTGGACAAATCAGATTTTTAAAAATTTTCCCACTTTCTTGGCTAATAGTCTCTTGAAGTATTGGTGTGCCTGTCAGATGTTTGTGGAATTTAGGGAGTAAATTAATAAGAATTTCACTCTTGGCTCTTTAATAGAGTGATACTTAGGTCCGAGCTCTTGTTGGGTGTTGCCATTGATAAGTACCTCCTAATATCACCCTTTATCTTGTCAGGATCTGCAGAGTGGCAAGAAATAATAGTATTTTATTATATACTTCTATAACACCTATGCTGCTGTTTATTGTACCTTAGTGGTGTGATGATTTGAGTGGGATCTTCATCATGCCATAAACTTCCATGTGGTTAGAGATTGTATCTGTTTTAGCTCACCATTGTTTCCTAGATATCTAGTGAAGTATCCTTAAGATGATCAATAGTAAATATTTGGTTGAGTGAGTGATGATCAGTAGTAAATATTTGGTGAATGAGTGATGTTTCCAGAACTTCGTGTCATTTTTGTGGAATTGAGTGAGTCTGGCATTATCTTGAGGCGATAGTGATCTAGCATCTCAGGCCCTGGTGACCTGGTATTTTCTGCTTGCATGCAGTCTTGCCCCTCATGCAGCGTGCAGTCAGTGGCCTTGCGGGGTCCCCCGGGCCCTGGGCTGCAGAGCCTTGAGCTCTGACCAGGAACCTGACTGCCTCTCCCTTGTTCTCTGCAGGTTGTGGACCCGGCCTGTTGGCAGATGCCAAGATGCGGGTACTTGAACGTTCAGTGTATTTTGGCGATTCTTGTCAAGATGTTCTTAGCATGCTTGGTTCTCCACACAAGATCTTCTATAAGTCAGAAGACAAGGTAAGGGAAATGTCTTTGTAAAGTGAATAGGCAAGTCCCTTAAAATTTTTAAGTCATTGACTTCATATTGAGTAAATGTAAACTGTTTGCTATTTTCTCATAGAACTTTTTCTGTTGAGGCAGATGGAGAAGTAAATTGAAAGCTCTTTTCTGACTCTTGTTGGTCAGATTGTCCTGCCTTTCCTTGGATACCAGTCTGTAGTCAACCACAGCTGGCTGGGTTGGTTAGCACCAACAGCTGGTATTCCCACACTATTGCCTACCCAACAGCTTAATGTATTAGAAAAAAATACAGTTTGTAGACTTTCATTCAATCCAAGAGCTGTGTTAAGGGGTTGGATTTTTTTAATTCATTATTTTTCCCCCAACAGATGAAAATTCATTCTCCTTCCCCACATAAGCAAGTTCCTTCCAAGTGCAATGACTACTTTTTTAACTATTTCACTCTCGGAGTGGTAAGTTATGATTCCTTAGAGCAGTGCTTAATTTCTGTGTGGGTGGGCAATGTACCTGGGCACAGATATGGGTACACATGCAGCTATAACTGTGCCCAGCTAGCTGTACCCAGTGTTGTCTTGTATGGCAGACCTTTCCTGCCACCGGGCTTGCTGAGACACCAGATTCCCTGGTATGTCTTTTCTGATAGAAACATGCTCCGCAGGTGGAGGCTGTGGGAATCTTTTAGGTTAAGATGTTTTGGGAACTGCCCTTTTGTGGACCATACAACCTGGAGTCATAAAACTGAGAGATTAAAAAGGCTCAAAAACAGTGGGAGTGTGCTTGTGTATGTAGGGGATCACCCCAGAGACATTATTGTAGCCCTGTGCTCTGGAGCTAAGGTGCGGAATGGAGCTGATGCCACCATCAGTGCTGACAGTCTAGCTGTTACATGAATTTTATATGTCAGAAAAGATTGTGGAAACGCTGCACCAGCAGGATACGTCTCAGAGAGCAGGGCTAGCCTGGACCTGGATCTTCACCTCTGAACTTTCTAGGGCCTGAGATCCTGAGGATGCAAAAAACGGATAGATTCCAGAGAGGAAGCAGGGAGACTGAGTCTGCCTCTTTGGGAAACACCAAATAGGAGTAGACAGGAAATAGTGGTGGGACCATAAACTCTTGGGGGTAGGACGGTGCCAGGAGGAAATGTTACTGTTATAAGTAAACTTCATGAGTTCTAGAGGCAGTGATGATAGGTGGCAGGAAAGATGGAGTAAATGGATTGGCCCTAATAGGACTCAGTGTAGCAATTGATGGAGGGGTGGAGTCAAAGGTAATCTTGGGGGGTCACAGGCCTGAGCAGCTGGAAAGGGTGTGAGGGATAAGAGGAAGTGTTCAATAGGCAGCATCAAATCAAGGTATGAATCCTGGCGGGAGGCTGGAACTTCAGTTGCAAGGGTTGCTGACTCCCATTGAGTGGAAGGCAGAGGGTCTGGCAGGTCATGGCATTCAGATTAACCAGGTGCCTTGAGGCCCTTGAGTTAGATGGCCCCTGAATTTTCTTGGTAACCTTTAAGTCAAAATCTGTGTCCAGTTCAGATTTTTATCAGGTGCTTGTCCAGAAATATCTGATGTGTTTGAGTTCCCAAGTAATGGGAGTAGTAGCCACCTGTGCCTGCTGGGACTGCTGGCATTAGGTTTGGAATGGGAAGGCTTATAGACAGTTGGGTGCCCCCCTTCACTGTAGATGTGCAGTTGGCTTGACCTCATTGTCCTCTTGATTGTTGCTTGGGAGAAAGCTTTTGCCTGCAGGCGTCCCCATTGTGGAATGGGTGTCTCTGAGTCGGACATGCCCTTGGAAAGACCTCTGTGCTGCCTCAGTAATTTTCCCTACTTGAGCATTCTTGTTTTCTATCCCAGGATATCCTCTTTGATGCGAATACTCACAAAGTGAAGAAGTTTGTCCTTCACACCAATTACCCTGGGCATTATAATTTTAACATGTGAGTACACCTATACCTGCCCCTCTGAGAAATAAGCTTTGGGCAAAAAAATCCCCAGGAAAGAGAGCTATGGCTTTAAAGTTCACTACTTTATCTATACCTGAATTCTTGCTGTTTCATGGGAAGTGAACATTTAATAAGTATCTGCTCTGTTCCTGGTGTAATGTCTAATACCTTCCATCTGTCCATCTGTACTCATTTTACAAATATGGAAATAGATTCAGAGAGTTTGGTGGACAGGTGTGCTTGATTCTGTTTCTCCTGGGGTACAAGGTTGAGATGTGGGGGTGCTTAGGTCTCCATGGGGGGCCAGCCTTTACCGGTTTGCCTTCTCTTTCTTAGTTATCATCGTTGTGAGTTCAAGATCCCACTAGCCATAAAGAAAGGTGAGTAGTGAGTGTCCTGCCCTCAGGGTAAGAAAAGGCTTTTGAGGTCAGTCACTCATGATGAAAAGGGACAACTGATCCAAGTAGAGAAGATGGTAGTGGGTGGGTTTGTGTAGTGTTGCCCACTTGCTCCTGCGCATAGCCTCAGCTTCCCTGGGCTGAGCTCTTTGTTGTGGGAGGCTGCATTGTTCATCAGTAGTCTCCTCGAGGCTGTGACCATGGATTGCTTGTCCCTTGAAGAGAGAGTTTCATATCTACAGATGATCTTCCAGGTGCTCCCAGCCCAGACTCTTATCCACTGGTGGTGGTTGTAATTCACACCTGACTGACCTCCCTGTTCAACCCTCCACTCTCTTCCATTTTAAAAACTCTAAAACAGTCTTTCCTCCCTCCATATTCCAACCCCAGTACAAAGGGTGGCCAGGTTTGGATTCTGCCTAGTGCTGAGCCAGCTAGCAACCGCTCTGTTTGTTTTCTTTTCAGAAAATGCAGATGGTCAGACAGAAACATGCACAACCTATAGCAAGGTGAGCTCCTTTTTTCTCACCTGATACAGCCTGAAAATGAGGTGGGCATGAGCCTGCCAGCAGCCTGGGGCCCATGTCCTCTGGTCCAGCCATTGGTCGTAGGTATGGACAGGCCCTGCTAACCCCTACATCCCTTTTGCAGTGGGACAACATCCAAGAACTCCTGGGTCACCCTGTGGAGAAGCCTGTTGTCCTGCACAGGTGAGTGTGGGATTTTGCTGGCTCAGACCACCCCATCAGAAGCTCAGCAGTGGATATTGCTTAGAAGTGATAGACATACATATACTTCCTGCTCCCACCCTGTGCATTAGTACTAAGCCTGATATTCTGTGTGTTTACCTGTACTAGAGAGATTGCCTACTGGAGGTAGCTTCCCACCAATCTCCAGGTATGAGGGCCTTTTCACCCCTAGTTATTCAAAAAGGGAGGCTGACTGTCAGGTGTTTTTTCCCCCATCAAAGCTGCTACCTGCTCACAGCCCAATACCCAATACCTGGTTGCCATGCTGCCTGCAGCTCTCTCCCTCATGATTTGTCACCACCCCAGTCTAATTGCATAGTAACTTTTCTTTGCCCTGTTGGGCTGTGTAGGACTCAGAGCTGAGTGAGGTCTGTTGCTGTCTCTAGGACTTCAAGGGCCTGTGTGAAACTTAAATATTGTTCCCCAATAGCTTCCATCCCAAAAGGGCCTAGTTTCCTGGCCTGGCCTTGGCCTCTGTCTGCCCCTCTAATTCTGGCTTCCCTGGCCTCAGGTCCTCCTCCCCAAACAACACCAACCCATTTGGCTCCACATTCTGCTTTGGTCTTCAGCGGATGATCTTTGAGGTAAGCCCTGGGGACTGAGGGGCTGGTGTTCATGGCAGGGACAGACAGGTCACTGAGAGAGATCAGGGAGGACCTAATGGCCCTACTGGGCAGGTAATCATTCTTCAATAACTGTCTGAGTCACTGCTGAGAACTACCCGATTTAACAGTGAGGGTTCAGAAATTATGTTGGGGAAATTAAGAGTCATGGAACCTAAAGCAGTCGTCTGTATTCATTAAGATAGGTAATGGGGATCCCATGCTTATATCTAAAAACAGTAGAGCAAGAAAGGGAACCACAGGGTACGAGGGGCTCATGTCAGGGGTTTGGGGGGACTTGGAATGCCATGTGAATGAATGTGCTCTGGGCAAGTTGCTATAGAGGCCCCGTTGGCTTGGGAGAAAAATGGGCCGCCAGTTTCCCCTTCTGGAAAACAACCTTTATCAGATCCCTAAAGAGTTCAGAAGAACTGGACAAATGGGTGTGGTGCAGTGTGTTTATGTATCCCATGAGGCACAGGCAGACACTGGGGCAGAGATGATCCCTAGCATGAGATAAGGGATGTTGAGCGATTGGCCTAGCCCTGTGTGCAGTTGTTGTACACACAACCTGCGTGCCCATGTTCAGGATCTTTGGGACCCTTCTCTGCAGTCACAGCCCCAGTGCTGATCCCACTGCTGGTTTTTGTGGGTCTGATTGCTTGCTCTGCTCTGCCCCCTTGACTTGCTGTCCTCTTCTCACACCAGGTTATGCAGAATAACCACATTGCCTCGGTGACCCTGTATGGCCCCCCCAGGCCTGGTGCCCATCTGAAAACAGCAGAGCTCCCCTAGGGACATCACCACCCATGCCCCTCTCCCCCGTGGAACTGTGCATCGCATCCTCCTCAGCGGGCCTTCATGTGCCACCTGTGGGTTTTCTTGGACACCTTGCCAGTGTTGAAGGGCTGTTGTGATGTTCTGAGATGGGGCTCAGGCTGGGTCTCTCTGCCATGGGGTGAGAGACCCAGATATTCTTCTGTCCGTCCTCAGCCTGCTGGTGCCAACAGGGGACACAGACTGCAAAGAGAAGCACAAACTCTGAGCCTTGATACCTGGACCCAGGAGCTTTCGACTAACACGTAAGGAGGCAGGGATCTGTCTCCCCTGTCGCACACATGTTGGAAAACTTGGGACTCTCTGTGGCTGAGAACACAGGCACCCAGGATGAGGACAAGGTCCTGCCTTTGGCCCAACATTGCCACATGATCCTTAAGGCAAGCAGGTAGCATGTCCATAGTACTTGGTTGCAACTTTTGCACTACATCCACTTTAGTTACTTGATGAGCTGGCTGTGGCCAAGGTGGCCCACCTGCCCTTCCTTGTTCCTTTCTTGCACGCGCTCCCTGCCAGGTCCAGCAGGCACACCCAACTGGTTGAAACACAGCTTTCGACCATCCAGGTACATGCCCAGGCCTCGTTCCCGCCCTTCCTGGAGCCAGCTTTCAAGGTTGCCTGTGTCCCGCTCTGCCCCAATCTGGCTGGCAGGGCTGCATGTTTCCATCCCGTTTGCCTCTTTTATTTAATGCCAAAGTTTTAGCCAAAGACATCTTCCTCTTTTTGTTGTGTTTCAGCATTCTGTTCTGCACTGTGGGCTGGCTCCCCTGTCCCAACCATGGGCAGTGTCCCTTGGCTGGGCCCATTCATGGCTCAAGGCCTCTGGGGACTCAAGGAGAGCTGGGCTGCTCAGTCTCTTCATGGGTCTTGCTAAGGAAAGTAGCATATGTGCTTTAAAAATATTAACCTTTTGAAAAGATTGAGAAGAGAAATGTATAATTTTATCCCATTTTTAATATTTTGGTCTAGCAACTTGTGATACATAGATGACAATTTTGTGAGTTTTTCAAATGTGTGTACAGATTTTTGTAAATATGACTCTTTTGTAATTAACTCATGTACAGCCTCATCCTGTATAGTTTAACGATGAATGTGCAGGGGACCTGCCCCAGGCTTCTGTGTGATTCCTGGGCCTACAGCCAGGGTTGTGTGGCGCTTTCATGACTTTGTGACTGACTGGTGTCTTCCCATTTGGACTGTGGCCTGGCCAGAGACACCCCCAACCCCTTCCCTGCACATCCCACTATTGGGGCAGCCAGGACTGATCTCATCCTCCTGAAGTGGGGGAACCTTCCTCGTGTCCTGCCCACACCTCTTCTCCAATAAAGACCTATGCCCTTAGCAACAGCTCACCATGTGCTGTTGCTGGGACGTTTGTACTAAAATAAGTGTGGGGATGTTGATTGTTTTAAAGAACACAGGAAAATGTATAGTGGAGTCATCTTAGGAGAAGAGGTTCCTTGGCTCCTCTGAGGGGGCAGTACAGCCTCCAGTAGTAAATTGTCATAGTTGTGTGGGCAGAGATTCTCGTGCCCAGGGTAGTTGGAGGTAGGGAAAGAAATTAGGTAGGACCATGCGGTTGGTCATCCCTGTATGCCTCCATCCCTGGTGTCACAGCCAAACCAGGGCCCAGGACAGGGTTACTCCTCATAAGGAGATCTAAAGATCTTGACAAGGCTGAAAATCCAATTTGGAGGGATAGGTAGGAAGCAAAATGCCAACTTTCAGACTGAGTTTTAACAGAATGCCTGCTAGTCCCATGAAGATTGAAGCCAGGTCCCCCCATACTTCCCTGTGGGGTCTAGCCATGACGAGGTCCTGCATCATCCTCAGGATTGCCAACCGGGGAGTGTGGTCAGGTTCCATGAGCCCCTGCCACTCCTTTCCCCCACCTACTTGGTACTAGGAGGACTGCACATATCCCCCTGCTTGAGAAAGCCTGGTGTTCACCTCAGCCCTGGCTATTTCCAAGAGTTGCCATTAGATCAGCTCCCAGTAGGGAGACAGGAGCCAAGCTCAACCTTCATCCCCTGGGACCCTGAGGAAGCACATACCACCCGACACTCTGGTGCTGGTTCCTGAACTTTTCTGCCCCTTTTCGCAGGAGAGCCACAAACAATGCAGTAATCCACCTAGGAAACCCTCTTTCAAACTCCCACTACATCATGGGTCTAAATGAAGGGAGCATGGGACTGTGACGGGTTACTAGGGACTCCACTGGAAAGAGCCAGTGGCAGCAGGCCATGGATGTCCGCAGGCGGGCCCATGCGGGCCGTGCAATAAGTTCCACATTAACCAGATGTCAGTGGCCGATAGTCCATGCACTACAACCAGCTCACGGTAAAAGCAGGGATCGAAGGTGCGCAGGTGAGGCGCGGCTGAAGGCTGGGGTATGCCAAAGGTGCGGAAAGCGGGGTGAGGCTCAGGCGTGAGCCGCAAGCGCTGCAGACACATGCCCAGGAAGACGTCGTCTATGGGGAAGAGCTCAACCTGTGCACAGGCGCCGGCCAGGCGGCGCAGTGTGGCCCCAGAAAACACAAAGCCACCTCCACCAGCGTAGGCAGGGTAGGCGGGCAGGCCATACACAGCCTCGGGGATGTAGTACTTGCTGGCTCGTACCCGGATTGGCCGAGCCTGTACAATCACATCACCCGCAAGCAGATCCTGCGCCGGGTCCCGCGCCGCCAGAAACTCCAGCAGGTTTTCCACGTGCACAAACACATCGGCATCGCCCTTAAAAACGAAGCGCACGTTGGGGCAGTAGTCTGAGGCCCAGGCCAGAAAGTGGATCTCCTTGAGCGTTAGGTTGAAGAAAGTGTCTTCGAAGGCCCAGAGCAGAATGTCCGCGTAGGCGCGACTCTCAGCACGGAGTAGGGCGTGCCAGTGCGTTTGCGTGCCTGCCCCCTTCGCTTCTGCCCCGTCTAACCCTGCGCCCCTGGGCACGCCCAGCAAGAACACCCGGCGCACGAGCGCCCCCTGCACACGCCCCTCAGCACCCCAGGTCTGGCGCACAGCTTGGCGCCGCTCGAAGTCAGCCGCCACTGACTTGACGGCAATGAGCAGGTCCGGTCCTGCACCAGGTGCACCATCGCCTCGGCACTTGTGCGGCTGGTTAATGATCAGGGGGAAGTGTCGCTGGTCCTTGGCACGCAGGTATCGACCAAAGTCAAAGGGTCCTGTGGGCGTGGGCATGAGCGGCTCTGGCGTATCCTCTTCATAGGCCCGCAGGGCTGCACCCGAGTCTGGTACCGGGAATACACGGAGCCGAGGGGTGGGCCCCGGTGCTGCCCAGCCTTGAGCTCGAGGTGCGCTTGTTGTAGGGGCTGTGCCATCTCGCTGCGCATAGAGCAGGAGGCCGAGGGCGGCGCCCAGGAGCAGCGTGATCGAGGCGTCCCCTCGTAGGCGCAGCCTCCGCCTCATGTTTGCGTAGCTGGCGCCCGCGCCCCCTGCGGAAAGACTCTGTCAGGCCTCTGGGCCCCGTCCTCCACGAAGGTAAGGGGCAGAGACCACCCGCTAGGGGTATCCAACTACCGGTGGTTCTTTACCCTCCCGTCCCCTACTCAGGGCTCTGGCATCTCTCCCCCGCATCGAGATGGGTACCCTGAAAGGGCAAGAAGTCTTTCAGGTTGCCCACTCCCACCCCCTCAGCTTCGGCCCAGAACTGTGCTCCAAGGCCCTGGCAGGGAGATACCGAGCCTCAGCCCCACTCCCCGCCCGCCTTCCCAGCGCTAAGGCTGAATACCTTGTCTACCTCTCTCTACCCACCACCTCGGTCCTAGGGATCCCGATACTCAGTCCCTGGAGCGGCCCGGCCCCGGACGCCAGGAACTCCAGGGCTCAGCGCAGGATCAAATGCAGCGTTGGCAGGAAGGGGGACCAGGGCCGGTGCCACGTGACCCTCCAGCTGTGTGCGCCCGGACAGCTGGAGCTCAGCTCCACCCCTGCGCAGCAGGGAGTGCTGTCTCCGAAAGGGAACTTATCTCTGAGAGGGATCCTAACGGCAACTCTTTCTAGGGATGCCTGGAGAAGTGGGTTCTGGTCTCAATGCAGGCTCAAACTCTCCAAATTCGCCTTTCTGGGGGGCAGGAAAAATTAGCCTCTTTGTTAATTCCCCCCCCCCACCTCCCCTCTGGGATTCTCTGGAGTGGGGCAGGGCCTGGGCTGGCAGGAGGAGAATGGGGCGGGGGGTGGGGGGGTGGGGGGGGCTGGTCCTAAATCACTGAGCCCAGCTTCCTAGTCATCAACCTGGCCATTACCCTAGTGCATTCTTGGAAGTGTCTTTCATCAGCTCACAGGAGCCTGGTTCCACCAGGCAGTGCCCATTAACTGCCCCTGGGATACATGGCTGCATCCTTACTCCTGGTCCTGCCAAGACCCCCAGCAAACACACACACACACACACCCACCCCCAACAAGACAGCTCATTTTATTCTCTCAACAACCTTAACAGCAGTTCTTATTGTTCATGCCCAGATGGGGACGCTGTCCCTCAGGGAGTTAAGTAACTTGCCCAGGATCATACAGGCACAAGCCAAGAGCACTGCCCCAGGTCTTCTGGAATTCAATCCAGGATTCTTTCCTCTGTTGTCCCTTGCTGCTCTCCCCATCCATCCACTGGAACACAGGGCAGGGCAAGCCCTGTGTCTTTTTTCACTTGTTAATCTCACAGGTGAGCACTTCAGTCTGTCTCTACAGAGGCAGTTCTGAGTCCCTAGTCCCTAGTGCCCCAGGCCAGTGGAACCTCCTGCAGGTAGAAATAACCAAGCCTGGGTGACCACAGGCTAAACTGGGGAACTCCTGAAGTAGGCCAGTGAGCAAAGGGTTCATTCTGGGACCCAAGTGGGCAGGGAGGAACTCTGGAGACTGAGGGCCCAGTCTTTGCCTAGCTCTGCTGCCAACTCCCTCTTTCTGGAACTCAGAGCCTCCTGGTTTCAACCCATGCAGTGGCACCTGGAGTAGACAGCCCTTCACCCCCACCCCCACCCCTACCCCTCCTGCCCCAGTGTGAGGACAGGCAGTGGGAACCGGCACTGCTACCCAATGCCATCCTCTTTCTAATGGCTATGCCTGCTCCGCCTGACAACTTCTCAACAATGTTCCCCCTGAAAAAGCAAACCCTTCTGAACCTCATTCTCCTGTTTGCAGACCCTTGGGAGTCTGCTATTCTGCCTCACCTCCCATTCCTCCTGTGGTCTGGCTTCAGACTGTACCCACTATGGCCCCAAAATACGCCCCCACCTAGTAGACTTTTCCCCAACTCCAGTGAACACTCCTCAGCCTTAACTGATCTGCAATGTCTGTCACAGTAGGTGGGTATTCCCCTGGCTTCCAAATCTCCTGGTTTTCCTCCTTCCTCTTGGGCTGCTCTTTATCTAGTTAGTGTCCTTCAGGACATCCCCCTGGGCCACCCCACCTTCTCCCACCTATCCTTTTGCGAATCTTTAGCCTTGACCCTCTGCTGAACTCAAAACTGTAGATCCAGCTGTCCTCAGACTCTCCCTGGATGTTCTACAGGCACTTCATGCCCAACTTGTTTCAAACAGAGCAGGCACTTCACCTTCTCCAGGTCCGCATCTCAGCAGGAAGCCTCACCTTTCATCCAACTAGAAAAGGCAGAAACCCTGGGGTTCTCTCTCGCCTAATTCCTTCTCCAGTGTCACCAGGCCTGTTATCCTTGCCTGAAAGAGCTCTCAGTGTTCATCCCCTTCCCTCCATCTCCTGCCACTGTCCCAGCCTGGGCCACAGTTCTCTCTCTCGCTCTCTCTCTCTCTCTCCATCTCCATCCTCACCAGCCTCCCAGCCTACATTCCTGAAACCCTTTAAAGCCTTCTTACTGATCTTGGGATAAAATCCAAACTCTGTAAAATGGCTTACCAGACGCCATGCTATTTACCTCCCCCACTCACCAACTGGTCTTTGCAAATCCACCCACCCCTACACCCAGCCACTCAAACTTTCTGTTCTGCTAATATCCCTCCCTCTCACCTCCCTAAAGACTTCACCTGAGGCTGGCTATGCCCAGGACATTGCCCTTTTCTCAGCCCCACCACCATCGCCCTCCCCTGTTCACACTCATATCTCTACCAGGAGACCTAACCCCTAACCTGGGCTAGGCCCCTCCTGTGGAATTGTTCCCACAATTCCTTGTATTTTTCGCATCAAGGAACAGGTAACATACTCTGGAGGGTAGTTCAGTTGATTAAAGCATCATCCCCATACACCAAGGTTGCAGGTTAAATCCTGAGTCAGGGCACATGCAAGAATCAACCAATAAATGCATCAATAAGTAGAACAACAAATAAATGTCTATGTCTCTCTCTCTCTCTAATCAATAAATAAAAAAAGAAAGAAAGGTAATGTTTTATTGCTGTAGCTTAATATTTGGAGTCCCACACTGAGTATGAACTGGGGGCAGGCAAGATTCATCTCTCTTCTTCACCACAGTATTTGCAGTACCCAGGATGATGCCTAAAACACAGCAGGTCCCTAATGAGTGTTTAGTGAGAGAAGAGGTAAGGACTGGCTGGGAGCCCCTCTTCTGGGGTGGGTGAGGTGAGGCCAGCCTCTGCAGCAGATCACCCCCACATCCTGTCTCTATGGTAGTTTCTGGAACAGAATCCCCAGTGGCACTTCAGCAGGCATGGTGGATGCTCATCTTACTCCTTGAGAAGGCAGTCAACTCTGCCCAGCAGCTGGACTAAGTGAAGTTGTAAGTCCTGTGGATGGACAGGTCAGCAATAGCAGCAGAAGGGACCGTAGGGTCATCCAGGTGCTCCAAACTCTGCTGGGCAACTGGCTGACCGCCCTTTTGTCTGGTACCCAGGCTAGGCCAGGCTGCCATCAGGATTCGCCAGGCCCAGCAAGTCCTCTGCCAGGCTGGTGAGCTCGTTCTCCTCGAGTGCCTCCACCAGGCGCTGCAGTGTGGCTCGGCGGCCCTCAGCCTGAATGAAACGCCTTAGCAGCTGGAAGGCCTGCTCGTACAGCCCCTCGCGCTCGTATTCATAGGCCAGGGAGTCGAGGACAGGGTCCCGTAGCGCTCGACAGCCTCGCTGCAGGGAGCGCCCAACCTTGCGCCATTTGAGGCCCACTGATCGTGCAAAAGTCTGTTGGTCCTGCAGGCTTAGTGGTCGGTTCACTGCAATGGAGTGGGAAGCAGAGTGAGCTGGGGGAAGCGAGGGTGAACGCAGACCGATACCCCTGCATTCCCGCCAATTTCCCGGTAACACTGCCACTACATCTCTAAGCACGCCTCACCTATGGGCTGACCCTGGAACAGAAAAGTCTGGCCAGAGGGCGGCGGTGGCGGCTTCTCCTCCGACGGAGAGGAAGCCAGGGACTGCGAGGGGACTGGAGCTACCTCCGCTTTGCCACCTTGGCCTCCAGAGCCGCATGTCAGATTCCGGAGCGCATCCTCCAACTCAGCAAGTTCCTCGTCCCGGAGCCTGTCAGGCTAGCGAGGAGAGTGCCACGTCGGTGGAGGTCTTAAGCCTCGAATCCCTTGCCCTACCCGTCTCTGCCCCGAGCCCAACCTCACCTTCTGGGCAAAGATGCAACTCAAACAACGCTCCTCATCCGTCAGCAAGGCGTCCAGCAGCTCTGCGCCGGCGCGCAGCTCCAGTTGCAAAGGCACGGAGCACAGGGTCAGCGAGGCCGCCAAGCAGCCCTCCAGGGCGGTGCGCAGCGCCCCCTCGCGGTAGGCCCGGAGGAAGCGGGCGCAGGTCTGGCGTCCGCAGAAACGCAGCTGCACGATCAGCTGCTGATCGCTGCGGTGGATCTTGAGCATCTGCAACACCTCTGGGCTCCCGCTCTCTGCAGAGGCAGGTAGTCAGACGCCAGGCGGTCCCCATGCTGGGCCGTCCTCCAAGCCATTAGAGGAAGGGTGAAGCCCACGGTCAGACGCCCTACCTACTCTCAGACCTCGGGGCGCGCCGTTATCCCAGAGTTCCCAGCCAGAAAACAAAACTGGGATACCAGAATGAAGACCGGAGCTGATTACTGGGAGTGGCTGCCATCCTAGCCTCATCTCTGGAGCCCCAAATTAAGGTGGGCAAAAGGGACATGGGAAGAGGACTTGCAGCACAGAGAGGGGCGAATACCCTGGGCACCCAAGCCTTCTGGCTAGGCAACCGGCAGGGCAGGAAAGAGGCAGGAGGTCTCAGATCTTCAGCCTCCACCAAGTGCGGCTTCCGCTGCCCCTGAAGGAGGGGGACGCTTGCTGCTCTGGGACCAGAGTGAGATCCCTCAACTGGCTTCAATCTCCTGTCACCTCTGCTCTGACATGAGAAAGGGGCACCAGAGAGGTAGTTACTGGGAAGGGGCCATGGACAAGGAGTGCTGCAGTGAGAAAGGAAAAGAGAAGAGAGACGTGTGGTTAGTAGAAGAAAGCAGTGAGTTGGCTGGTCTGGGGAGTATGGAACATCAAGTAGGGGGATGTTAGTGCACACGTAGGTAGATCGTACACAGACAGGAGGGCACATGTCTACACCCAAGTGCACACATGAGTAATAAAGAAGACAGCCTAAGCAATCAGCCCACTTCCTCTCCTTCCCATCAAATGTCTTCCCTGACACAGTGGTTAAACACGTGTCCACAGAGTTGAAGAGGTGGGGGTCTCAGCCCCTGGTCCCACCCACCAATGGCCCCAGGCCACCCCTTTCTCTCCAAGTGACCCAACCACACACCTGCCAATACAGTCCGCAGAGCCCTGTACACTGCCACCTTCTGCTGGGGGTGACCATAGGCATCCGATAGGACCACCTTGTCCAGCGAGGACTCCATAAACAGGTATGCGCTGCCCACCCATTCCTCGAGCCTATTCGGCCCAGCCGCCATCTTCTCTCCTGGAGGTGCAGAAAGGCATCCAGATCAACCCCAACCCAGCCCTGGAGACAACTGTCCAGGATCACATGGCCCGGCTGTCCCCACCCATTTGGCACACTTGTGAGGGGAAGTTCATCATCCCACAGGCAGCCCCATGTGTGTCTGCACAGCACAGCCCAGCTCAGCCCAAACTTGCAGCAAGGGTTCTCCCTCCACTGCCTTCCCAGAGAAGGAGCCCAGGGTCACAGCGGCAAGAGAGGAGGGATATATCCTGCAGTGGAGGCAGAGAAGTTATGCCCCACCCCCCTCAGGCCATGTCATCTCTCTTACCAAAGCTGACAGAAGACACCTTCTTCCTGGACAGTCCACATACTCCATAGCCAACCAAACAAACCCACGTCCTGGTATATGCCCTTAGCTTAAACCTGAACCCTCAGGATCCCTTAGGACCTCAGTTCCGCCATCCCACCACAGCAATTTTCTCACCTGCATTCCTACTATACATTCTGACTTCCCTTCAAAGGATATCTGTAGTTTGTGCCTGCCCAGATTCTTTTCCCCAATCTTGACTGATTTGGGGGGGGGGGGGCCTTCTCTCCTCCTTCTTCTTAATCCAGGTGCCTGTTGGGAGGGCTAACCCCACTCCCTAGCCCCAGGTGTGGGCATGTGAAACAGGCCTTGCCAATCTGCATATTCCATTCACCTTTCTAAAATGATTAGTTCCGAGCTGGGTAGACTCAAGTTGGAACAAGCAACCTACAACTTTCGCTGGACCAATAGGAAACAGGCACTAGTTTCCCCTTCCTTGTGGAGGAGCTGAAAGGAAGGAGAGGTCTCCCTCCTTCTCAGAGGCTTGGGAAGAGCCTGACTGAGAATGAAACTGACACAGAAAGAAACAGCCCAGACAGAAAGAGGCACACTCCTAACCACACTATGCCCCTTGCTGCAGCTGCATCCTGGGCTTGCTTTTCAGTCGTGTGAGCTAAATCATTCCATTTTCTTCTAAAGTATAAATACTTGGAGCTGAGCTCTTGTCTTATGTAACTCAAATTGTTCTATTATAGGTTCCTTTCCTGTTCAGAGACAGCCAGGGCCCCTTGGTTCTAGTATCTCCTCCATCCACTAACACAATCCTGGCTCTAGACCAGGGGGCAAAATTCCCAGCCAGGGAACCCCTGTACCGACCTTCAGTGAAGTGGCCTACCAGTTACTGTGCCGTGAGGCCTGCCTTTTCCTCCCCACCCCACCGAAGGCAACATCCCACACTTAGCCTCTAAACATGGTCTCAAGGCCCCATCTCCTGCCCCGTCAGCCATACTTCTTTATTCTCTCTTCTTTGGCATTTATATATGATGGGCAAGGAGCAGTGCTGAGCCCCAGCTATGAGCACCCTGGACTGACTCATTGCTCTGGGCAGGACAGATGGGGTGGCCCCAGTTGGCATCCATTTACATGAGGGACAGGGAGCCTCCGAAGAGGGATGCCAAGAGGAGCCAGAACCACAGCCTTGGATACTGATGGGGAAGCTGCATTGCAGATCCGCCCCAGACCTTAACCTAAGAACCAAAGCTGGGGCAGTAACCGGGCAGGAGCCATGCAGCATAACCCAGACCTAGCAAGAAAACAACACCTACCTGGTGATGGTCCGACCCTGGGTCTGAGGACAGGGGACATGCCTTTTGAGCCTCCCTCCCCCATGTCAATACCGTTTTGGTAAAAAAAATATTGATATTTGTGTGTATTTACCCAAAACAATGGCCTATGAGGATGGGAGGAGGTTTGGGGGATTTTCATTTTCATTGTATTTAGCAGTATTCTGCTTATGTAAAATGGGTACATTTCCTTTGTATTAAAAAGGCAAAATGTTTTTTTCTTAAAAAGCAAAACAATCAAATAAAAAAAAAACAAAACCAGTGTGAGTCCCTGTAGGTGACAAGTGAGGCCAGGTAGGAAGACAAGTGGGGAGCCCTGGGGAAGTGGTGCAGGGGGATAGAAGAGTGTAAAAACCTGCACTGGAAACGTTTGCTTTTTCATGTCTTCTTAGTCACTTGACTTGAGGGTGCTGACCCGATGGATGGATGTGGTCCCCCGCTAAAGGGTGGAAGCGGTGGGCAGGACAGTGCCAGGGTCTGCCCAGCAGGACTTCCAGGAGGGCACTGGAAACCTTGGCGGGGGGTGGGGGGACACTCCATCACACTAACTAGGACTGGACAAATGGGAGAAGTCAAATAGGTCTGCCGAGGCCCTTAGTTCCCCTGTCCCCTGGGAACTCCTTCCTACACTCCTTCCACAGAAGCCCCTCCTCGGGAACCCCCGCGCCTCACCCTCTTGGAGTCCGCCTCTCTTTGGGCCAGGCCAGGCTGGGTCCTGGAAACGCTTAGCTGGGCTGAGACTGAGGGACACGTCGGTACCGACTCAAGAAAATACGCCCCTGCCACCAGGGGCCAGCGCAGCATTAACACACCCTAACAGTCTCAGGGCAGCTCCACCTCCGGCAGGGTGGGCGGCGGCAGCGGCGGCCTGCGGGGGTGCACCCTTGAGGAGTGAAATCCTGCGACTCCCAGTATCCAGGTGGGCTCCCCCCGGTACTGGGCTGAGCGGTTTCCGAGCTCTGGAGAGGAGCTCCCAAACCTCCCGCTGGCCCACCGCCTGCAGGGATTTCGCAGGCGCCGGTAGCAAAGACCCGCAAGAGGTCTCTGCTGACAGAGGCATTCAGAACGAGCCCTGCCCTCTCACCTGCGGCGTCTCAAAAGCCCTTAGCTGGGACGAGAAACCTGCGGGGACGAAGGTCCGTACCCTCTTTCCCGCCTTGCACGGAAATAACCCAATAGGCCGCTGCTACCACCTTGCCCGGTACAGCCGCGATGACAACGGCGCCGCGCCGACACTCCTGAGCCAGGATACACCTCTGTTCCCTCCAGCGCCGGGAAGCACCCCCACCCTCTGCACTAACCTGGCCGCCCTGGCCCGGCCCGGATTCCCACGCCCGCCCGGCTCCTCGGGATCCGCGCTGCTTCCGGGTGTGCGCGGAGCCCTGGGGCGGCTCCCCAGCCTGAGCCGCCCCGTCCGCCCGGCGTCCCGCCCCCCGCGCTACCCACGGCTCCTCCCCGCCCACTCTCCTCCACAGCGAGTCCCCCGCCTCTGGGCAAAGCCCACCTGGTCAGCTGAGCAGGTAAGACACTGGCTTCCAGGGTTAGAAGACAGGGAAAACTGCCCGCGGCAAGGGACTTCGGGGGCTTGTGGCGCTCACCAGGCCGCAGGGATTCAGGGGGACAGCTGCTAGGTTTTCTCCAGCGGGAAACGGACGGATCCACAAGGGGTTGTCCCCTGGGGACCAGAATTTTCTGGTGTCTTCTGGGGGGTCGAGCTCGATGATATCTATCTCTGCTACTTCCTGACACTCAGGACGGAGTGCTGGCGGGTCCCAGGTTTAAGCCTGCTCGAGGGTACATGTTCTTCCAGGATACACATCCAGTAGGGACAGTTAGCCTGGAAAATATGGGACAATAGAAAACTGGCAAGTGGTGTGAAACATGTACGAAAACCTTCAAGCACCTTAAAATAAAAGTGGCAACTTAAAAGAGGATGTACACTTTCCAGCAACGCCCGCCCGGGAAAGGCCGTCCTCCGGCGTGGATCTATGGAATCCCAGCTGACTCTAAACCGCCCAACGGGAGCCTGGGCGGCAGGGGTCAAGATCAGAACTTGAATCCAGGGACCCTCGGGCCTCAGAGACCCAAGCTTTCCTCCACCGGTGTTTCTTTGGAAGTACTCAGGGTGTCTTCCCCGCTGAGTTGGAGGAAAGGAAGGAGCCTCCCTTTTCAGGGCGGATTCGGGGCGGGGGCGGGGGCGCGGAGGTTGCCCCACCGGCTCCTCCGCTTCCCGATTGGCTTATGGTCCCTGCCAATTAAAAAAATCTCCTCTAATGCTCCCGCCCTATTAACCCTATTGTCACTCTAGTGACAGGCCAGGCTAGTACAGAGTTTCTCAACTTGGGGCCTGTGGAGTCAATCGGCGCTTGCTGAAATTCAGATTCCTGGGCCCTACTCTTTCCTCAAAGCCTGATTTAGTAGGTGGGGCTGTGAATTCTGTATCGAGAATAAGTGTCAGAGTGATTTTGAGACCCCGTGCGGTCTGAGAAGCCCTCATTTCAGTGGCCCTCAGGCAGGGGCTGGGGCCCATCCCTCTCTAGTACTCAGGGTCGAAGCTAGGAGGGAAGCAGTTCAGTTACTCCGGGAGTACTAATCCGGGTATTTCTGAGTGTGTGTGTACAGAGGTGAGACGGGCTCTCTGAGCTGAAAGAGAGGACCTGGTTGTTCCGAGTCAGGGCCTGTGCAGCTGCCCTCCGGCTTCCCTTGGGAAGACTTTAGTAACTAGGAGAAAGAGCTGTTAGCGTTGTCCAAAATCAAGGTATTGGGCTTTATCAACTTCGAGCATAGGTCGTGGTTGCGTTCCTTCTAATACTGCATAAAATGGTGATTTTTATTCAACAAATGATAACAAACTGTAGAGGAGAAGCAGAAATCCTTTTTGGCACCCAGGGCCGACTGCATGGGTCTGAGACTCGTGCAGTTGCACAGGGCCCCATGCTTGTTTCAATAACTTGGTTAAATGCTCTGCTGCCACTGACTTGAAATTCATAATAAGATTTTGAACAAAGAGTGCAGCATTTTCATTTTTCACTGGGCCCCATAAATTATGTAGCAGCTCCTGGGCTACAGGCATTTCCATACATAGGCTCCGGTGTTCCCCTCAACACTCTGGCTTTCCTGAATCCAGGGGCATCCCTCTCTCTCCAAGCCAGAGCTTCGGGTAGCAGTGGAGCCCCCACCCCACGCCAGGCAATGGCTGAGCCTGGAGAGCAACTGCCGGAGGAGGTGCTGGTGCTCATCTTCCGCCACCTGCCCCTGAGGGACCGTGCTGCCGCTGCCAGGGTATGCAGAGCCTGGGCGGCTGCTGCCACCTGCAGTGCTGTGTGGCATGACACGAACATCAGGTAAGCTCCTTCCTCCCTCCTTCCTCCTGCCAGCCTCCCGTGGAGTCGGAAGTTGGGGAGATTCAAGTGACTCCCCACACTGAAAAGCATAATCATTACTAACATTTTTTGACTGCCTACTATGTACCAACCATGGTTCTAAGTGCCTTGCATATATTAATTAACAGATAGTATTATTGTCTCCATTGCACAGATAGGAAATTGAGGCAGAGAGAGTGAGTCACTCACCGCAAGTCACTCAGCTAAGGAGTGGCAGAGGTGGAATGTTAACTTGGCCATGCTGGTGACCTTAGAGACCTCTGAGAAAGCCCAGTTCTTAAAACTCTGGTTCTCCTTGCCAGGGTTTCAACTTGCAGCACACACATCTGAAGTCTTCTAAAGGGATAGGGTGGAGCTCCCACCTAGCCTTAGCGGCTAGCTTGGGGTAACCAGGCATGGTCGAAACTAGGAGGTGTGTGGGTAGGGAGCAGAAGGTGGGGGTGGTAGCTGGAACCCAGGCTGAGGGATGGTATGGGCTTCTCTTCTGTTCGCGGGGACACAGGGATGCCTTTTCTCCACCGCTCTAACCCCAAGTTGCAACTGTGAGGGAGAAGGCATGCTGCCACCATATCTGTCCACCTGCCTGGACCACATTCACAACCTGTGGCTGGAATTTGAGCCGTCGAGGAAGCCGAGCCGCCGGATGGCCACGGAACTGCTGACCGCACTGGCGGGCCGCACCCCAGGGCTTCGAGGCCTGCATCTGGAGTGCCTGGGAGAGAAGCCCCTCTTCGACGCAGGCCGCGACGTCCTGGACGCCGTGCGCGCCATCTGCCGGGCTGCTCCGGCGCTGCGCCATCTCGACCTGCGGCACTTGCCCTTTACTCTGGACGACGCGCTGGTGCTGCAGGTGGCACACGGCTGCCCCGAGCTCCGCAGCCTCTTCCTGAACAACGGCACTTTGGTGGGCAGCGTGGGGCCGGGCTCCGTGCTCGAGCTACTAGAGGCCTGCCCGCGCCTGTGCACCCTTGGCCTGCACCTGGCCAGCCTGTCACACCCCGCCCTCGAGGTGCTGGCGGCCCCACACCACGAGCCTTTCGAACTCTTGGCCTTGCGGTGCGCCTGCCCAGAGGACGCACGCGCCCCGCCTCTGCCCAACGAAGCCTGGGCTGCGTTGCGCCACCGCCACCCTGGACTGGTTGTGGAAGTGGAACTGGAGCCAGCACTCTCTGATGAGAGCGTGACTCGCGTCCTGCAGCCTGCTATGCCAGTGGCTGCGCTGCGGCTCTGTCTCTCTGGAGACACTGTAGGTCCCGTGCGCTTCGCAGCGCTGCACTACGCGGAAACCTTGCGCGTGCTCGAGGTGCGCGCCGCCGCCTCTCCGGAGCTAGACGCTGCTCTGGAGTTGCTCGCGGCCAGCTGCCCGGGCCTTCAGGAAGTGCACTGCTTCTGCGTGGTGCGACCCTCGGTCCCGCACGCTTTCCGTGCGCACTGCTCGCGCCTGCGCAGCTACACGCTCAAACTAAAGCGGGAGCCACATCCCTGGCGGCCCACACTTGTGGAGTGATGGGGCAAGCCTCTCCCGCTGTGAGATGCTGGGTGAGTTTGGCCAAGCGCGCCCCAACTGCTACCCTGCTCCTTCAGGACTCTGTGGCCTCTTGTGCGTCTCGGGAATCGTGGGGCGGGGGTCGTCCAGAGTCCACTTGATGCTCTCAGCTTCTGCAGACTCCGAATGTCCCTCGGTACCCTCCTCCAACTTCCCTCTGTGAACGCTGTGCTAGCTCCTGAGGCCCTGGCGTGGGGTGGGAGAAGAGGGCGCCGGCGCTAGCCAGGGGTGAGTGTGAAATAAATCCTTGCAGTGTCTCAGCGTCCAGTGAAACACCAGGTCGGCTCTGAAGCGGGATGACAAGGATCCCAGAGGTCCGAGGAGCCGTCCAGACAGGAGTGGGAGGGAGCGAGACCTCAAGGTCCCTTATACTGATGCAGCTGTGGGAGTCAGGGGCAGTTCACTCCATGTCCTTGGAATGGCAACGCCCCAGGGTCCAGCGAGAGGGTGTCCGCTTCTCCTCTTCCCTCCCTCCCTCCCCCGCTCCTCTCTGACCGTCCTACCCGAGGCTTCACTGTGCCCATGATCATCACCTCCTAGGACTTTGCCAACTCACACCAGACTGCGCACAGGCTATTTCACCCGAAGAACAATGGAAGAAACAGCGGGTCTGAGAAGGGTGAAACTCGAACCCAGGTCTCGCTCTACCCCGCACCGCTGTACCCATGTCCTATCTCAGCGTGCCCTTTCTGTTTGCTGGGGCTGCGGCCCGGGCTGAGCCCCGCCCCGCGGATTTGCACGTGGCCCCCACCTGACCCTGCGCCGGGAGGCGGAGTAGGGCGGGGCGGGCGGCAAACACTGAGCTTTCCGAGGCTTTGACAAGCCCGCGGCGGCCCAGGCCGAGGGCTCAGCCTCCGAGACTACACCATGCAGGAAGCGCCAGCCGCGCTGCCCACAGAGCCGGGCCCCAGTCCCGTGCCTGCCTTCCTCAGCAAGCTATGGGTGCTGGTGGGCGACCCGAGCACCGACCACCTGATCCGCTGGAGCCCGGTGAGGGCTGGGGCCCCTCGACTTCCCCAGTGGTACCCGGGATTCCTCCACGTCAGTGAACATCGCTCCCACCCAACCCCCGCCTGGGACAGGGCCGTGGGTTCCCCAATTCAGCGGTCCAGGGTAGTTCATCTTGGAGGGGGTGTGCGAAATGGAGATAAAGTGATTTCCTTGGAGCCAAGAGTAGGATCCTTCTGGAGAACTAAAGCCAGAAGGATTTTTGTGGTCATTTAGTTCTCACGGCACCCCATCGGACAGATGGGGGAAACAGAGGCCAGAGGAGAAGGGCTCGGTCCGGTCCTAGCTCAGGGTCACATTACCGGTCCCAGGCTCCAGGTCTGGCCTTTGCACCTCCTTTCGGAGAACCAAGAACGGAGTCTGGGTTGGGCTGGAGTGGGGATTCATTGTGATCGCCCCAGGACAGGCCTTAGAACTGGTTCTAGCCTGGCCTCCTCCCGTATCCCCATGAGCAACAGGCTGGGTTCCTAGAGTGACTATGCATGTGAGTGTGCGCGCCAGAGCACGGACCAAGACGGGAGCGGTAATGCTCACGGTGTCGTCCGGTCTCCTCCCGCTTGGTTGGTGGGAGGGCGGTGTTCTCCGCAGAGCGGGACCAGTTTCCTCGTAAGTGACCAGAGCCGCTTCGCTAAGGAGGTGCTGCCCCAATACTTCAAGCACAGCAACATGGCGAGCTTTGTTCGGCAACTCAATATGTGTGAGTCCCTAAGGCCAGGCAGGGAGCAGGGGTGGGTGACTTGGTGCTCGGGGATGGGCAATTGACGGCTCCACGCCACACTCCCTAGATGGTTTTCGGAAGGTGGTGAGCATCGAACAGGGCGGCCTGCTCAGGCCCGAGCGCGACCACGTCGAGTTCCAGCATCCGAGTTTCGTGCGTGGCCGCGAGCAGCTACTGGAACGCGTGCGGCGCAAGGTGGGGCAGACTGCAGGAACCAGCAAACTCAGGCGCCGGTTTGGGGACGGCTGGCCGTGTTTTATGTGACTCAGGCCCGTCGGCGCCTCCCACCTGCAGGTGCCCACTCTGCGCAGCGACGACGGCCGCTGGCGCCTGGAGGACCTGGGCCGACTGCTGGGCGAGGTGCAGGCTTTGCGGGGAGTGCAGGAGAGCACCGAGGAGCGGCTGCGGGAGCTCAGGCAGTGCGGGAGTCTGGGAGGCGGCGGGGGTGGGGGGCGGGTGTAGGAGGGTAGGGAAGGGGCGAGAGGGCAGTGTGGTTCTGGGCAGCTCCTTCCTCTCATGCCTTGGCGCCTTCATCCAGACAAAATGGGCCGGGTCGTCGGGCTCTGTTCTCTATGGATGGATGATCATGCTGGGGGTCGCAGGTTGGGGCCTGCCATTCAGTGGAGAGTGGCTACTGGGCAACTCAGAAGCCTCAGCACCCTCCCACACCTTCCCCCAGGCAAAACGAGATCCTGTGGAGAGAGGTGGTGACGCTGCGGCAGAGCCATGGTCAGCAGCACCGCGTCATTGGCAAGGTGTTCCTCTCGGCCACCCCAGTTCTCTCCCACTCCTGAATACCCTGCTCTGTCCAGTCCTCTAACCCATCTGGAAATGCCTCATTAGGATGGGGGCAAGGTTCATAGGATGATTTAACCCTTTGCTTCCTCTTCAGCTGATCCAGTGTCTCTTTGGGCCACATCAGGCTGGGTCCAGCAGTGCAGGAGCTAAGAGAAGGCTGTGAGTGAGAAAGCTAGGGGCGCTCCCCTGCCCCCTCCCCCCCCCAGCATCCTCCCTGCCTGAGGCCTCATACAGGGCACCCATTCATCAGAAATCCTCACCACCCCCCCACTCCCACACCAGATGCCAGTCTTCCTCACCCCACAGCCCTCTCCCCAAAAGCCCTCTTCCAGGACTTTCTCCCTCTACCTCTCAGCTTCACTACCAAAACTCCCACTCTTAGATGCCTCAGTTCCAGGACCTTAGCCCCAAATTTCTACCCCAGCAGCCCCTTCCCCCTCACCCCAAAGCATCCCAACATCAGAGGGTCCGGGACTCAAACCATGCTCCCTCCCTCTCCTCTCTACCCCCAAAGGGCCCCTCTCCGGGGTGAGCCCCAGCTGCCTTCAGCATGTGACTGATGCCCTGGCAACAGGCCTCAGCTCTGCTGACTTGGCGGCTGGGGCCTGTGGGAGGGAGGTGGTGCAGGCTGAGGGGCATGGGAGACGAATCTGCCCAGCCCCCTGTCTGTGCCCCGCCACCCTGCACAGGTCCCTGATGCTGGATGAGGGATGCTCCTGCCCATCACCGGCCAAACTCAGTGCCTGTTCCCTACCTGGTGCCCTCTTGCAGGACCCCCACTTTATCCAGTCGGTAGGTTTTGCTTCTCCTCCCTTCCCTAGGGCACAGCTGGGCTGATGGAAAGCCTATTCCTATTCCCCATTCCTCCCCCAAAAAAGAGGAGATGGAAGTCAGCCTTTCCCCCCACTCCCTCTCACACACCAGACCAGGCTGCCCCACATGGGCAGCAAAACTTCCCCCTTAGACCTGGTCCATGTGGGTACTGGTTGGGTTCTGGCTATTCTGTGGCTGTGGTGAAGGGTTGGCCCTAATCTTTTGCTTACAGCCCCTCCCAGAGGCCGCCTTGGGCCTCAGCTGCCCTCCCAGGGCCAGGGGCCCCATCATCTCCGACATCCCGGGAGACACTCCATCCCTTGAAGGGACCAGGCTTTCTCCCTCCACTGGTGGCAGGAGGTAACAGGAGCAGACAGGCGCTGTCCTCAGGGAGTCTTGGGGAGAGCCTGGCAGCCCAGATGGCTGTGGGGGTCGGGGAGAGGTCAGCGTCAGGGTCTGGTTGAAGCTTTTCTCTGGTGCAGGGAGAAGGGCCTGGCATTGCTCAAAGAAGAGCCGGCCAGCCCCAGGGGGGAAGGCCAGGCCCAGCTGGCCCTGGCCCCAAACGAGTGTGACTTCTGCGTGACAGCCCCCCCACTGCTACCTGTGGCTGTGGTCCAGGCTATCCTGGAAGGGAAAGGGAGCTTCAGCCCTGAGGGGCCCAGGAATGCCCAACAGCCTGAACCAAGGGGTCCCCCAGAGGTACATGACAGGTGAGCAGAGACCCCGTTCTTGACTGTGAACCTTGGCAGTAAGACCAGCACTAACTAGGCCCTGAAACTTCCCAGTCTTGTCTGTCCCTGGGTGGCTGATGGGGATATTGGGTACTATGATATGACCTGATTTCTCAGAGTTGCTCTAAGGAGTACCAGCATCATAGGTCCTGGAAAGTGGAAACATCTCTGTGTAGGGCTCAAGAATCTGCAGTTTAAACATGTTCATTGGGGTGGTTGTAAAGATTGTAAAATACACAACAGTTAAAAACTACTGGAATTGCATAGGGAGGGGACACGATCCCAAGACCCCAGCTCTGCAACTCAAACCTCAGGCCAGAGAGAAGAGGCAGAGGCACTCTATGCACCCCTCTATGTGTGAGTGCAGGGACCTCTCCTAGCATGTTCTAGATATTGTTAGATTTAGATCCTGATGTACGCAGATTTCTTGGGAACCCAGTTGAGGCGGGGAGAGTTACTGCAGGCCAACAGCAGTTCTCTGTGCACAGGGGGCCTCTGGGCCTGGAGAGGCGGAGCCAGTGCCCAGAGAGTCTTGAGCCTCCAATGCTACTTCAGGCCCCACCTGAAAGTGTGGAGCCTGCAGAACCCCTGGATGTGAGTACACCTTCAGCAGGGTATGGGGCTTGCTGGGGTCCAGCTGTCTGTGCAGCCTGGGAAAGGCATTATTGACCTGAGGTTCCCCCAGGTGCTGGGCCCCAGCCTCCAAGGGCAGGAATGGATGCTGATGGACTTGGACATGGAACTGTCCCTGGTAAAATGGGGGTGGGGAAGGCAGGGGATTAGGGGTTGCTAGGACAAGCCCTTTGGTCCATGGCTGTTCTCTTTCAGCCAAAGCCCCAGCAGCTCCTTCCCCAGCTTCTTTGTGGGGTTCTCCCATGCAGATGCAGCCCTTGGTTCCACAGAAGGGTGAGACTGAGCTGACAGTAAAGGGGTTAAATTCTCCAGGCCCAGGTAATAGGTCGTGGTGACTCCATCTGGGGGGAGGCCCTGTTTGGCCAGAGCTACCATGATTAGGTGGGCTGGGCAGTTTGTGTTTCGGGGGACATCCCTTGAATTCAGGCTGCCCTGAAATGAGCTGCTTAAGCCACCCATCCCAACTGGGTCAGAGTGGGGAAGTTGAGAATGGATGTTTCATCCTAGCTGATAAGAGGGCAAGGAGGGTAGGCTCTTTTTCCCTGAAGAAAGTGGGACATTTCTCCCCGCTGAGCACAGCCCCACTCCTCCTAGGGAAGGCTTCCGCTCTTGGGGCACCACTCCTGCTGGACGTCCAAGCGGCTTTAGGAGGCCCAGCTCTCAGCCTGCCTGGAGCTTTAACCATTTACAGCCCTCCTGAGAGCCGGGCCTCCTCCCTGGGCCCCGGGGCGGACCCCTCGCCCTGAACCCTCTCCAGTCGGAAGCCACCCTGGCTTGAGGGCTGGCCGGCAGCCTCACGCCCTTCTCGGATTCCTAGCGCCCCCTGGTGGAGGCTGAGCGAAGACCCTGCTACTGGGCTGCCCCTTTCCACTATCAAGTTATGTACATAAACCGCATTTTCCCCTATGTTTCTCGTCTCTTTTCTCTACCGACCAGGGAGTACAGAAGTCATGGGGGATAAGGGGCTATTTTGCATTCGTAGAAGCTTTCAGATCCTAGGGTTTTAATGGGGAAGCCCCTGGAGAGTAGAATGCTTGAGGAGCCTGCTCCTAGTTCCCTGCTTAGGGCCGGTGTCTGGCCACTGCACCCTTCAGGAAGTGGGAGCTTTGGGGGTCACACCCGGCTCCGCAATGGATCCGCTCTGTGATCCTGGGTAAGCTGGTCCCCTTCTCGGAGCCTTATCTGTGGCAGATAAAGAGGAGTCGACGAGAAGATAAGAGTAAAGCGCCTGGGAATTGCCAGGCCCAGAGCGGGCACCGGGTGCGTGAGCCCGCGGACCGCACTGCCTCCTCGCTGCCTCACTGGGCGCCTGGAGTTGGGAGGGACAGCGGGCTACAGGAACGAGCCCAGGCAATGCGCGGCCCCGGCAGTCGGCCTCCCTGGGTGCGGACCAGAAGGCCTGCTCTCCGCTACCTCCTCCCGGTTCCCGGCAGCCCCGGCTGCCCTGGTTGCCCCGCCCTCCCCTCCCCCGCCGCAGCTGCTGCTCCCACCGCACCCCCGCCCAGCCCTTTCTGCCTCGTCATCTCCTACCCCGCCAAGGCTCGACCGGTGAGTGGGGCCCTCCGAGCGCACCGGACCGGGAGCCCCACTCCACCCGGCTGGGGTAGGGAAGAAAACTGAGACCGGGCGGAATCTGTGCGCCCACCCGCGGCGCTCTAAGGTCTGTGAGCTCCGCCCCTTCGCAGGAGTTTAACTCTGGGCTCCGGTGTAGGGGAGATAAGGGAAGCTTGTGGTCGCACCTGGGCAAAGGCTCCCGCAGTTTCCCACGCCGCTCGCTCCCTAGCGAAAGACCCCGCGGAAGCCAGGTGGGGAGGGGGAGCCGAGACCCCCCTCCACGCCTCAGACTTGGAGCTGCCTGGTGCCCCGGGAAGGATCTGACCCGTGACCCACCCTTGAAGGACTGGCTGGGACACAACTTCGGTACAGTATTGACCTCTAAGCATTGAGTCTGGGAGGGCCCACACTAGCTGAGGTCTCTGAGCCCAAGGGGAGGAGACTAACATAAAAATAACTAGGTTAGGAGTGAGGGAGAATGAGGGGACCAATCCAACCTGCCCCCTCCCTCTCTACACCTGTACACAAGTAGGTTCTGTCCCCTCTCCTTGCAACCGTGATGGGAGGACAGTCTTTGGAAGCCTCAGCTGAAGAGAGTAGAGGGTGTGTGTGTACACGGCGCAGTGATGCCAGTTAGCATAGTGCGGCAGGTATGCGCTATTCTCTCGGGGTACACAGGAAATGAGATGGAGCCAGTCTGCCTATAACACACTCAGATATTGAAGGGGACATTTGAGTTTTGGAGGATGGGTCCACATCTTGGAAGACGGGGAAGGGTATTTAAGGAACAGGTTTAAGGAACAGCACCTGCTGAGGTTCAGAACTGCCAGGGGCTTAGTGAGTCCTCCTGGTACTGAGGTTGGGGGCTGGGGGGTGAGGAAGCCCTGGCTGTCCAGGAGATGTGGCAGAGCAGCCCGGCAGGATAGTCTGAATTCTCTCTGATGGGCAGTGAGGAGAAGGGCAGGTAGTTAGGGCTGACGTCCTGCTTGGCAGGAGACCTCATTGTAGTTCAGGTTGGAGCAAGTCAGATCACAGTCTTGGCCCTTGGTCTCTCTTAGACTGTCTTCTCATCTGTAAAATGGGGACAATAAATCCTGCCCCAGAGAGTTGTCAGAAATCACTGTGCTGTGGGGGTGATGAGATGGGAGTGAGAGGTATTTGGAGAGACTGTCAAAGGATATGAGGTGAGCATGGTGGGGTTGAGAAGGTGCTGATGGAGACTCCCTGAAAGGTGGAGGCACAGCCTCTGTCACAGGTGCAACATGAACGGAAAAGGAGGGGCAAGGGGTGATCCTAGTCTCTAATCAGTAACCTGCCTGGGGGAAGGGTTGATACTGCAATGTGACCCGCAGGGGTGAAGTGACCAGGGAGGCACAGCATGATACCAGAATGTAATCAATGACCTGGAAGGCAGGAGGCTGTTAGGACCAAATCTGCTCTCCCAAACCTAGAGCCGGGTAAGGAGGTAGAGGAGAGACCCCAAAGGGAGGACAAGACCAGGAGGGTGCTATGTGGACAAAGCTAAGGCTGGAGGAAATGGACTAAGAGAGCATGTGGTCCAGGGCCTGACCTCTCTGCCCCTTATTGCCAGGGGCCTGGCTGCCTGGGTCAGGACACTCAAGAGAGGATGAGCCATTGTCCTTAGATGTCAATGAGTGGACAAAGCAAATTAACTCCTGCCTAACACCTGCTGATTGGTAGAGGCAGTGTCTCATAATGGAAGGATCCATGGAAGAGACAGTAAAAGTTGGGCAAGCATTTAAAAATACATTGTTGGTAGCTTTTTTTGATTTGGGCCCTGGGTACTTCAAGAGGAAGCAAGGGATGGCTGTGTGCCATTCCCAGGGCAGCAGGGAGACAGCTGGGCCTTGGGTGATGCCAGGAGCACTTGGTCAGAGCCACGACTAAAGAGAATTCAGGTATCCCTGTCCAGGTATTAGGGAACCACTGGGGCTGCACATGGTGGTGGCATTGGTGAGGGGGTGCAGCGGCAGGTCCTGTCCTGGAAAGATGTATCTCAGGGTCAGGATAGGGGTGTGGTCATTCTCCCGTGGGTGAGAGGAGCAGGGAAGGATCTCAGCACTGGATGCTCTGCGTGCAGGGGGATCAGGGCTCTGCAGGGTTTAGGCTGGAGGTGAAGGCCTAAACTGTGAAAGCAGTGAGGGCAACAGAGAAGTATTCAGCAGACAGACTGGAAAGGACTTGACTGCAAGCTGGATGTGGGGTCTGCCTGTTAAGGGCGGGAAGCAGGTTTGGCAAAGAGAAGTTAGTTTGGATAAACTGGGTCTGAACAGATCGTAGAATCTGCAGGCAGGTGGGATTCAGAATGGAGGTCCTAGTTGGGGAGAGCAGTCAGGGAGTAGATAAGGGCCCTGGGAGGGCGGGGAGAGGAGAGGGGAGGAGGGCCACAGCTGATGTTTAAGGAACCAAGGAGAAGCCTGAGGAGGAAACAGAACAGAACCGATCTGAGGCAGGAGTACAGTCCGGAGCTGCGGAGCTGTCCAGCCCCCGGGGTCGAGGTGAACTTGGATCCCAGCCACAGGTGTTCACTGGAGCCCTGGGAAAGAGGCCAAGGGCGGACAGGCCCCAGCCCCCAGTACCTCTCTCCCCCTCTCCCAGGCATCCCCCACAATGGGCAACGCGCAGGAGAGACCGTCAGAGACTATTGACCGGGAGCGGAAACGCCTGGTAGAGACGCTGCAGGCGGACTCTGGGCTGCTGCTGGACGCGCTACTGGCGCGGGGCGTGCTCACTGGGCCGGAGTACGAGGCATTGGATGCGCTGCCTGATGCCGAGCGCAGAGTGCGCCGCTTGCTGCTGCTAGTACAGAGCAAGGGCGAGGCCGCCTGCCAGGAGCTGCTGCGCTGCGCCCAGCGCACTGCGCGCGTGCCCGACCCTGCCTGGGACTGGCAGCACGTGGGCACTGGTGAGTGCGCATGGGGCGGAGCCTAGGCCAGAGTAGAGGGTGTGATGGGGGCGGAGTTCTAGCCTCCCCCAGAGGTGGGAGTGTGCAGAGAAAACTGCAGAGGGTTAAATTGAGCCTGAGACACTCCCACCCCTACCCCAGGCTACCGGGAACGCAGCTATGACCCTCCATGCCCAGGGCACTGGACACCTGAGGCAGCCGGCTCAGGGACCCCATGCCCTGGGCTACCCAGAACTTCACATTGCGATGAGACCGGAGGTCCAGAGAGCTCCGAGGCAGTGCAATCCGGATCCCTCGAGGAGCCCGAGACAGAGCTAGAAGCTGAGGCCTCTGAAGGGGCAGAGCCAGAGTTGGAACTGCAAATGGATCCAGAACCAGAGGCAGAACCAGAGCCTGAACTAGAGCCAGAGCCAGAGCCAGAGCCAGAGTTGGACCCGGATCCAGAGCCTGACCTAGAGCCTGAGCCCGAACCAGAGCCGGAGCCAGAGCCGGAGCCAGACTGCGAGGCAGGAGATGAATCTGAAGGTGGTCAGCTGCCTAAATCCAGTGACAGGTTGGTGGGGGGTTGTGGCCCAGGAGGCAGATGGTGGGCCCCACCTGACCGACCTCTCTCCCCTTTCACCTCTAGATTCCTGATGGCCAGATCGCTGAAGGGCCACCCCTCATCAAAGCCAAATGGGACCCGGATCCTGCCATGGCAGAGTTGGATTACCACCAAGGCTCCACCTGGCCTGGTATTCACTGAAAGTGAATAAACTCTGGAGGGTCAGTCTGGGCGCCCTATGATTCTGGCTCTTTGCCAAAAAATAAAGGTGACCTGGGGAGCCCGGTGCCCCATCACCTAGCCCTATTTTGTCAACAGCTCAAGCTGCATCTCTGGAGATCCAGGATCCAGGAGCCCAGTGTGATTAAGGGTCTGACTTGGGCGCTTTTATCTTCCTAAACCATTTGGGGGCATGTGTTGTCACCAGCTCTATTCCATGGAAGCCCCTGGGCCTGGCACAGAAAGCCAGGGAAGGAGAATTTTTCTCCACTGGGCGGGGGGGGGGGGGCTAGAGCTGACAGCCTTGGAAAATGAGACTAGGAGAGAGGAAGAAGGAAGGATCTTGGGTAGATAAAAACCACACGCACTTTGTTGTAATCGTTGTTTTAATTATCTGGCTTCTCTCTGGACTGGGAGCTCCGTGAGGGTTTGACCAGTACGCAGAAGGTCATCTATGCATATGCACTAACTAAATGAATAAGGAGTTTCTAGCTGCATTTCCGAATTTTACAGATGGGAAACCTAAGGCCAAGGATGGGAGTGGGACTGGGCCAACCTCACACAGCTGAGTCGGAGGTGAAACTGGAAGCGACAACCATCTCTGTACCTCTCCTGGTCCAGAAGGGTTCAGGACTTGGCTCTGGTCAGAGAAGGGCTCTGACAACTAGGGGCCTGCCCCTCAGGCTTGTTTGTGGCTGCTGCCGTGCTATGACAACCTCTGTCAGAGACCAGCTGTGAGGGTGTGGGCAAAGACAGGGACAACAGAGGTCAGCGGAGGGGGTGGGGGCATGGGCAGGGCCAGATGAGCTCTTGGGCTCAACTCACAAGGCCTAAAGGACTGTGTGTGTATGTGTGTGTGTGTGTGTGTGTGTGTGTGTGTGAGAGAGAGAGAGAGAGAGAGAGGAGAGACTGGGGCTAGGAACATGGGTGCCTTCCAAAGGAGCCCTGTTCCTTCCCCCGAACCTTTCAGGCACTCCTGCTTCCCAGTCTCAGGAAGTAGAGCATATAAATAGGGAATAAATACTTGAGCAGCGGGAGAGGCAAAGTCCTGGAAAGCACATCCCAGCCCAGCTGAGTCTCTAACTACCAGGACCCTTGCCTGTTGAGTCTGTGTGAAAGCTGGGACCCCAGGCTCAGGTAATTGCCTCAGGAGAAGGGAGAGCCCCACCAGGACCCAGTGAGAGGTAGACAGCATGAAAGCTGAAGGAGCACCAAGGGGCCAGGTGGGGGAAGGGAGACTGGAGTACGCAGACACCCAAAGCCATCTCATGCAAGAAAAAGTTTCTACTCCCAACCACCCCCCAAGTCCCATCCATGCTCAGCTTCTCTGCTGCCCAGGCCTCCCCTCTGCTCAATAGACAGGCAGGAGGGCAGACTGAGTTTGTCCAACATGCTGCTCTCCGGGTCCCAGGGAGGCTAGCAAGGGACACAAGCCCACTGATGTTGCCACTCCTCCCTCCTGAGGTGCTCTGCCCTCCCAGCTTCCCCAAGAAACACCCAGGCCCTGGAAGCACACAGCAGCCATCTTTGTGTTTGGGGGATGATCTGGAACCCTCAGCCAACATCAGTCAGGCAGGAGGCGGCCCAACTCTGCTTCATCCAGCCTGTTGGTGGCCATGATGTGCTCTAGCTGCTGCCGGTACCGTGCCAGGTCCTGCATGAAGTGGGGCACCCGAGTGTTGTCCAGCACTCCATGGGGACGCAGGTGGTCTACATCCTCATAGGACACCTGCAGGGAGGAAGCTGGGTCTGAGGGGTAGGCAGAGGCCCTGGCTTTCAGGTGGCTGGTCCCAGCTCTCTACCCATGGCTCATTGTCCTTTGTGTCTGGCGCTCCTCCCTTTCCCCCGCCTGATCCTCTCCCAATGTTCTGTATTCTGAGGCCCAGTCCTGGCTGTTTGCTCTTTCAACACCTTCTTTTATCATCTATACTCCCCTCCCATCTCCAGCCCAGCTCCCCTCACCTCCAAACCTGGGTATCCAATTGCCTTCTGAACACCTTCTCCTAGATAGCTCACAGGTACCTGAGGCTCCCCGTACCCAGCACTGAACTCCTGGGTGTCACACTATGCCATCCACTCTCCTGACAGTTCCCTAGGCCAGATTCCAGGGAGGGGGCTGGAATCTGTCATCCTCCCACTCAGGGTGGCCACTGAGCTCAAGGGATTCCACTCTCTGAAGAGCTTGCCAGCTTGCCCCTCTCTCTCAAACTGCATGTCTATTGCTCGGCTAGACCAGACCACCATCAATCCTGCAGAAGTGATTAGAAAGGCCTGCCCTGGCCCGTGGGGCTCAGTGGATTGTGGGCTTGCAAATAAAAGGTCACTGGTTCAATTCTGGGCCAGAGTGGTGGTCCAGGTCCCCAGTTGGAGGCATGTGAGAAGCAGCGGATAGGACCAATGTTTCTCTCCCTTTCTCCTTCCCTTCCCTTCTTAAAAAAAAAAAAAGCCTCCTCCTCTTGTAAAGCAAGCATCTGTGCCACTCATCTACTTAAAGCTCCTCTGATTCCCCGTTGCTTCAGATGTTTATCTTTCTCAGCCTGGCACAGATACCCAGTGCCAGGGACTTGGTCCCTGGCCATTTTTCCAGCCTCCATCTCTAGGCCTTCCTGACTGCTCCTTTGGTCTGGAATGATCAGCTCCATCGAGGTGCAGTATCTACACACATGCATCTGTGGGCTGAGTCAAGCATCTGCCAGACGGTTGTTTCACCTCCTCTTCTCACCTTCCCCCACCAGAGAGGCCTGGCACCCTGACCTCAGTCAAGCACCTCTCACAGCCTCAGGGAATACTGCGATGAAGAGGGGAGCTGGCTGGGACCGCTGAAGGCCCGTGGCCACTCACCTTGCCCAGCGAGGTCAGCAGAGGGAAATCGATGGTCTGGCGGTGCCGCAGAATGCGCACGATGCCATCCAGATACACCTGGTCCTTGCTGAAGCAGCCTGTGGGCACAGAAGGGCCGTGAGTCCCTACACCGGAAGCCACCTCTGCCCCTGCCCCAGTTCAGGGTACTTCCCGCGTGGGTACCGACCCGGCAGCGAGGTGTCAGTCTGGCCACGCTTGGCGCGCACGCAGTACTCCCAGCGCACATCCGCATCCTGCACATAGCGCGCCAGGTCCTGGAAGAGCTGGCGGAAAGACATGTGTGCGGCTCGGTAGATGGTGTAGTAGAGCAGCGCTGCGCGCCACAGGAAGGGCTGCTTGCGGAACAGCACGCTGTGCAGGCTGGCCAGGCCCTCCTCGGTGGGATTCGCTGGCCGCAGGCCGTACTGCAGCCGGCCCTCGGCGCTGTGCCAGGGCTGCCGCGCATTGTTCACGCCTCGCAGGTAGTGGGTGCCTGTGGGAGGATGAGGGAGGCGGTGCTGGGGACGTCACCCAGAGAACCGCCCGCCGGTCCTCTAACCCGGACCCACGCGCGTATCCTCCTGCCCCTAAACTCGGGCTCTCACATAAGCTTTCCGGCCACCCCCACCCCGTCCTGCCCATTCACCCAACCCCAGGCAGCACGAAATCCCTCCTCAGGTGAATCCGCACCCAAGGACCCACAGGGTCTCTCACACAAGAACCCTCCCCCACCCATCCAGGGCCCCGCGCGCACACACACACACCCTCTCCCAAACACAGTGCTCCCCAGCCCCCTGGGGAGGAGCAGAAACTCACACACCACCCCAGCTCCACATCCTGCAGGCCCATATCATTTTGACAGTCACGTCTATGTCCCTAGCAAAAAACCACCTTTGCCCAGAGCAACAGGATTCTTGATGAGGGACAGAGAAGAATAGTTAGCGTCCCATGCTCTCCTTTCCAGCCTGGCCTACCCGCTCCCATACCGAGCTCTGTGTGTCCTCAGCCAAGTCCATTCCCACCCCGGAGGGCCTGTATGTTGGCTCAGCTAGTGGGACCTCAGGGTTCTCCCTCCGGCCTGCCCAGGCCTCAGCAGCCTGTCCCAACTGCCAGGGGAAATCAGAGAGGAAGTGGAGGGAGAAAAGATGAGGGTGAGCCCAGGGAGTGGGAAGGCACGCTGGGGCCTCCCTCCATGAGCCAGAGAGAGGAGGTGACCGCTCATGAAAGGGAAGGGCCCTTTCTCGGAGGGAAGTGGGAGAGAGCGGTGGGGCTGCGGGGGCCCCTCCCTGTCCCCCCACATTCCAGTCCTCTCTCATTCCTGTGCACCCCCCAACCTACGCACGCCCTGACCTATCTCGTGCCGCAGCATGCCCTCCAGCCAGTACTGACGGGCTCCAGTCAGGTTGATGGCCAGTGTTGGTCGGCTGTTCTCCACCATCATCACGGCCTGGGACAGCAGGTCTTCACTCAGCTGCACCACGACCTGTGGCAGGAGCAGTGCCCTGAGCCATGGCCAGCAGCTCTGGGGCTAGTGTGTGGGTGTACCCACAAATAATGCCACAGGGCATCCTGGCTAGACACTTGGCCAGGACACCCACCCTTCATCTCTGCTCAGGGCCAGCTCCCACCTCACTAGGGCAGGGACAAGGCCTGCCAGGGGTCCCTAGTTGGCCAAGTGTGGAGCTGGGCCTGGCACCACCCACTGGGCAGCCCAGTTTGGGCATGTAGAAGAGAGTCCTCGCAGGCGGGGCTAGCTCACCTCCCCGACGCAGCCCTCCTTCTGCATGTATTTGCGCACAATGGACCAGATCTGGCACTTGGTCAGCAGCTGGCCCCCAGTCGCAGCCTCAAAGTGTTCGTAGGTGCCAAACTTCTCCAGGACAGCTTCAATGATGCCGACTGCCTGCACACAGGGCCGCAGTGGTGGGTCAGGCCAGGCCTCTTGGGCGGTCAGGGCCGGGGAGTAGTGGGCGGGCTGGACTGACCTGATGGATGAACTGTCCGGAGGCCTCGCAGTACTTCTCCAGCACAGCCGTAGGCAGGGGCTCCTGGTACTCGAACTGTGGGTTGTAGGTGTAATGGGACTGGAAGAACTTGTCCCGCTCACGGTCCATGTTGGTTGGCCGCAGGGCCACCAACATGCAGGGGCTCCTGCCGGCACCACGGCCTACATCCTTTCGAGTCTTAGCAATGTGAGGCAGGGAGGCTGCAGGCCTCAGGGTGCCCCCACCTGGATCCCGTCCTCGTCCAGGTGGCGCCCTACACTGGGTGCCACCCCTGCGCCGGCCAGTGCTATTTACGGTGCAGGTGCTCTCACTGCGGCGCATGTGGCCGCGGTGGCCCAAGCGCAACTCTGAGAAGGACTGCAGCTCCGGCCGGGGCCGTAGGGCTGAGGCTGACAGAGCCAGGGGCAAGGCCAGGGACCGAGGCCAGGGGCACAGCGGCGTCCCATCTCGGTCTGAGCGCTTCAGTGTAGGGCCCAAGGTTGAGGGACTGGCTGGCGGGCTGGGGGGTGGCTGCTCATACACCTGAGCCCCCGAGTCCAGCACCATTCTGTTCTGGGGGTCGCATCCAGCAAGGTTGCTCCAACTCCCCACACTGTCGACTTCTGGGGATATAGAGGGCAGAGGGAGGCCAGCATGAGTGGGTGTGGCCTGAGCGCCAGCAGGCCCTGTGCCCCACACTGCCCTTGCTGAGTCCCCAGGGGCCTGCGTGGCTGCCTCTTCACCCCACCCCCCGCAGTGTCCATTCCCTCCAGCAGGCTCACCCAAGCAAGTTGGACTGGGAGAAAGCAGGAGGAAGAGTCTTATACACTCTCCTAGACGGTGGTTCCTGGAACACCCTTAGCTTGTGAGCTCCAGACATCAGGCCTGAGCCCCTATTCATTATTTTTAATCCCTGTGCTCAGCCCCTACTATTATTTTAATCCCTATACCCACCTAGGCTGGAGGGTGGTATAATGTAGCCTCAGCTGCCGATTGATGGCTGAGGGGGCCTCACGACCTTCTATCTGCCTTCTACCTATGGCATTTTTCAGTCCCCCCCGCCACCCCTGGGCCCACCCACCTCCTCTAGCCCATTTGGCTCCAATCAGTCTGAGTGCCTGCATACCCTTTCCTTATGCTGGTCCCTCCACCTGGAATGCTTTCTGTCCATTGGGTCATCGGTTCAAATCCAATTTAGAATCCAATTTTGGGGGTCAGAGGGAAACGTTAGCAAATCCAAGCCAGTCCCTGGTCTGTCCCCTATCAGAGGCATCTTCCTAGTTGTCATCCAAGGCTGGTGTCGGGGCACTCAGCCCTGAACGTACCAGGGCTCAGTCTGATGCAGTCTCTCTCCAGAGAGTGACTGAAGGCTCCAGCCTCTGAACTCCCTTGCCTGCTCAGGGGCACAATTCAGTATTTCTCCTCTCTTCTACACCTCCTACATCACCAATATCTTCCTCTCTGCTGGATTCATTCCACCAGAATAAATACGTGCTGTTATTTCTCCATCTCAAAACCAAACCAAACCCTCACTTGACCCCAACTCCTCCGGCAATAGCACCACTCCCTCTAGCTGCTCCTCAATGCAGCACAACACGTCAAGGGTCATCTATACTCAGACTATTTCTTTCTTCTCCTCTTCCCTCTTAAATTTCACTCCAATTAGGCCCCCCTCCCCAAATTTCTATTCAAACTGATCTGACATAGGTCATCAAGGGTCTTCATATTGATTAGCAGCACTTGACACAGTTAATCACTTCATTCTGGAAACATGTTCTCCACTTGGCTCCCCAAATCTACCGCCTTGGCTGTTTGTTCCCCATCTTCCTTGCTGGTCATCCCTATCTTCCTAACTTCTTCACACTGTAATGCACTCAGAAACTTCTCTATTTGTGCTCACTCCCTAGGGAATCTCATCCACTCTCATGGTTTTAAAATCCTCAGCCCAAACTTTTGTAAACTTCAGACCAGTGTTGCCAGTTTTCAATTCAACATCTTTACTGGACTGTATAATAGGCATCTCAAACTGAACATGTCCCCTGTCTGGAACGGCTTCCCCCTGCCCCCATATAACTGGAGGGGTCACTCTCTCACATTCTTTGGATTTCTGCACAAATATGTTATTAGAAAAGCCTCCCTAGCCCTGACTGGGTAGCTCAGTTGGTTTGAGCGTTGTCCCAATATGCCAAGGTTGCGGGTTTGATCTCTGGTCAGGACACATAGTAGAACAACAAATAGATGTTTCCTTCTGTCTCTCTCAAAATCAATTTAAAAAGGAAAGAAAGGCTCCCTATAACATACTCTATAAAACAGTGAACATGCTCTCCCTCCTCCACCACAATTCCCCACCCCCTTTTTTACATTACTGTTCTCTATAGCAGGTATCACCATTTGTTATCTGTTTTCTCCTTTCAAGTCTTCACAGTGTGTCCCCAGGGCCCAGAACAGTACCCAGAGCAGCTGCTCAATAAATAACTGAAGCCAAGAGTCCTTCTTTTCATAACTGGAATCATTCCTTTCTTGCACTTTGTTTCCGCATCTGGATCTGATCCCCCCGCCCCACATTCCTTTCCCTCTGCTTAGAGGCCAGCTGCTTGAAAAGATTTCAGGCCTCAGGCTTCACTCCCCTCAACTGACTGTACACTTTCCTGGACTCTTCACTGGTCTCCTGCCCTCCACCTGGACCAGCCCCCCTTCATCTTTCCCTCTTTCCTTCCACCTACCTCTTCGCGATTACCAGAATACATCTGTTTCTTTTATGTCTCAGGTCCTTCTGCCAAGAATGCTTTCCCAATGTCTCCCTTAAGCAAACTCATGCCCATTTTTCAGGGCTCGGTTTAGGCCTCACCTCCTCCGGGAAGTCTTCCAGGCGTCTTAGAGGCTCCTAGTGCCTAGGCGGCCCCTTTACCGCCCTAGGCTGTCACTGTCGTAGCCTAGGTCCGTGTGCCCTCACCATCTCCTGAACTCCCAAAGGGGAGGGACGGGCCTGATTCACCCCCATGCCCCAAGCACACAGCACTAGATGCAGAATGAATGAAAGATGGCTGGGGGAGGAACCCAGACTGAAGGCGGAGTCTGGTGACAAATAAGAGGGTGTGGCCTGCGCCAATAGGAAACTCCGGGAGAAGATAACGTGGAAGAGGAACCAATGGGGACGGAGGTGTCGAGGAGGGGCGTGACATGCAGCCTATAAACGGCGGGGGAAGGGGCAAAGAGCGTGCTCAATGGGGGGCGGGGCCAGAGGACAATAGACGGGGGGATTCCTTGGTAGGTAATGTGGGGTTCGCGTTGCGCGCCTTCTCAGCCCCTCGGGGTGAAAGGGTTCCATCCTCGTGCCTCACCCCCACTTGTTCGCTGCTCTTCTGTCTCCGCCGTTCCTCCTCCGAAACATCGGTAACCGGCAGCCCCGCCCCCGCGAGTTGACGCCGGGGACGCAAGCACTCCCGAGCGCGCACGCTCACGGGAAAGCGCTCGGACCTGCGTGCAACTCGTCGGCGGCGGGAGTCGGAGAACCCAGCTGAGGGATGCGGCAAGGCAGGGCAGAGAGGGCGGAGCCCGTCACCCGCTCACGTCCCTGGGCATCCCTGGACAGGGCATTGTCTTTTTTTTCTCTTAAGATTTTATTTTTAGAAAGAGGGGAAGGAAGGGAGTGGGCGAGGGAGAAAAAGGGGGAGAGAAACATCAATGTGTGGTTTCCATCCCGGGCGCCCCCTATGGGGGCCTGGCCCTTGACAACCCAGGTATGCGCCCTGACTGGGAATGAACCCACGACCTTTTTGGTTCGCGGGCCGGCACTCAATCTACTGAGCCACACCAGGGCATTGTATTGAGCCTGCTCCACCAGGGCCAGGCGGGTTTCAAGGCTTCAGGTACTTAAGTACCTGGCCTTCCGAGTCGGGTTCTAGGAGACACGAGATCACGGCCTCGGCGCAGATATATGGGGGTGCAGTCCGTACACGGTGGCGGAAGCACGGATACTTGGGAACTGATGCCGAGACAGTTGGGGGGCAGCCCGTATATCAGGACTAGAGACAGGATACCTTAGGCGTCTCCCTGCCCGTGGACCTAAGTGTCTAATATTCGCAGACACTTTTATCCCCACACCCTTCCCCAACACACAATTCAGACGTACAGCGGGCATAGCTTTATTCTGCGGGTAGCTGGGGGTCAGACACAGATCCCCGAGAAGATGCAGGAGGATGGAGCGGGCGTAGGTGCTGGCACAAGGCTGAAAAGTGCGCGGTGACCCGCGGGGGGCGAGGGCTGCGGGCCGTCCTGCAGGGAGCTGAGTGCGGCTAGGCGTTGCTCTTGGGAAACGTCCCCACGCAGGTCCAAGAGGGCGGAGACGTGATCGTGGCTATGTTATTTAAACAAAACCAAACCCTCACTTGACCCCAACTGGCTACCTTCCCAGGTTCCTTCTCTCTTTCCGAGCCTATTTGCCTACCTTACATCGGGAAATTGTTGCCGAAGGCTTGCCACCTCAAGGCTAAGCATTGTGGGGTCTCTGAGGTTCAGCAGCTTTCTCAGGGTGAGCAGCACCGGAGAGCACTGAACTCTCTCTTCCAGGCCCTGAACATGTTGGGGTAGGTCTTGAGCCAGCCCTTGGCTCCCACCCAACCACTGAGACTCCCGCCTGTCCGCTCGCCAAACAAGCTCTCACCAAACATAGGAAAAGATCCCGAAGCTGAGCAGCATCTTGCTGTAGGCGTTCGGCTGCCAGGTTCCGCTCGTCCGCATCACGGCACACCAGGCGGCCTTGCATCAGCGCACATAGGTACTGCAGCACCACAGTACGCTCTGTCTCGGCCAGGAGCACCTGCGGGGAGGGCGATTGGGTGGGTCCAGAGCGCCTTTCCCATCGGCGCTCCACCCTCACCAGCCTTTCCCCAACACACCTGGAACGCGGGATTCCGAACACGATAGAAGTTCTGGCAGAAGCTCTCTGTCCGCTTGCACACATCGTCCAGCACCTCTGGGCTCGACAGCCAACGGCGCGAGGGTAGAGCCGCGAACAGGGGCTGGGGGAGGGGTAACAGAGGCGGGGCTGGAAGGACGACCCAGACCCGGCATTTCGCGCAGACTCCCATTCATACGCTTTTTATCTCCTCCTACTCCCATCCCCACTTGAAGCCTTACCTGGAGCTCCACCAGCAGCGCTTCCAATACCAGTCGGCAGATCCTCCTCTGCAACTCGTCCAGCGCTGCCTGCACCGGAGTCAAGACCCCAGAAGCCACCCCATCGGGCTGCAAGACGGACATGGAGGAGCTGGACCAACCAAAAGTATGGTTTCAGGACCAAGGCCAAGGCCCTCAGAGCCCTCCGTGGTCTGGCCACTTTGAGCGCCGCCTAGTGGCTGAAGAGTGTGCGCTTGGGGGTGGGTGGCAGGGGAGGGGACAAGAAAGGCCATTTTCCGCACTTCTGAAGGTCTGGGGTTGTGGAGTGGTGGACTCAGCAAGCCAGAAAGTACACAGTCCAGCGGGACCTGCCTCTAATTTGCGCTGTGACCTTGCGCATGTCTTTCGGTTTCTGTTCCCTCGTTGATAAGGGGAGTAAGTACATCTCAGTCAGGAGGGAGTAAAGATCAGCAACTTATTTGTTTGCCCTCTCTCCTCTCATCCACAAAAATATAAGACCCAAGGGGATAGAGATATTTTTCTGTTTTCTTCACAGCTGTAACCCCAGACATTACCTGGCACAGAGTAGGACTTGGTAAGTATATGCTGAATGAATGAATAAATACATGAGACTATGTGTTAGGCGCTGTAGTAGGTACTTCACATGGAATGAGATTTTCATAACATCTCATTATTACCCATATAATACTAATGAGAAAAGAAAGATTAGGTAATTTTCCCAAGATCACACAGCTAATAATTAGTAGAACTGGGATTGGAACCACAGAACTATGTAAAGTTCCTAATAGCCTATTGAGTAAAGACTGGGTTCATACCTAACAGGTGTTCAGTCAGGGTTTAATGAAGGTGAGGTTCTGTAGGGGCCTTCTGATACCTGAGTGCTGACTGGTGGTTGAGGGCAGCCAGTAGGTAGGACACGTAATGAGGGGCCATTGCTTCCCCTCTGAGGTGATCTCGGGAGAATCGGATCAGAGCATCATTGAAGCTGCAAAGGGCAGAGGTAGCTCCTGTACTTCCTGTCACTCTGGTTCCCTAACAATCCCTGCCCCGAGAGTACCCTAGCCCCACCTCCAAGACACCCAAGGCACTGTTTGGAGGAGCCTTTTCCCACTGATATGCCTCGTTCACCCAGGGCCCCTGTGGGCTGCCCCAGGAGCAGGGCCAGGGGTGGGGGTGGGCAGTGCCTCAGCAGACCTCCTCAAGAATGTTCCCAGTTCTGACAGTGCCATGCCATGCGCCCGCCGCTGTAGTGACTCACTGACCAGGCTGGTCACTTGAATGTTCTCTTCCAGGATCTACAGACAGGCATGGGCAGCCATCAGTAGGGTCCCGGTCCTGCCCTTCCCCCCTTTTTTTTATAAGGGCTGACCACTGGGCTGCCCCTTCCCACCCACCTGCAGCACGATGGCTGGCATCGGCGAGTAGTAGAAGCCAGATGGGTCTGTGTCAGGCTCCTGCTCCTGCCCCCACTCAGCTACTTCCCCATCCAGTGCCCTCTGCAGCCACTGTGCCACACTCGCCTGGGGGAAGGATGGGGGGCAGCAGAATGCAGCAGGGCACAGCAGGGCACTGGCCCAGTTAGAGGCAGGTAAACAGGTGGCAGCACGGATACAGTTACACAGCCGGTGGTGGAGTTTCTCTGGACCTGGGCCCCAACTACTCACCCGGACGTGGGTCACAAATGTTGCCTCTAGCTGCTCGATATTCTCCAGGGTCAGGAGGGGTTCTAGCTGAGACACATCAGCCTCAGGCCCCAGTTCCAGACTCCCCATCATTTCTGGCCTGGCGATGAGTGGCCCAATGTCACACTGAGCCCCCAGCTCCTGACCCACCCACTTCCCATTGCCCCAAGGGCACTGACCCCAGGTACACATGCAGGGCCCAGTGCAGCAAGGTGAAGGCGTCAGCAGCTCCCAGCTCAGGCCCTTCCAGGAATTGCTGCAGGCAGCGACGCAGGCCACCATGCAGGGTATGGGCCCACAGCTGGACCACCTTGTAGTGTGGCGGGCAGCAGGGTGCTATTAGTGCCTCAGCGGTGACCAATTCAGCTGGTAGAGCCACCCGCAGAGCCTCCAGCCACCCTGCTAGGGCCCCTGGTCCAGGCAGCAGAGGTGTTCCAAAGTGGACCCGCTCTAGGCCCTTCTCTAGTGCCCGCAGACAGCGCTGCCGCCAGTCCCGGGGGGCCTGCTCAAGGGAGGTTGTGCGGCTGGCCTCCACCTCCGCCACACGCACAGCAGCCACCAACAGGGCTGGGTCCTCCCGTGCCAGCTGCCCTGCGGCACCTACAGCCATCTCCACAGCATGGCCCAGCGCCTCAGCCAGAGGGCCCAGCCCCTCGAAGACTGGCAACTCCAGGCCCCCCAGAGATGCCCATGTCTCCTCTTGCAGCTGCTCCAGCTCCCGAAGGCCCACATATGCCTCCAAGAGCTGATGGGCGTCAATCAGGGTCTGTGTGTGGGCCACCGCAGCCGGCACTGAGGAGGGAGCAGAGATGACAGCCCTGGGTCTCAGCCTTCCCACCTGTACAGTGGGTACAGGATCAGATGCTGAGGCCCTGGGGCTGCAGTGATGTGTAAAGCATTTAACAACCCGGGCAGCCAGAGCCACTTGACTGGGTGTCAGTCCTGACTCAGACATTCCTCGCTCAGGAACCCCAGAGCGGGCTAATCTGCACCCTGCTTTATATGCCATCAGAAGCCTGAGTTCCCTCTCTGGGAGGTCCTGGGGTGTCCCTCCATGTAATCTCTACTAGCGCCCCAGCCCCTTGATGAGTGTCTGTTGACTGACTGTCGAAGGGCTGAAGCCCAGGGCCCCTGCACACTCACCAGCTCGCAGTCGGGGCAGCAGCTGAGACAGAGCCTGCAGTTGCTTGTGCTGGGCGAACTGCTCCCGCAAGGGCTCTAGAGTCTGTACAGTCTCGGCCGTGCCCCGGAGCAACCCATGGGCCTGGCCCAGGGCCTCCCGTACTCCTTGAAGGGCCTCAAGGGCCTGCGCCAGCTGACACACACCAGTCTTCACACCCTCCAGGTACGACTGCACCACTGACTGTGGAAGGGAGGTAGTGAGGCCTGGCCAGCTCTGCCACCCACCCCTAGCACTCCTGCCCCAGCCTGGTGCCCACCTTGATGCGTGCTTCCAGGGAGCAGGTACGCTGAACCTCACGGCTGCGGTACTGGCCCAGCCTGGCCAGTTGCTCTGGCCGGTAGAAGATGCCTGAGGCCCACTTCAGTGCTGCACCCCGGGCCAGCCGCTCCGCCCTCTCCTGCTCTGGCCACTCGGGCCCTGGGCAGGAAGAGCCTGGCAGCCATGTCAGTTGGACAGGGCCTGAAGGAAGCAGCTGCTGACCCTGTTCCCATTCCTGCTCCTCAGTCTGGCTCCCAGGGCGGTCCACTCCTCTCGCTGACTGATAAAACTCCAGCCAGACCTGGCAGGGTGGACCCAACCCCACCATTCCCATCTTTCTGGCCACATCCCTCTCCCAACCCACCCAGAAGGGCTCATACCGGGAGGAAGTGCCGGCTGCGTTTTGTCCTTGGCTGTGGAGTCCATTTTAGGCCCTGTGGGAGCCAGAGCCAAGGTGGGAGTCTGGGTAAGGGTCTGGGTTAGAGCAGGTAGAGTGGATGCTCCTTTGAGCTGCAGGCTCTGTCTAGGCCTCCCTGAGAAGGAGGTGGAAGGCTGCTGCCCAGGCAAGGAGAGGGACACGGGTGTGATGGGGAACACACCTGGGAAGCCTCCCTTGCTGGATTTCTCAGTTTTGCCACTGAAGATGTCGAGTGAGGAAGGCAGGCACAGGTCTCCACTGGACCCCTCTCTTGCTCTTAGTTGCAGAGGACAGTTTGGTATGGAACTCACCAGGCTTGGCCAGGCATCCACCTCTCCCTCCTCCGCAAACAGCGTTGGCCTTGAGGATGGCCCTCTCCCCCGGAGCTCACAGCCGAGCTGGGCACTCCCTCCTCTGGCTCGCAGGGCTTGGGTGGCTCTGGCCCACGCCTCAGCATGCAGTAGAATTCCTCTTCCCTAGGAAGCCTCTGTCCCACCTCCCTGCCCAGGAGCCCCCTCCTCCCTCCAAGGTCCCTCCCCTTCCAAGGCCACGTGCAGGAAGGAAGGAAGCTGAGTCTCCAGCATTTTATTCCCAACAGGAAAGAGCATCTGCACTGTGGGAAGGGGTGGGGAGGGCTGGGCCCCATTTCCTTGGAGGAAGGAGGATCTGTACTCCCCATGATTACTGAGTCTTGAGCAGTCTACCCAGGACCTCTTAGTGCTCAGAACAGACATGAACTAGATGGCCCCAACCTGTTGTGGAGAGTAGGCTGTGCAAATATGAATGCAGACGACGTCACAGTACGAAAACTGGTTGACTGGCCCCTCAGAGGAGGGTGTGTGCCTTTGCAGAGCAGTGAGAGATCACGGGCTGTTGTGAAGAATGCGTATGGTGGGTGATGATGGCAGGAGAGGCTCAAGGGCTATGAAAGCAGTTTATCTTGAGAATTAAAGGGGCCAGGGAAGAGAATACCTGCTAGTAATGAGCAAAATCCACCCTTCTCGACAAGACACTTGCTCCCCTAGCTGCCAGGAGCGTGGGCTGCTGAGGACTCACACCTGAGTCTCTCAGTCAATGTTGGGTTGCGAAGGCCCAGTACCCTTTCCTGGACATGGACCATCTCAGAAGGGCCACCCTAGTTTCAGAGCTTCTAATAGGATGGGTTGGGCTCTGGCTCCCCCAGAGGCTAAAGTGGACTCCACATCCAAGGACAAAATGCAGCTGGCACTTCCTCCTGGCATGAGCCCTTCTGGGTGGGTTAGGGGAGGGATGTGTCCGGGAAGGTGGGAATGGTGAGGTTGGGTCTTCCTTGCCAGGCCTGGCTGGAGTTCTACTGGTCAGCAAGAGGCTTCTATTATAACTACACTGCAGTTTAAATCCTTCTCTGTCCAACTCTGCTGGTCTTACAAGTGCGGATCCTCAATAAATTTCCTGCAGGCAGATCCCTGTCAAAGTCTGTTTCCCAGAGAACTTAACCAGAAATAATAATAAACAATAATAAATAATGAAAATGTTAAAATAGCAAAATGATACCAGCAAACACATAATCCTTCCTACATGCTAGGAACTGCTCTAAGTGCTTTACATATATCTGCACATCGGTAAACATATTTGCAGTGGCTGAAAAGTGAATAAATTCCGTGGCCCATGAGCACTGCAGTGTGGAGACAAGAGAAAGACTAGGCTGGGATCAGGGAAGAGGAGGGGAGTTAGAGACAAGAGACACGCTAGATGTAGGTAGTGCTTACTGTTTGGCAGGAAATGAAGTACTATGATAGGGTAGGTGACCTCAAGCCAGTGGAGTAGCTTGTAGGAGCAGGATTGGGGAAACACATGGGATTCATCTGGCAGCGTGGTCCCTTTTCCTGACATGGGTTTGAGGCAGAGTTAGTGGTGTCGGGGCAGGCTGGCCATCCAAGAAGGTTTGGGTGACCCCCGTTTCTCTACTTCCGGGCTGCCCACCTACTTCCTCCACGTTCCTCCGCAACAAGTCCTGTCTCTCAGGATCCCCGGGTTGTTTTCGTCCTTTTCGGCGGTTGAACATTTGCTGATGGTCCCCGAAGTTTTGCGGCCGTGCCTGCAGAGAGGAATTGCTCCGGGTTCCCTAGGAGAGCGCGGGGAGGAAGCGGAAGCAGCGACGCTGGCGCCGGCGGCTGGCGGTGAGGAACGGAAGCGGAAGTGGCGGCGGCGCCGGCCTGGCCTGGCCTGGCTGAGGGGAGGCGGCGGGCGGGCGCGATGGCGGAGGCCGGGCCACAGGCGCCGCCGCCCCCGGGCACCCCAAGCCGGCACGAGAAGAGCTTGGGACTTCTCACAACCAAGTTCGTGTCGCTTCTGCAGGAGGCCAAGGACGGCGTGCTTGACCTCAAGCTGGTGCGGCCCGGGCTAAGGGGCAACTCGGGGGATGGTGGAACAGGCCTGAGCAGGTAGCGGGAACCCCCGGGGCGGCCCAGCGGAGCCCTCAGAGAATAGGCCGCCATCTGTGTGCTTGCTCACAAGTGAGGGGCCGGGAGCTGTTCAATCCATTCGGCTGAGGCAGTTGGGTGTCAGCTGTGTGCCAGTGTCCAAGCTGCAGGTGCCGATCCCCGTGGTCCTCCCTGCCTGGGGGAAGGGGTATCAGAACGTCAGTTCAGCTTGAGCCAGACCTCTCTCCACCCTGCGGTCCTGAGCTGCTGTAATGGCCGGGAGGATCGTTGGGTTTGTCCAACCCCTTTCCTGACTACTACAGAGCAAAGTCTCAGGGTAGCCGAGGGTACACCTCAGGGTGGGACTGAGCATCCTCTCCTCTGTTCTCTCTGCCAGGCAGCTGACACCCTAGCTGTGCGCCAGAAGCGGCGGATTTACGACATTACCAACGTGCTGGAAGGTATTGGGCTGATCGAGAAAAAATCCAAGAATAGCATCCAGTGGAAGTGAGTGGGGGCACCTGGGAGGATAATGGGATCCCCTACCCAGAAGTGTTGGGTTGGGGGTGGAGGGTGCAGGAGAGAGCAGGGACCATGAGAGCAGAGTTTCTGCCAGCCGCTCTCAGCCCCCCTCCCTGGGCTCAGGGGTGTGGGGCCTGGCTGCAATACCCGGGAGATTGCGGACAAGCTGATTGAGCTCAAGGCAGAGATCGAGGAGCTGCAGCAACGAGAGCAAGAGCTGGACCAGCACAAGGTGTGGGTGCAGCAGAGCATCCGGAATGTCACCGAGGACGTGCAGAACAGCTGATATCCTCCTGACAGTCCCTGCGCCTGCGGTGTGGGCAAGGGGCCCTCTAGTCCATCTGGGTTTGTTCTGTGGTGCCCTGGGCCCTACCTCTGTTACGAGGATGGTCCTGCAGCTCCTGGCCGGGTCCCAGCCTCCTGCTTCTCTCTAGGGCCCCTCTCCCACCTGTGATCCCTCTCCACCTAGACCCCTGCCCCAGGACTTTCTCCAAGGGTTTGTGTGTTAGATAACTCCGAAAGAGCTTGGTCTTCTCTGTGATCTACCATCCGTGACCATAGGCAGGGCATCAGTCATTCTCCTTAACCCTCACACCTTGGCCTACGTGACTCATGAGGACATCTGCAGATGCTTTGCTGGTGAGCAGAGCCTGAGTGGGGGGAGATGGGGGTGGGGCTGGGCTGCGCCACAGTCCTGATTAGTGGGTTCAGTATCCAAAGAGAGTTCCATCTCTTACGAGAGTTCCTGAGGCCTTCCTAAAGAGGAATCAAGCAGGGTAAGTTCTGGATTAGAGGGTCACTGGGACCCTGTGGAGGCTCACCATACTGAGAGGATACTGGGTCAGTCCCTGTCTACCTTTGGCTTTGGCTTCTGCATGCTCGTTCATGCGTTCACGTGTGCTTGTATTGAGGGGGCAATGATGCCCACTTCCAGCCTGTAGTTAGTTTAGTTGCACTGTGGATTCAGGAACTGTTTCTTCTCCATCTTTCATCCCACAGATTGGTCCAGGGGAAGGGATGTTGGCCTTGGCCAGAACACCTACACCTAGGGAGCAACCCTCAGTTGAGGATGTGTGATGCCCATGGCCAGCAATTTTTTGCTCCACATGTCTGAATCCAGATTTTCTGGTTACTCACCGTGGGCTCTTGGAAGGAGAAATGCTCTAGTTCTCTGCCCAAGCCACTCTGGGGGATGGGTGAGGACTAATGTCTAGCCCCTCAGGGACCATAATCTCCTTCCTTGCTCCAAGGGGCAGGAACCTCCATTTCCAGGTCAGATTGAGCCCCTGGGCCCTGACCCATCCTCTTTGATATTCTAGGAGACACCCTCCTGGCCATCCGGGCTCCGTCTGGCACCAGCTTGGAGGTGCCCATCCCAGAGGTGGGTGCTCAGCTCAGGCAGGCGGGGTTGCTTGAGGGTGGATGCTGGCTGTGGAGCTTGATAAGTCCAGGGTGGGGCAGGTAGGGGAGGCCTGAGGTTTTGGGTTATCTGGGAGAACGGGCAGCCTGGGGTGGGAGAGGACACTGCGGCTCAGGGTCAGGCAGGAGCCGAGCCCACTTCCAGTTGCCACCTGCCCTCCATCGTCTGTCCCACACCCCCAGGGCCTCAATGGGCAGAAGAAGTACCAGATTCATTTGAAGAGTGTGAGTGGCCCCATCGAGGTGCTGCTGGTAAACAAAGAAGCATGGAGCTCACCACCTGTGGCAGTGCCTGTGCCACCACCTGAAGATTTGCTCCAGAACCCACCTGCTGTCTCTACTCCTCCACCTCTGCCCAAACCTGCTGTGGCCCTGCCCCAGGATGCCTCACACCCAAGCAGTCCCCAGGTGACCACGACCGCCTGTGTCCCTGGCAGCACTGAAGCCCAAGGGATGGCCAGTCCAGCAGCCGAGATCACAGGTGAGATATGATGAACATCTGGTGGAGTGATCTCCGGGGCCCAAGGGGCCCATACCTCTGGGTTGTGGGATGCTATACTCAGAGCTGGCAGAGACCCAATGGGGGTTGTCCTTTTCCTGACCCCCAGCTGGCCTCCCCTTGCTGTGACAAGGGAGCCCTTTCTAACAGAATCCCTGACCGAGTGAAGGGGCATTAGTCGTGGCAGTTTTCCCCCAGGTCCACCTATGTCTCACTTGCCCCGATATTCCCTCTTGAAGTGTGGTCACAGCAGCCATGTTGTCCAGGAGTCTCCCCCTCTTACGGGCTGCGTGCCCCTGTCTCCGTCAGTGCCTTGTTTCCAGGTTACCTCTTCAGGGGTGACTGGCAGTACCTAACTCTCCTTGGGCCTGGGAGCCAGGGCTGTAGTCATCCTGGCCGTGTGTTCCGTCACAGCCCGCGTCACTATCCCACTGCCTGTCCCCAAGTGACTGGGTTGGGGGCATGTGGTTGCAGTGAGTGGCGGCCCTGGAACCGATAGCAAGGACAGTGGTGAGCTCAGCTCACTCCCACTGGGCCCGACAGCACTGGACACCCGGCCACTGCAGTCTTCTGCTCTGCTGGACAGCAGCAGTAGCAGCAGCAGCAGCAGCAGCAGCAGCAGCAATAGCAGTTCATCTGGACCCAACCCTTCTACCTCCTTTGAGCCCATCAAGGCAGACCCCACAGGCGGTGAGTACTTGTCCCATCGGGAACAGAGAGAACCCAGCTTCAGCCAGTCCTAGGTCAGAAACGGAATTGGGGCCAGAAACTCAGCTCTCCTAACTCCTTAGCCAGAGCTGGCCAACACAGGGGCCAGCCTTTGCCACCCACCTTGCCTAGACCAGAGCTCTGCTAGCCAGAGTGAGGAGCGTGGCCTCCGGATTCAGTGCTGGTGCCTGTTTGTCCCCTTTACTGGTCTGTCACGAAATTCTCTGTCTCTCTCTCAAACCCTACCTGCCACCCTTAGACTCAGGTCTCAGGAAGGCGAAAGCACTCTCTTCGGGAAGGGGCTGTGGTATGGCCCTTAGACAGGTGGTCCAAAGACAGGTGGCACCTTCCCAGGAGAGGCGATGGTATTGGCCTGGGGTCCTGTTTCCATCCAGAAACTTGAGAGTTTGCTTTTTCCAGGACTCCTTCTCCTCAGCCCATAGGCACCGCCCTCTCCTCACTAAATGGCACTTTGTCCTCTTTGTCTCCCTCTCTTACTTTCCGTCTCCTCTCTGTCTGGACTCTGAAAAAGTCATCTCCACTCCACTTCATGTCTTGGTCTCCTGGTCACCATTTGGTTGCAGCAGTCAGGACCCCTGCACCCGCCCCATGCTCTTGAGAAGTTGCCCAACCCTGACTGCCAGCTCCAGCAGGTTTCAAGGCTGATGTGCTCTGATGGTCCCTTGCTCCATGTTGATGCTTTTTTCCTCCTTTGGCTTTAATGATGCCAGCTCTTGTCTGTTCTTCCACTGGCTTCCATCCTGATCTCTTCCTGGAGCGTCCTTAAGCATCAACACTTTCCAGGTCTCTGTCCCATTCCGCACCTGCAGAGGGCTAGCTGAACGCCGAGCCTCCGCCTCGCTTAGGTCTTTTGCCTGGACCCCATGCTTGTGTCCACGTGCCTTCTGCACATCCAGTGGGCACTTAATTCCCACGTGTTCTCAGCTGAACTTGCTTTTCCAGTTCCAGCTCCTTCTCCTGGTCCCCACGTCACATCAGCTAAGTGAGCTCTGTTCCAGACGCTTCTTATATCCTCAACACACAGGACCCCTGCCAGCCATCTCTGTCGTAAATTCTTCAGCATCCTCCTTTTGACGTCAGTCGAGAAGGATCAGCCTGACTGGCATTTCTGTTTACAAAAGTACCTTTAACGGCTTCCTAAGGCCTTCTGGATAAAACTCGAGCCTCTGTGCTTAGCACATGACGTTCCTTGTGATCCAGCCCCAGCACTCCTCTCCAGCATCATTTTTTTTCTGCTTTACATGGGCATCCTCCCAGTCAGACCTTTGTAGCAGGGTTATCATTCTGTAGCACTAGCCCCTGTAGAAGTGTTTACCTCCTCCTCTGCCAGGTAACCCTGTTTGGATGTGGGGTCTGAGGCTGCCTCTAGGAAGTGCTCAGTAAGGGTGGGGACGGACAGGGCATTCTCCAGGCAGGGCATCCTGCATCGGACGGGGCATCCTCCATCAGACAGGGTATGAATGTTGAGCTTAGAAAGGGAGGGAGTCTTCTTGCCCTTTTGCAATACTTCTGAGTTCGAAGGGCCATACCACCTGCAATGAGCCCTTGGTACCCTGGGCTCAGCACTGAGGAATTTGGGTCAGCAATGGTGATTGACAGACGGTGCCATTTTGGCTTGAGGCAGGGCCTCCACCTCTTCAGCTGTGTAGAGCCCCAGGGTGGGTGTTATAGGATCTGAGGAAGTTGGGGGCTAGAGTGGGACTGGGCTGAACCTCTGTGCCCTTGAGCATGGCTTTCTTGTCTTTCAGTTCTGGAACTCCCCAAAGAGCTGTCAGAAATCTTTGATCCCACACGAGGTAGGGCTGTGTTCCTCCTTAGGGCCAGGGTATGGGGCACAGCTTATGGGGTCTTAGAGCGGTTTTCTTGCTCTTTTGATGACCTATGGTCGTGGTTGGTACCTGGAAAAAGTGTAAAAGTTCCTGATGGGGGGTTCCCTTCATGGACTTCGGTGGTGGAGAGGCAGGAGCCAGAAATGTAACTGAGCTCTTCCTCTTTTCCCCAGAGTGCATGAGCTCAGAGCTGCTGGAGGAGCTGATGTCCTCAGAAGGTGGGTGACCCAGGAAGGTGGGGGATAAGTGGCCTAGGAAGGTGGAGGGTGGGTGTGGATGTGGACAGGGGGTTGGGTGGCCGTTGAGCAGGGCCTTGGCCCCAGGCCTCAGTCTGGTACTCTCCACAGTGTTTGCTCCCCTTCTCCGCCTTTCTCCACCCCCCGGAGACCACGACTACATCTACAACCTGGATGAGAGTGAAGGTGTCTGTGACCTCTTTGATGTGCCTGTTCTCAACCTCTGACTGATGGGGACGCCCTGTGTGGCTGGGACACAGACTGTCTAACCTGAGGGCTGCTGGGGACCACCCCACACCTCACCCCTCCACAGCTTGAGAGCCACAGACTCCTCCCGGCTTCCCCAGCCTTCCCTCGCTGCTCAGTTCTGGCCACAGCTCCCACTCCTGCACCAACACCTGTACTGTGCTGGGAGAGTGGGAGAAAGGGGCTCAGTTCCCCCCATGGTGGCACCATAATGTTTGCCTCTTTTGTGGAACCTTCCCCCCACCTTGTGTCGTCCCCTGCCCTCCCTGAGCTCAGGCTCTGCTGCCACCCGGTGTCACAGATGAGGACCCACATAAACTTCATAGGGCAGCTTGCCCAACCCCCACTGCCCTGTTCCTGCCAGCTCCTCCCACTCCCAGGAGGGAAGCCGGGGTGGAGTTGGGCACTTGCCAGCACCACTTCTAGGCTCCTTCACTTCTCCCCACCCTTGGACCCTGCAGCTCCTCCCGGTTTTGTGTCCCCCTTCTGCCTGACCCTTAGCCCTGACAACCTGTAGGGGGTGGTTGGGGGTGCTAACAGGAAAAAACAGGTCTCCAGCTAGGAGTCTGGGCAGGTGAGTCCCTGAGGATTGTCCCAACCTCCTGCTGCCCTATAGTCCCTCTCTTGTTTATTCATTTACCCTCATTTAGAGCCATTTGCAGAGATTTAGAAAGATTTGCAGTAATGAATGGATTCCTATATAAAGATTATTTTTATACTTTTTGCAGCAAAAGGAAGTTGTAATATTTGTACAGTGTCCAAGTGAATAAAGATCGTGCCTAAGGCTATTTCTGGTCTGGTTCTTTGGGGGGCCCCTCCCTGGGACTGCTGGATTGGTGGTAGGACTGGGTGGGTCACCTTGCTGGAACAGGAGGTGTGGCAGGGCCAGCAGCCCGCCCTCTCCGCCCCCACCTGCCTCACCTTGGGGTGGGGCGGGGCCTCTGCAGGGCGGGGCAGGGCTGGCGCCGTCCTACCTCCGGAAACCCGGAACTAGCCTCGGCTCCCTTGGGAAGGACGGAGCGCCTGGCCAGGAGTGGGAGCCTGGGCAGAGAGTACGGGCCACCAGCGTCAGGCCACGGGACAGAGGGACACCCTCATTGTCCCCAGGGGACCAGACCAGGTGCGCCCTCCGCAGGAGGTTGCACCGTTTGGAAGGCACAGGCGCCCCGCCCCAGCTGGGCCATGGCGCCCCCAAGGGACGTGGTGAAGATCGCCGTTCAGAAGCGTGATGCCATCCCGCAGCTCATCCAGCTGGACCAGGTCACCCGGCCAGTCCGGCCAACATCCACCCTAGCCCACCTCTGGGTCGCCCTCTTCCCCTCAGGATATCCCACCCTTCCCCTTCCCCCGGTTCTTCCCCAACTCCTCCCCACTCCTGGCCTCGTGAGTGACCTCTTCACTTGCAGGCAAAGCCCCTGGCCGCTGTGCTGAAGGAGGTGTGCGATGCGTGAGTGCGGGCCTGTCAGGCCAGGGGGTGGGGGAAAGGCAGGAGGGAGGGGGCGCGCCTCACCTGCCTCACTGAGCCTCCTCTGCCTACAGGTGGAGCCTGGCTCACCCTGAGCGCTATGCCCTGCAGTTTGCGGATGGGCACAAGAGATACATCACTGAGAATGTGAGTGCCCACTCCTCTTTGGAGTCTTCTAATTTCTGATCCCTGGCCCTGATTCCTCAGACTCCTCATCCTCCTAGAATGTGTTCTTCCACAGAGTTCCAAATCCTCCCTTGCTGACAACCCCAATTAACCAATCTTGAGAGCCCTTCATGACTTCTCTCCCTTTTCTGCTGTCTTCTCCAGAACCGCTCAGAGATCAAGAATGGCAGCATCCTGTGCCTCAGCACTGCCCCAGTAAAGCCCCTCCTGGCCCCACCCGCACTCCCTGCCCCATTTGCTGTGCCTCCTTTCTGTCCCCCTATGCCTCTGCCCCAAGTCTGGAAGCCCCATCACATCCCTGCAGTGCTCCACCTGGTGGACACCCTGGTCTCCACACCTCTAGTTCCCCCTCCTTACCTCCACCCAGCCTCCTTCCTCACCTTTGCTTCTGCTCCTGCCCCTGCCAGGACCTTGAGGCTGAGCAGCTGTTGGGTGGGCTGCAGCGTGGGAGTCGTGAAGGGCGCCGGGATGCCCTGCAGCACCTTGCCCTGCTGGCTCCCGACATGACCTTTGCCCAGGAGGTCATCAGCCGTGATGGGCTAAAGAGGCTAGGCGCCATCATTGAGGAAGGGGAAGAGTGAGCATCGGGCTGTGGTGGGTGGTGGACAGGTGGGGCTGGAGGTTCTGATCTGGCCCTGCTCAGCCCCAGATGTCCCCCCAGCCTAGGGGAGGTGCTGGCCCTCGCACTGCAGGCCTTCTTGGAGCTCATGGAGCACGGCGTGGTGTCCTGGGAGACGCTCACTATCCCCTTTGTTAAGAAGGTGAGTGGCCTTTTCTAGGGACAGCAGGTAGGGGCGGTGGGTGGTGTTAGGTCCTGGCCATCCCTGCTCATCAGGTGGTGACAACCCCTACCCCTCTTCCAGGTGGCAGATTATGTGAACATGAACCTGATGGACCCCTCTGTGCAGCCCCTGGCCCTCAGATTGCTGGAGAGTGTGACCTTGAGCAGCTCTGTCCTGGGCCAGGTGGTCAAAAATGAGGTTTCACCGAATAGGCTGCTGGTACACCTACAGGTGTAAGTCTCGGGTAGGGTACAGATGAGGGGAGTGCAGCCAGATCCTGGATGGCCAGTTGAGCCCTCTTCTCGTCCCAGGATGAACCAGCAGCTGCAAACCAAGGCCATGGCTCTGCTGACGGCCTTGCTGCAGGGGGCCAGCCCTGCCGAACGTAAGGTGGGTGTCCATCCGGTGCATGGATGAGGGGCAGGAGCTGATGAGCACTGTGCTCCACCTGGGGCCTACAGGGTGGGTGCTCATGGTAAGGTCACATTATCTAAGCCGCCTTCCTGCTTACCCTCAGGACATGCTTAACCACCTGTGGCAGAGAAACCTTCGCCAGTTCATCTATAAGGTAGGAAGCCCTGGGCCAGGCAGACCCCTCTCTGTTCTTCCTCTCCCCGTGAGCCCAAGCTCACACTCATGGACTGGCCGTCCTCCAGAACATCATCCATAGCGCAGTGCCAATGGGTGACGAGATGGCTCACCACTTGTACGTGCTGCAGTCCCTTACTCTGGGGCTGCTGGAGCCACGCATGCGGACACCACTGGACCCCTACAGCCAGGTGGGTGCCTTTGGGCTACGCAGGCTGGGGGCAGCTGGAGCTTGCCCTTGAATCTGATTATGACTCCTCCCCACGCCCAAATAATGGCCCCAGGAGCAGCGGGAGCAGCTGCAGTCCCTGCGCCAGGCTGCCTTCGAGCCAGAAGGGGAGTCCCCCAGTGCCGGGCTGAGTGCTGACCGTCGCCGTTCCCTATGCGCCCGCGAGTTCCGCAAGCTGGGCTTCTCCGTGAGTGCCCCTCATCCTGCCCCCCACCCCTGCCTCAACCCGGGCCTGCTGTTGCTCCAGGGGGCTGGGGCCCTTCTTCAGCTGCCTGTCCCCCTTCCTCCAGAACAGCAACCCCGCGCAAGACCTAGAGCGTGTGCCCCCTGGCCTGCTGGCCCTGGACAACATGCTCTACTTCTCCAAAAATGCACCCAGCGCCTACAGCCGGGTCAGTGTTGGGGAACGGGTGGGTGGAGCAGGATGCCTCCTATGCAGGGTCCCCATGGGCTTAGCTGTGACTCCCCGCCCCATTCTCTACTCCCCCCACCCCAGTTTGTGTTGGAGAACAGCAGTCGTGAGGACAAGCACGAGTGCCCCTTTGCGCGGAGCAGTATCCAGCTGACCGTGCTGCTGTGTGAGCTGCTCCACGTTGGGGAGCCCTGTGAGTGGGATTGGGCAGTGTGTCTGGGAACAGGGGACGGAAGGGCAGAGAGGGCCAGGGGCTTCACATACTTTCTCCCTGAGCCCCTCCTGCCCCCCTGCTCCAGGCTCCGAAACGGCCCAGGACTTTTCACCCATGTTCTTCGGCCAAGACCAGAGTTTCCATGAGCTGTTTTGCGTGAGCATCCAGCTGCTGAATAAGACTTGGAAGGAGATGCGGGCCACACAGGAGGACTTTGACAAGGTGGGTGGGTGGGAGCTGGGAGACGTGGGCCAGGGCAGGGGGCTGTGCCGGGCAGGGGCCCAGAGCTCAGACCCGGAACTGAGCCTGGGGCGGGCCCAGGTCATGCAAGTGGTCCGGGAGCAGCTGGCCCGCACACTGGCCCTGAAGCCCAGCTCCCTGGAGCTCTTCCGAACCAAGGTGAACGCACTCAACTATGGGGAGGTGCTGCGACTGAGGCAGACTGAGCGGCTGCATCAGGAGGGCACGCTGGCCCCTCCCATACTGTGAGTTGGTGGGGATGGGTTCGCTCCTAGACCCAACTTTCCCTGGTGACCCATGAGCCTTGCCCCAGGTCAGTTCTGGTCAGCAACCCTCCTCCTGCCACCCAGGGAGCTTCGGGAGAAGCTGAAGCCAGAGCTCATGGGCCTGATCCGCCAGCAGCGTTTGCTCCGCCTCTGCGAGGGGACGCTCTTCCGCAAGATCAGCAGCAGGAGGCGCCAGGGTTGTTGAGTGGGCAGGGGGCAGGGGGCAGGGGTGGCAAGCTTGGGGTCAGGGTCCCTCTCATCACTCCTCCCCTCTTCCCCTTGCTGCCCAGACAAGCTGTGGTTCTGCTGCCTGTCCCCCAACCACAAAGTGCTGCAGTACGGGGATGTGGAGGATGGTGCCAGTCCACCTGCCCCCGAGAGCCTCCCAGAGCAGCGTAAGGGGGGCAAGGGCAGGGGTAGGACACCTGCTTTTCCAGACCACCCCATGCCCTGGGGTGCCTGGGGCCCCAGTGGTCAGCCCAGCTTCTTCCCGCAGTCCCTGTGGCTGACATCAGGGCACTACTGACCGGCAAGGACTGCCCCCACGTCCGGGAGAAGGGCTCAGTGAAGCAGAACAAGGTGAGGACAGTGGGGGCCCGGGTTCCTTCCCACCTGCCCTGCCCTGCCCTCTGCTCAGTGCTCCTGGTTCCCTTGCCTCCCTAGGACCTCTATGAATTAGCTTTCTCAGTCAGCTATGACCATGGGGAAGAGGAGGCGTACCTCAACTTCATTGCCCCCTCCAAACAGGAGGTGAGTGTCTGGGCAGGCTGAGCTGAGTTGGGCGGATGGGCAGGGGAAGAGACTGGCAGGCCCTCATGGAGCTGGCTCCCTCCCCAGTTCCACCTGTGGACAGATGGGCTGAGCACCCTGCTGGGCAGTCCTATGGGCAGTGAGCAGACACGGCTAGACCTGGAGCAGCTGCTGACCATGGAGACCAAGTTGCGCTTGTTGGAGCTGGAGAATGTGCCAATTCCTGAGCAGCCACCTCCTATCCCCCCGCCCCCCACCAACTTCAACTTCTGCTATGACTGCAGCATCGCTGAACCTTAACAGGTTGGCCAAGGGCCACAGCTGCTGCCACTGTGGTGGCCATGAAGGGTTAAGGATGGAGAAGTGCAGCACCCTGATCAGCAGAGGCTACAGCAGAAATAAAGTCTGCTTGGCTCTTGGATAAGTGTCAAGCCAGCTGTGCACCCTGTAGGCCACGCCTACCTCCGAACTTAGCTGGCGAATGAGATGGGGGCATCAGGCCAGGGCCACAGGTTGGGCCACAAACCTGACCAGCTACAGCTGAGGGGCTGGTGTGCCAGAGGGTGGCCCTGCTGTCCTTCCTCAGGATGAGTCCTCAGCTTCCCTCAGTGCTGGGTCTGCAGGGAGGGATGGCCTGTGTTTGGGGGGCACCAACCGAGGGAGGGCTGGTGCTACTAGCCAGGTGAGAGGAGCAGCCCGGCAGGAGGCATCGCCCCAAGTGGACGCCTTCCTGGGCAGCATTAACAGGGGCCTCGCCGGGGGGCTGTGTTTTCAGAGGCTCCTGCCGGTCTGAGCTCAGCTGTGAGCCCTGCTTGGCCTGCCCTGTGTCCTTGGCGGGCCTTGGCGGCCCTCTGATGAGAGGCAGGAAAGGAGGGATACGAAGCTGGGCCTGCTTTGTCCTGAAGGGCAGAGTTAAAATTCTAGAAGACATCCTCACATGGTGAGAGGATATTCTGACAAGAGGGAATTTAGTACAAGAAGCCTGAATTCTAATTAAAACCCACTGCAGGAGGGTGGGATGGGGGCCGCAGGCAGGCCAGAGCCTCTGGGATCAGAGTTTGCTAGGGGAGCTGGCCCAGCTGGAGGTCACGCTCAGAGGCTGTGGTCACGGACCCCCCAAGCCTCCGGGCAAAGAGGAGCACATCTGCCCACAGGACCCACAGGATAGGCTGAAAGCTGCCACCACTCTCTGACCTCCTTTTCCACGTCTCTTGCTACCTCTTTCCCATCGCCTCCTCAGATATCTTTTTTAACAAATTTAATCATCAACATGTTACCTTGAAAAGTGATGAAATGCCATTTCCTTGGGAGAAATGCTGAGCTTCCCCTCCCCGAGCTATGCTTCTGACTCAGGTACCGAGACTTCCCACCACACTTGGAATAATCTGCAGTTGAGTTCAAGGTAAAAATGGAGGTAGGGGTCCCAGATGCAGTTAAGTCCCCTAATATTCCTTCTCAATGGCCCGGTCCCTTGTGCAGGCCACCGTCATCTTGATAGGAACCTCCTGACTTCTTGCCTCCAGTCCTTTCAATACCAGCTCCCACAGCTGCTTTCTCAAATGTGAAGTTTGTCTGATCACACACACCACCCCCATCCTGTATTTTTCAGCTCCAGGGAATAATGGTCACAGCACCATGATGAGCAGCGTTGAGATGGATTGCAGATGTAGTTCAAGTCCTCCAACAGAGTGCCTGTGGCTTGCAGGGTTCTCGGTGCTTGGTCCATGCTGGCACCCTCCCTGCACCCTGTTGGGGCCGGGACCCCCACGCCTCCAGCACCAGCTCTGGCCTGCCACAGGCACCTGCCAGTCCCTTCTGCCTGACTGTCCTCTTCTCTCACTTCTGCTTATTTTTTCGCTGCCTTGAGTCCTTCCTTGACCCCCTAAGCTAAGTTCATTGCTCCCCTGGGCTCCCAGTCCCAGGTGCTTGTTTTCTCATTTGTGCACACTCACTGGGCTATCCCTGCTTGTGGGCCGATTTGCCTCCCCAACTGGCCCGGAGGCTGGGAGGGCTTCATCCCCTCTGAATCCCATCATAAAGCAGGCACTCAGGCAGCCCCGCTGGCTGCTCCTAGAACAGAAGGACAGATGGACAAAAGTGTAGGTGGATGTATGGAGAGCCAGAGAGACATTGTCAGAGCTGCTGTTGAAAATTCACTAATGACCCTTCCTACCCAGAGATGCTGCTCACTGTCCTTTCTTTCTTTCTTTCTGAAGACAACCTCCTGGCCTCTGGCGTCATTAATCAGTGCGTTCCTGGGGTCTGGCTGGGCCGAGTGCCTCTGCCGCAGGACCCACCTGGGAGCTCTTGCTGGGAGAGGCCTCCGGGCTTTTGGAGTCTCTCACCGTAGGAAGCGGAAGCGGCTGGGGCCTGCTGGGGCACCGTGGGGCTGGGCCGCACCTGAGGAAGAAGTCGCCTCTGGTGTTTCCTCCATTGTCCCTGTGTTGGTCTGGGTTGCTTTGAGGGTGGTGGGGAGGGGAGGGGCTCTTCAGTCTGAGAACTTCAGATAAGGAGGTAAAATCTGGAATTTTTAAATCTCGTGTGGATTTACAACAAAGGCTGGTTTAGCTGCTAAAGTTCAGTGCTGGTATGGAGCTCCCTGTAGGGATCAAGGTGGGGCACAGGCCTTAGGTGGGAGAAGTGGGAAGGGCAAGAGGCACAAGGTCTGCTCCCCTCCCAGCACCAGACCCTGCCACCTGTGGGCCTGGGGTTTCTGGGCCTAGACTTGGGCAGCAGAGCAGGAGCTGGCATTTCCAGGTGCCTGTGGCAGCCACATGGAGCTGGAAAGAAGCCCTTGCTGGGCCGTGGGGTAGACTGGGGTAGGGAGCACCCTGGGTTTCCTTGGCTCAGGCCCACCTCCAGTCCTAGCAAAGGTATTTATAGCGGGGGGGGGGGGGGGGCTCTGGTATGTAGCAGAGGGATACAGGAGGCAGTGAGTCAAACTCCAGGTCCAAAAGCCAGGGTTAGGGACTATGCAGACTGAGCAACAGGGGCTGCATACTGACCTGGTCTCAGAGTGTTAGGGTCAGGTCAGCCCCTCCCACGAAGCGTGAGTGGACGCAGGTCACCTGGGGCAGTTGGGCTTGGAATCGCCTGACGGCAGCCATGCTAATACCAGGGCACATGGCAACATCCAACATCTGGATCTGCTTGCATGCCTGCCCAACGGAATCTAGCGTTCTGCAGGGAGGTCGCTGTGTGGGTGCCTGACCCCATGCGGGGCCCCAGCCAGCCCAGCCCCTGCTCTGTGGCATCCTCGGACATACTCACTGCTCTGTGAGCTGACTGCAGCCGGACAGGTTGAGGTGCTGCAGCCTCTGCCAGGAGCTGGCTGCCTGGGCCCAGCCCTCATCACTGAGGAGGCCACAGTGACTCAGCGCCAGGCGCTCCAGGCTAGGGCAGCCTCTGGCCACAGCCACCAAGCCCTTGTCTGTGAGTGCTGGCAACAGGCTCAGTGACAAGTGTCTCAGGTGGGGGAACTGGAGCACCTGCAAGGGGGCGGGGGCCAGGGTGTCGCACGGCACTGGAGCCCGGGGCCCAGGGCTCTTCTAGGTCTCCCCACCCACAGCCAAAGCAGAGGCCATAGGCGGCAGAAGCCAATGAGAAAGGAACTTTTTCCAAGCAAAAAGTGGGTCAGGCCAGGCCCCTGGCTCCAGCCCCAGGATCCTCAGTTTATCCACACCCCCAGCCCCGCACCTTGGCCAGACTGGCATCAGTCAGCTTGCTGCAGGCTGTGAGGTCCAACTCCTGCAGCGCCTGCAGCCTGAGCAGGGAGGGGAGCTGAGGCTGGGGAGAAGGGTCCTTGGGGTCTGAGGCCTGATGTGGCTGTGGGAAGAGGCCCCTGCTCCTCAGGTTCCTCCCTCCTGAGTTTGGCCCTCAAAGGTTCCTAGAGAGGCTCAGGAGGGGCAGGAGGGCAGGTGAGCCCAGGGACCGTGCCACCCTCCACGACCTTGAGGGTCCCACACCTGGGATCTCTGTGCTGGCTCCTCACTTGGTTCCTCCTGCCCCAGAAGCCCCCAGTCACAGAGCTCCTTGCACCAGGCCAGGCGCAGGACTGAGAGGGAAGTGAGGTAGGTGCAGATGGCCTGCAGGGTCCGGTTGGTGAGGGCCACACAAGAGGATAAGTCTAGCGCCCTGAGACTTGGGCCCAGCGCTCGGATCAGGGAGAGCACTGAGGCGTCCTAGGAGGAAAGTAGAAAAGGGGGACAGCAATGGAGAGGTGGCTTGTGCCTGTGTCATTAAGAAGGTTCTGCCCAAAGTTCCGGCCCATAGGCAATAGGGAGGTACCGGAGGGTCCACGGAGGGAAGTAACACTGTCCCTGTGCTGGTGAAAGGTCAGAGTGGACAGAGTGAGCCATGGAGGGTAGGACACTAGGAAGAGTTTGCTGGAGGATAAAGGCCTAGGTTGGCTGGGGCGGAAAGGATGCGGGTGGAAATTTCTACCATATCTGCCCAGACTGTGCTCTCAGTCCCTGCTGAAAGGGTGGGCTGAGGCTGCCCTCTGTCCATAGCTTATTGGACTAGTAGTAGACATGTGACCCAGTTGACACAATCAGATATGCTCCCTTTAGACTTTGAAGCAGAGCCATGAGGTCATGGTGGGCACAGGGCTGCCACCTGGCAGAAGCAGTCGTGGCTGGGGGAGCAGAGCTACGCACCGAGGAGAGGAAACTGGTTTGTAGAGAGATGCAGACACAAGAATGTGAGGCTCCAGAGAGTTCGGCTAAGAGACACACAGGGGTGCAAGGAAGATGGAGTGGGGCAGGGGGAAGAGGGGCACTTGCAGGGAAAAGTTTAGAGATGCTTTTCAGGTTGGGAATCCCCTGGCCACAATGATACATGAAAGGAAAAACCCACTAAAGACCGACACTGCAGAGACAGGGATGCTACCCAGGGAGACAGGGCGGAGCCCTATCGGAGAGGCCGGCTTCCGCCGAAAAGCAACCCTGCCGCTCCCATAGCACGTTATTTCCTTCAGGCCCTGCCTGAGAGACCTCTTCTGTGTAAGTAACCTCAGTGTCCCTTCCCCACAGGGCTCAGTTCTGTCACCTCCTTTCACCAGCCTTCCTTGCCTCTGGAACACCCACCCGCAGTGCCCCTCTCCAGGCTGCAGTTGTTCCTGAGCGCTTGGCATGTGAGATGTATGTCACATCGTGGGCTGCGCCACCCTGGTCTCTTGGACCTCCCTTTACCGAAGCCCACAGCGGGAAGCTGCCTGGCGGAGTGCTGGTGGCTATATTGTCTTGGTCTAGGCTCCTCCCCCTTCCAGACTGGGCTCCAAGTTCGGTTCTAACTACTATTCCTTAGCCACAAACACCAGGCAGTTCCCCTGCTGGTGTCGCACAGCCAGTTCCCCCGGCTTCCGGCCCTGGTGGGGAAGGAAGGGGATGGTAGGCTCACCTTGAGTGAGGAGCAGTAGGCCAGGCTGAGGGAGGCCAGCGGGGGCGGAGTTCCACGCACTGAGCCCAGGGCCTGGGCCAATTCCCGCCCGCTCACCAGGCAGCACTCAGCCATGTCCAGGCTCTGTAGCTCCCGCAGGCCCCCCAGGGCTGTACATCCCGCATCTGTCAGTCGCTGCAGCTTCCTCAGGCTCAGGCGCTGCAGGTGCCGGAGACCCCGGCTCACCGCCAAGAGTGCCCCGTCAGCTAGTTCTGAGCAGCCGCTGAGGTCCAGGGAGATAAGGCCTGGTTGTAGGCGGCAAAGGGTGGCCACGGCCTCTGTGGAGAGGTCCCGGCAGCTGTGTAGGCTCAGCTCCTCAAGCTGTAGCCCGGCCACCTGGCCCAGGGCCTGCAGGGCCTCGGATGGCAAGCCAGTGCCACTCAGGTCCAGGGTGTGCAGCCTACCAGCCCGCTCCTTCAAGAATCGAAGCAGGTTGCGGAAGGAGAGTTGGGAGGGGGAGGAGTTCTGGGGGCCAATGGAACCCCAGGCTGGGCCTACCTCAAAGGTGAGGTGACAGTAGGCCAAGGAGAGGCGCTCCAGGCTGGGGGCACAACTGCTGAGCTGATTGAAACTGAGATCCGCCAGGTCTCGCAGGCCAGCCAGGTTGAGCTCACGGAGGCTGCTTAGTGCCTGCTGGACCTGCTGTGCCGTTTCGGGCCGAGCTAGCAGCATGCCCGATGCGAAGAGGCTGTTGCAGCCACTGAGATCAAGGCTATGCAGGGCTGGGCAGCTCAGGATCAGGGCCAGAAAGGAGGCCTCTGTGGGACTGCCCCCACTGAGGCACAAGCTCTGCAGGTGTGGGCCCAGGTGGTAGGCAACAGACTGCAGCACCTGTTGTGAAGCTGGCGAGCCATCCAGGTTAGTCAGGCTGATGCAGGAGATGGCCCTGAGGCCCAGGCTCTTGATGGCTGGGAGGGAGGCCGAGGACACGGGGATATTGTACCGCACGTTTGTCTAAAGGGCAGCAGCAGGCCTGGGTTAGTCCTCTGGTCTCAGAGGGTGATGGGCATCAGGTCTGGTGACAAGTTGCTGATTAGAGGTTGAGGGCAGATCAGGGAGAGGCCCTTCTACAAGGGGACCCCTGTAGTATGTGATGTCATGTGTGATTGAGGGGGTACTGGTGGACATTGGGAGCTGGGAGGACAAGTCACACTGGGGCTCAAGGGGATGGATAACTTTAGAGGAGGGCAGGAAGATTAGTGATGGATGGGTCTGGCTGCCTGTGGCATCCCATGGGGAGTTGTCATGCTGGGTACAGGAGGGTTGGGGGTGGCCTGGAGGAGACCCAGCAAAGCCTCTAGGAAGCAGGACAAATTATGCTGGACCCCAGCCTTTAGGACTTTTAGAAGGTGGCCCTGAGACCCATCGACTCAGGCCTTGGCATGAGCTAAGCAACCAACCTCCCCTACTTTCTTAAAAGCATATAAATAGCCCTCAGAACAGGGGAAGGCAGGAAGCGAAGCTGGTGTCACTCACCACAACCCCCTGTGGCCCAGATGCCAGAGTTTTGGGCAGGCAGAGGCCAAGGTCCCCTGGTGGCTTCGGTGTCCCGGTCACATGAATACTTGCAAAAATGGGTTTTGTGTGTAAGTGAAAATGTGTGCATGCATGCAAGTGTGTGTGCATGCGCTAACACGAGTTCCACGGGATCCAGAGTTCAAGATATGTTTGTGATCCCTGAGGCTCATCTCTCTCTGGAGGGTCTGTCTTATCCAGGTAAGGAAGGAGAAGCCTCCATTTCTGGGGGCAGGAACTCAGAGAATGAATCAGAGAAGTTGAGCTGGCCTTGCTGTAGAGGAGCAGGGGAGGGAGAGCAGGGACCACACAAGCACACAGTTGCGGGGGAGGGAGGCCAGCTCAGAGCTAAGTCATTGTGGGAACAACCTGGATCGTGTAGGAGTTTAGGGAACGGCCAGCTAAGGAGATTTTTCACAAAACTTCCCCTGACCTTGTGCCAGAGGGAGCCAAAGGGCAGTTGGTACAGGTCTTTGTGGAATGGGTCTGTGGCTGAAGGGAGAGGAGGGCTTGGCTTCTAAAATTCTAGCGCTGTTTCTCTCCCTGAGGGTGCCCAGGTTGCAGGGAGGTGGTACTAAAGAAGGCTCTCATTTCAACATACCAACATGATCCTGATGCAGGAGGGCAAGCTCCCCAAAAAACCTGTCCTGTCAGCAACTGTCAGCACAGGCTCGTGTTCCCTGTTGTACCCCACAGAACATCATCAAAGGGAAGTAGGAAGGCAGAAATGACACACAATGTGCACTCCTGCAAGATACTTAACAACAGGATCCTCCCAGAAAGAAACACATGGAGCTCGTTGCCAGGTGTAGAGAAACCAGCCTGGCTTCTGCCCGAGGAGGCAGTCACCTATGGCCCCTGCGGCTGTCATCAAGGGAAGGAGCATGTGGTACCTGACGGGGACCAGCTTCTGGCCACTTCCACAGGAGTCGGGAGTCAGACCAGGTTCCCTTCCCATGCGCCATTCCCTGAACGTGGTCATTAGGGTGAGAGGGGTACACAAATCCCCTCATGGACACTGGGACACAGCAGGGTACTGGGGACTCCCAAGGTCCTGGGTCCCCCTTTCAGAGTTAAGGAGAGCTGGGGAAGATCCCAGTGTGAGGGTGGGGAGGGTAGGGAGGGCGACGAAAAGATCAGGGAGGAAAGGCTTTAAAAAGGAAAGGGAAAGCCGGCCTCCAACCATTTCAAAGCCCTGCACGCTAGATGAGCCAATCTGATGATGCACGGAGTGAACTGTGGCTAGGGGAGTGCGTATCCTGCTGGTTGCCCAGGCAGCACCCCCACCCCCTCGGTCACATGTGGCCCGGCAGGCCCCACCCCTGCTCCCCTTGCCTTCAGTCTTTCTTCTTTCCCTTCCTTCCTGAGCTAGAGGGCAGGGATGTGCTCCCCTCTCCCACTGCCTCCCTAGGAACAAGGTAGTCGCACAGCTGAAGGCACTGGCAGTCGGCCCAGGGCCCAAGTCCAGGGCTGGCTGATAGCAGCAAAAGCCACTGGACAAAGGGACAGGGCCCGGCCTAAAGGACTTCCAGCTCACCCACCTCCCTGCTCCCCGCCATTTTTCTTGGTGGGGAGGGGGCAGCCTATAAGTCATCACCCGGGTGGCCTAGCCTGTACTCGAAGTGCAGAAGCCCAGGAACGCCTTTAGGGACAAGTATCATCAGTTGTGGGCAGAGCAGCAGGTGGAAGCAGTACGCTCCTGGGTCCTTGTCTTTGGCCCTGGTATTGCAAAGTGCCCCCCGCACCCCCCGCCCGGCCCCGGCCCTAGAAAAATGCTTCTAGAGGCCCAAGGGAAGACTGCAAGGGTACTTACTCCAGTTTTAGCCATCCTGTCCAGAGAGGGTGTTAGCCTCTGGTCTCCTCCTTTCCCAATGCTGGTATTTGGGAAATGCCCTACATTTGCTAAAAATGATGTGCCCTTTGTGAGAGACCAAGATTTCATTGTTCCTACTGAAGCGGGAGCTGAGGCTGCAGGCCTGTGTGCGGACTTGGAGAGCCATCTGATAGAGAAATGGTCCTCTGTCTGCTGGTACAGGAAGCCAAAGCTAACACACCTGTTTTCTAGAAGGCCTTTGAGAAAACACAGACCCTGGGGCTTTGGTCTCTCAAGAGGAGCTGGCCTCCAGGTCTTTAAAAGCACCTCAGGCAATAGAAGGCAGAGGAGGGCAGAAGCTGAGATGTCCTGAGTTCTTCACAGTGACCAACCCAGCAGCAGGCAACCAGCCCCCACCGCCCCACCCCCCCGAAACGGGCAGAGCCAGGGTATATGTGGGGGTGCTGCCTTTGTCTACCTTTGATGGGATTAAGTGGGACAGGTCAGGGAGGCTAGGTTACCAGGGAGACTAAGTCACCAAGTCCAGCAACCTAGCCTGGCCTAGTGAGCCATAGGCCCCAGCGTGGCCTTGGTGAGCCAGAATCTTCCATAGCTCCTGCTGGTGGGGGCACTACTCCCTTATCACCCTGCCCACACCTGCCCACACCAAGGCCCTGGAAGACAGTCCCTGCCTATATGGTTCCGCAAACTGCTCTCCGGGACGTGGTGGTGGTATATCAGCAGGGCACTAGATGTCCTGGCACCTGGGGTCTGGCCTCCCAGTGCTCCCAGCCCAGGGGGTGGGGGCTGAGCTTTGCAGAAGCACCAAACTCGTCTTTGTCAGTGTTCTCTCTGGGGCAGCCCCAGCTCCAAAATGGTGGACTCGGATCCCAAACTCTGACCCTGACTCTTCTTCGCCTTGCTCCCTTTAATCACGTGCCAATCTCACCTACACTCCAGCGCCTGACCGCCCACTTTGCTTCTTGTGCCCTCTTTCTTTGCTGGACTCCAACAGGTCTCTCCCCTGGTCGCATCTCCTGAGGGGCCTCACGGCCCCGCCCATCATGCTGTTGTGCCCATTCTCCTTCCCCTGCTCTGCCAGGGACGGTGAGGCTGCCGCCTCCTCTGGGTGTGTGACAGGAATACAGAATTCTGAGGGATTCTGTGCTGAGGAAGCCACGGTCCTCCCTCTTGCTTGCGCCGTCAACACTGGCCTCTCCTCTCCCCCGGACCCCCCAGCCCTCTCCTCGTCCCCCTCGAGAGCCCTCTGCAGGCCCGCTGCCTTCTCCAGCCCGGAGGCTCCTGCGGCAGCCCCTCACTCTGGCCTTCCAGAGGCGACCTGTTCTGTTTCCAAGAGAAACTAAAGCCATCAGGTGGAAGGGACCTCCCCTTGTCACATTCACCAGCCCACTCCTGGCAGAGCCCATTCTAACCTCCTTCCCTCTCCTGCTCCTTAGTTCAATGCAACTCCCTTCTCTGGGCTACTGAGGCTGTCCTCCAACTTCTCTGAGAACCCTGCAGTCTCTGCCTTCGTGCTCTTCCTTCCCCCGAGTCCACAGACACCCCAGGCTTCCCTCTCTACACTTCCTTCCTTCTCTCATGTGCCCCTCAATCCATCTGTTTGTTCCCCCCGCCCCCCCGACGCCAAATGTTGCTGAAGCCGTTGGTGACCTCCCTGGATGTCAGTCATTATGGGCACTATCTGTTCTTTATTTTCTAGGCTCTTCAAGGGATTTAACACTGTTAATCCTCCACTTGACACTTTACATACCCTCTGCTTTTGACTTCTGGGCCCTCCTCTTGCTGGGGTCTCCCCGGCCCCCTCTATAGGCTCCTCCTCCTTTCCATGCCCTTGGACCAGTGTCGTCCCCTTGGGCAGTCATTCTCCGTGGTCTGCTGCCCCTGTGGCCCTTCATGCTTCCCCTGAGGGAATTTACTTAGATCCATGGCTTCAACCGCCATGCATTTTTAAATGATACCCAAATGTATACTTATTATCCAGACACTTCTCTTTAGTTCCTCACCCAGAAATCCAACTACCAACTAGATTTCACGAGTTTTAAACAAGTCCAAATCAAAGTCCTTTAGATAGTAAGCTCAATGACACCAGATAGATACTTCGACCACAGGCCCTATACATTTACTATGTGACAGAGGAGGATTCTAATACAGCAGGGAAGGGAGAGGGAAGATTTAACATAAATGGTATTTGGGCTAATTGGAAATTAATCAGTTTAGCTTCTACCTCATAGCATAAATCAAACTAATTTCATCAATAAAACAATTAATGTAAAGGCTCACACTGTAAAACAGAAGAAACAATTTTCGCTGTGAGCCTAAAACTGCTCTCAAAAAAAAAGTCTATAAAAAAAAACAGAAGAAAAACGAGTGTATATTTATCAAATATCTGAATCAGCAAGGGATCTCAAACTTTAAAAAGCAATGGAAGAAATAAGAAAGAAAAGGATGTTCAAAATCAGCAACATAGAAATTTAACCTCTGTATCTCATAATTAAACACATCTACAAATCAAATTAAAAGGCAAACATACTAAGACTATATTTCAATACATATGTAAAAGATTAATCTCTTTAATGTATAAAAAGTTCATACAAATAGATAAGAAAAAGACTAAGACCCCCAATAATTAAATGGATAAAGAACATGAGTAAACAAAAGAAGGAAATATAAACGGTCAGCTAATGAGAAAACTGTTCACACTCAGTAATAATCAAATAAGTAAAAAATAAAACCAAGAGTTACCATTGCTTGCCTTTCAAACTAGGACAGATGTCTGCATTCACCTCCTAGCTCGGCTGCCTCCCTACACTCCGACTCGTCCTTCCCAGCCCACTCTGCACTGCAGGTTTCTAAGATACAAATCACCCCATGTCACTCCCCAGCCTTAGCATTCCTTTAAAGGCTTCTGGATGGTAACCGGCCCCAGCAATGCTGCCTGGCACATCTGCCAGCTTGTAGTCTGACCTTTCTAGTCTTCTGTCCTAGCACTTTTCCCACGTACATCTAGGTTCCAGACATAACGAACCTGTGTGGTCGTTTCGAGAACTACTTCCCGCCTTGGTGCCTTCACCCGTGCTGCTCCCCGTCCTGGAAGGCCAACCTTCATTCTCATCCTATTCCTTCAGGAAGCCCTCCCTGATGCTGCTGGGCTCCTTTGGCTGTCCTCCCTCATGTTCCCATTGCACCCTGCATTCCAGTGTCATGGCCCCAAGCACACGATATTATGATCACTTGTCTTTCTCTTCCTCTGGACTATGGGCTCCTCTGGGGAGGGACTATGCCTCAATAGCCTCAGCATTCTACCCAGAGCCATGTACGAATGTAATGTGTATGAATATGTATGATGATTAAATGGATGGGTGATGTATGAGCACGGCCATGAGCAAGCTGACGTGAGAGACAACTGAGAATGGGCCAGGTGAGGGTGGGCGCCTTACCTCCCGCAGGGCATTCTGGGCCGCATAGTACCAAGCCCGACTCACGAGCGAGGCCTCTTTCTGATCTGACAGAGGCAGGAAGCTCAGAATATATGTGAGTATCTGAGGGAAAAAGACAGGGCATTGGGGGCCGTTAGAGCTGGGGGCCTTCGGAACTTTCTCTAGCTGATAGCACACTAGGCCTGAGGGGACTACAGCACTGGTTTCTAATTCGTCTTGGACCTTAAGCTTCACACAGTCTTCATGTCCCCTCTTCACCTCCCAAGTATCTTTACTGTGAACAAACCTTTCCTCAGCACTGTCTGGATGTGGGTTTGTACAGACTGATAAATATCAAACTTCCTGCCCAGTTTGGTAAAAAGAGCTTGGTCATTGAGACCAGATGAACCTAATTCAAATCGTTATTCTATCAACTGACTTCTCTGAGCCTATTTTCCTTATCTGTGAAATGGCAATTGTAGTGACATTTAAATGGGTTATTCTGAGAATTAAATAACAGTAACGTGTCTTGTGTAGGATCTAGACCACGGCAAGTTAGGTGCTCCTCCTCGGATTTTCAGGAAGCTATACTCCTTCCTTCTGCCCTCATAGGTCAGGCTCTGGGAACCCAGTCCTTTCCCATCTTCTCGACTGCCAACTTGCCTTCTCAGCTGGTAAGATATGATTCCTAGCAAGACACAGCTCAGGAGGCCCAGGCCCTCACTCCACTTATGCTCTGTGAGGCTGGGGAGATGAGGTTGGAGGCCCTATTACAGGGAACTGGGAAGGGAGTCATTTGTGAGTCCAGGAATGATGGAATATCAACTCTTCTTCTATCTTCCTTCTTTAACTCTCGTGACACTGTTTTCTAGGGCTCCACTCACCACTCCAATTGCCCTGTTCCTGGATTCTTCTATGGTCCCCAGGGCTTGAACCTGGGTCTTTTAATGTTTCCTTTCTAGGATAAATTCATTTGCATGGCTTCAACAGTTACCACTATAGGGATAACCAACAATTCACTATCCCCATGTTGTCTTATTCATGTGCTAGTCCAGAGTTGCCAGCTGGCCACAGATTCCTTCATCCAAATATTTTACCATCACCTTCATCTCAACCAGAATTCATATTCTGCCCTCAGTCCAAAGCAGCCCCACCTCACAACTTTCCAGCACCTGAGTTTCAATCCCAGCAGTGCGTCTCATCTTAAGATTGTGATAATACTTTGTACTCATCATATTCATCTGTCCCTTCCTCTCAGATACAAGTGTAAAACATAGGCTTTAGACAAGGCTAACTTAAACTCATTCAAATGCCAGCTCTAGTACTTTCTAGCTGTGTAACTTGTGTGACCTCAGGCAAGGTGCTTGACTTTTCTGAGCTTCAGTTTCCATACCTATAAAATAGGGATATTAGAAAATCTAGGTCATAGTCTTATGGGGGATTAAATTATATATAATCCACCCTGGCCGGTGTGGCTCAGTGGATTGCACGCGGGCTTGTGAACCAAAAGGTCACCAGTTTGAGTCCCAGTTTAACAAAAAAAAATTATGTCTATAATTATGTATATATATTTGATATGATGTGCTTGACATCTAGTAGGTGGTCCATAAATGGTTGTTGGATTGCTGTTACCGATACTTCTACTTTTGAAACTTTACTTCGTAGCTCAGATTCTCATCATTCAAACCTGGATTCTTTTCACTGTCTTCCACCTGAACCTCCTGCCTCCAGGCTCATCCTTGCTAATCATCCTGCACACTGCAGCAGGGTTAATTTTTCTAAGCAACAGCTTTCAGTCTCAGCACGCTTCTGATGAAAACCTTCAGGGCATCCCAGTACCCTAAGGACACAATCTCCACTCTTGCATCAGCACTTCCAGGCCTCCATGCCCCGCTGGACCCTTGCTCCAAGAGCTTCCCCAATCCAGTCTCTCCACTGTCCTAGGAACACAGCATGTCTATTTCCTTTGCCCCTGTGGGCCTCTTTCCTGGAATGCCCTTCCTTAAGCTGTTCTCATCAGCCCATTCTCATCTCCTCTTCTCTCATTCCTAGCACACAAAAGGTGCTCAGCCAATACTTACTGCATTGAATTAAGGATGGATAGTCCTCTACCTCTATTTTCACCAAAGGTTTGCTCAGGGTGGAGAGAGAAAGCAGATCAATTATTGTGGGCAAGACTGGGGAGAATAACCTTCTGGGTGAGGGAGGTTAGACATGGGGAAGAGAATACTAATGGGGACTTGGAATGACCAAGCCCCCAACCCCATGGGGAGGCAGGGAAACCTGTCTGAGCTGAGATAAGATAGTGCCCATCCTATCTTCTGGTACTCAACAGCCAGCCCAAGATCAAAGGTGGAGGGCAAAAAACCCATCCTCACTCAGGGGATTCTTTGAGCTGAGAAGGGGAATGGTCCTTCTAGAGGGATCTGGGAGACAGTGATAAGGCTGGAGTGGCCATCCCATGAACCCCATCCCAAGGGGCTACTAGAGATGTGCTTGGTCATTCCTGGGATCTATGAGGATGAAGTAGATAACCTTTGGGGCCAAGAGGAGAAAGGATGCCATGGCAGGGGGCTCAACAGGGTGGAAGCAGTCCTATTTTTGCTAAGGGGAAGGAGAGCCATTCCAGGGCTGATGGGGAAAGGATGCCCTGTCTCCTGTGGGCAGCAGGAAGGGGTGGTAAACTCTCAAGAGCACGAAGTATGGAGAGGCCACCCCAAGAATCTAGTGGGGACAAACCCTGTTAACCTCTCTGAACAATGGCAGCTGAGAAGTCTTGTTCCAGGCTAAGGAGGAGGAGCAAACATCCCTTGAGGCCAAGGAGGTAGGACGGCCATCACTGGGGGCGGAGGGAATGGGGAGCAGGCCTGTCTTCGATGACAGAACTCTGCGACCGAGCCCGGAGTTGATGGGAGGGGCAGTCTGTCTCCCACCACCAGAAGTAGGGGACAGCCATCTCTCGGGGTGGAGGTAACGGAACGATCATCCCAAGGGGCCAACGGGGATAAGATCGGTTACCCTTCGGGGACGACGGGATGGAACAGACATCTTCCAGAACTGAGGGGGAGGGGCGGCCATCTCAAGAAAAGGTGGCTAGGCAGAGGTAGGTGAGGTGACAGGACAGCCATCTCCTGGGCCCGATGGGGAAGAAAAGGATGCCCCTCAACTAAGGGGATGGAGTGGCCCAAAGGTGGGGCCGTTACCCATAGCTTGCGGATCCTATGATCTCCCGGGCAAGTCGTTTCCGCCTAGCAGGCGGGACCCGGTGAACCGTCTGACAGCCCCTCCCCACAGCCCTGGACCCCGAGGGCGGGGCCTGTCCCGAGCTAGGCCTGAGGGTGGCCTCCTCTCACCTCCAGGGGCAGCGACTCCGCCATAGCATCCCTGCCGCCTCCGCCCCCGCGAAAGGCATCTGGGAAGTGTAGTCTCCCGGCTCTAGGGGCAGGGCTATGGAAGGAAGTGGACCACTCACTTCCGTCCCGGCTGTGACGATTTGGGTCTGCACCGGAAGTGCCTATGCTGCCGATGTGGTACCTAGTGACTGTGGTATCCTTCGCTCTCTCGTTTCCCGGGCTGGATATTTGCGTCGCGCCATGGCGGTAAGGAGGGCGGGTAGGGCGGGGTCCGCATCGCCAAAGCGCTCCGGGGCCGGGAGGCTGAAAACAGTGGAAGGACATCTAGAGAAGTGGGTCGGCCAAATGGAGGCGCCATTCAGTGGCCTGACTGCACTAGAGCGAAGCGGGTGGAAGGGAGCGGCGCAGAACCGTACCAGAACTGGTGCCGGAGTAGGGGTGGGCATCAGTGTAAGAGTCCAGAGTTGGCCAACGATCTGAGGGGCCTGAAGGATCAGCCGAGATCTGGTCTACTCCAGCGGAGGCCATAGAAGGGCGCACTCTTCAACGCTGCACCGGAGTTCGCCTTGAAGGGTTCGTAAGCCCAAAGCTGGACCTTACGAGGGTAGCCAGGCGATATCAGCTTAGTGCTTCATTCGAGGGTGTGCAGGAGGCGATCATAGCCAGGTTTGTTGGAAAGATGATTTCAACCTTAACCAGGATCGACTGGAGGAGGCTGGACATCCCAAGGATTGTGCTAGGTTTAAGTACTGGCTGAGGTGCAACCGGAACTCTAGCAAACCAGGCTGGTGGGGAGGATGAGGACCTTGCTCAGGAAGGCTCTGACAAGCATCTCATTATCCTTCTGCAGCCCAAGGGCAAAGTGGGGACAAGAGGGAAGAAGCAGATATTTGAAGAGAACAGAAAGACCCTGAAGTTCTACCTGCGGATCATATTGGGGGCCAATGTAAGTGCCTGCCTCCTTGTTTCTGTGCCCACCCAAGATCCCACAGTCCTCAGCCCTGGCGCGGCTGTGGTTGTGGTGGTGGTGGTGGTGGTGGTGGTATATGAGAGTCAAGGCTCCAGAAGAAAACTAATTTAAAAAAAAATGATTAGATCCTGTACAGAAAAAAAAATATTGAGTAGTCAAAACAAAACAACAAATTGAGGATGGACTTGAGAGCCCTTACCATCCCAAATACAGAGGCTTCCTTCCTACGCTGATGTGTCAGAGAATAGTCTGGGTACTCAGGACTTGGGGAGAAGACTCCTTTTTCCCCCACTCTATGAGAAACAACCTGTCTCCTTCCACAGCCTGGTCTCTTGGTCAGAGTCAAGGGAGGTCCATGGTTTAGGGTAGCTTTGGATCCCAGCCTGATCCTGTGTCTACTTGCAGGCCATTTACTGTCTCGTGACCTTGGTCTTCTTCTACTCATCTGCCTCATTTTGGGCCTGGGTAAGTGTTCCCCATTCTGGGAAATGGGTGAGCACATAGGGTCAGTGGCTGGCCTTTGATATCCCCATTCTTGTTCTGTAGATGGCCTTGGGCTTTAGTCTGGCAGTATATGGGGCCAGCTACCACTCTATGAGCTCAATGGCACGGGCGGCCTTCTCTGAGGATGGGGCCCTGATGGATGGTGGAATGGACCTCAACATGGAGCAGGGCATGGCAGAGTGAGTGTCCCCCGCTGCCAGCCCAGGTGAGCGGCCCCAGGGCTGTGGTGCTGGGGCCCAGATAGCCCAAGACCCACAGCTGCCTGCAACTCGAAGAGGGTGGGAGCTGAATTGTGGCTCATCTACTATATTTGGCCCTTGAAGTCTCCCTTCTCTCCACAGGCACCTTAAGGATGTGATCCTATTGACAGCCATTGTGCAGGTGCTCAGCTGCTTTTCCCTCTACATCTGGTCCTTCTGGCTTCTGGTACGTGGGTTGTTGGACTCCCAAGGAGGGGCTGGGGCATCTAACCCTTCTCCTTTCATTTCCTGAACCTGGCTTCAAGATACCTTTTCTCTCCTAGGCTCCAGGCCGGGCCCTTTACCTCCTGTGGGTGAATGTGCTGGGCCCTTGGTTCACGGCAGACAGTGGTGCCCCAGCGCCAGAGCACAATGAGAAAAGGCAGCGCCGACAGGAACGGCGGCAGATGAAACGATTATAGCCACTAACATTGTGACCACAGGCTGCTGGGCTCTGGATGGCTCGATCAGGCTGCATGGCCCCATGCCAGGAGTAATGAGGGCCTAGCCCAGGGGCCGAAAGCAGTCTAAGGCATAGGATTGTTGAATAAAAGGTTTAGAATGTGGCTGATGGCTGCATGGGTAATGATGAGGCATGAGGCAAGAAGAACTTACACTCTTGGAATTTTCCTTCTGCTATTGAATCAACATGGTCTATACCCTGAAAGAAGATAAAGGCTCTCGGACTGGCTAAGAAAACTTTATTATGCTCCATGTGTTCAGGGAGTTCATACACACACACACACACACACACACACACACAGCTAATACTGTTCAAGGCATTGACCATGGGCACAGTGACCCGAGGGGTTGAGAAGATGCTCAGAATTCTGCTCTGGTCCCTCCTCACTCTATAGTCTTTTGCATGCAGCCTGTGGCCCAGGTAGATATCCTGGAGGCAGCACCTTCACACCTCCAGGCCAGGTCCTTTGTTCAGTCCCAGTGCCTGCACCAGGTCCTCTCCGAGCCCACTCTTCAATGTCCGTCTCACTGCAGGAACAGAATAGGGTTGGAGGAGGTTGATGGGGATACAGTGGGCATGTGCATGTGGGGAGTACTCACAAGATTTGCGGTTGCCACGGGAACGCTTGCGTTCCCTAGCAGCTAAGGCACGAGGGCTGCTCTTGGTCACTGACTGCACTAGCAGGTCCATGATCTCATCTGAAGTGTCACTGGAGCCCGGGGGTTCTTCTGGTGGTACAGGGGAGGGCCCCACTGCTGTGGACATGACTGAGGAGCTGCTCTGGACCAGGCCTGAGGGAGGCGAGATAGGGAGATCAGGCCAACGTGGCCCCAAAGCAAAACCCATTCCCTCTAGTGGCCACAGGTCCCACCTCTGCTACGGCGGCTGTGCGTGGTATCCTCAGGCTTGATGGTCAGCAGACTTTTCATGCTGGCGTGACTGTCTGCATCACCCTGGCCTGGCCCACTACCTACGGCCACTGGGACAGATGGGTTGTTGGGGACTTCCCCAGCCACACCTGAGAACTTCTCTGTCTGGAGAAGGGAGGAGAATGAGCTGGGAGCCAGGGAAGGAAACCATTGGGGGTGGCAGTCAAAACGTGGAAGGGGCACCCACCTCAGTGATCATCCGTCCCCGGGTCTTGTTGCGCTCACGGTATGTGGCCCGCTTCTGCTGCTGCTGCAGCACCCGTTCCCGGCAAGTCCGGTACTCCAGTGCAAACTCGCGCAGCGTGTGGCAGAACTGCATGATGCGCACTTCCTGGGCTGCCTGTGCCGTGTACCCCAGGTACAGCAAGAAGGCATGGAACCTAGGCAGGGCAGGATAGGAGGGGATGGTGTGTCCTGCTTGGGTGTGAGGGACAGTGGTGGCGGGCCTGCCTCTCGGGATCATGATCTCACCTGTTGCAGACACGGCGGTGTACTACTCGCAGCATAGCAACACGTCGGGCACAGTGGACCAGGAAGTGGGTGAGGCGCGCACGCAGGGCTGGGGCCAGCTCATGCTTGGCCAAGCTCCGCAGACTCTCCTCTGCCGCTCGGCTTCGGTGCTCCAGCTGCCCCAGGTTCTCAGTCAGCTGCTCAAAGTCCACCTAGAAAAGCAGGGGAGTACACAGGCTGTCCCCAACTGCCTGAGGCTGCCTCTGATATGATGGTCAGCCTGGGCCATAGGGACACAGACAAGATCCAGTCCCTGGCCTCCAAAACTGAACAGTCTACTGTAGGATACAGACGTGTCCGTTTGATCCAGTGGGGAATAGAGATTTCTTGGGGGAGATGGCAGCTAAACTGAGACCCAAAGACTGAGTAGGTGTTGCCAGGCATTTCTGGCAGAGGAGAGCATTTCTGACAGAGGACACAGCCCATACAAATACCTGTAGCTGAGCAAGCCCTGGCACAGCAGCTGAAATAGGGAGGAGGGGAGAAGCCAGCCCCAGGCAGCAGCACTCCCTCTCGGCATGGCCAGCCTCATTGAAGCCTCTGGCTGGTGCTAACCTTGGCACAGCGGGTCAGGGCAGGGATTTCTGAGTAGAGGTCAGAGGAATCGGGCCGCGTCTGGAGCACCAAGGAGCAGAGATGGTACAGCAGTGACTGCCTGCGCACGGTGTCCTTCACCTCTGACACCTTCTCCAGGTAGCTCAGCTCAAAGCCACTGCTCTGAAAGGACTTTGTTTGAGTCTGGGCCTGGCTGGCTCCAGAGCCTGGCCCCCAGTCCCCATGTGCTATCACTCACCTGGGAGCCATTGAGGAAGTTGCCCACAGCCAGCAGGGTGGCTAGGATGCAGCGGAAGGTGGCATTTTGCACCAGCTGTCCCATGCCCACTTTCAGGTCGTACAGTGGCTCTGCGATTTCCTGGTGTGGGAAGCCAGGGACTCTTAGACTACATGGTTAGCATGCTCACCACTGCCTGTCCCATCCCATGACCCAGGTACCCGTTCCATGCCGTCATAGTCCAGCTTGAAGGCCCAGAGTTGTAGGCGGGCAGCCAGGCCCCCAATGGAGGCAAGAGTCATCAGGAAAGTCTCAGCTGGGCCCAGAGGTATGTCAGGATTGGCCAACTGGGCCTCCTCGATCTTCTGCCGCTCCTCCTCTGTGGGCATCATGGTCAATAGTTTCTGAGGACACAACCACCACCCCACATAGACCACTCAGTGCTGGCCTGGGGTCTCAAGTGTTGGTCTTGACTCCTTCCCTAGGCTTTCTGGGGGAGCCACAGGGCCTAGGGACTGCTCTGCCAAGCCCATGCCCACCACTAGAGGGACAGGAAATACCCCCACTGACCAAAGGAGAGAGCTAGACCTCCCATCTCCCTTTGACACCCCCAGCTGGGTATCCCTACCTCAATGCCATCCTTGCTGACAGCAAACTCATCAAAGTTGAGCAGGGCAGCCTTAATGACGTGCACAGGTGGCAGTGTGGTTAGGCCAATGTTGATAGCGTTGCTGCGCTTGGGGTCCAGCACTGTGGTCAGTGTCCGGCGGCCCTCACCAGCTTTCTTTGAGGTTGGAGGAAAGGCAGTGTGAGATTGGGTAGGGATTAGCTGGGGCAACAAGCTAAAAGGGCACTCCAAGACCCTTGTCTAAATGGCCAAATGCTAGGGTCACCCCCCAACCAGGGACCTGGGATGTTTAAGGCCTTGGGATGAGCTTAGATGCTGGCTTGGGCGCTGCTGATCCCCTGCTGAGAGGTCTCACACAAGTCCCCACGCCATTCTTAGCCTCAGTTTCCCCACGTGGGAAATGAGTGGCAGCCCCAGCAGTTAGGCCCGAGCTCTGATTCCCTCCCCTCTCCCCGTGGGTTGCCTTGCAGATGAAGGTGCGTTTACCTTGGAAGGTAGCATGTCCTTGGCACGGGACTCAAACAGGTGTTCCAGCCGGGCTGTGTCCACTGAGACAGGCTCCAGGGAGGCCCACAGGGTGGAGCAGGGCCCAAAGCGGCTCCCTGAGACTCCGGGGTCCCCAGCCAGCTTTAGCTCCCGCCAGAAGAGTTTCACTGTCTTCCTCTTGGTGGGGAGGGCTGAGCTGCCAGGCACTGGGGGGGGTAGAGGGGCAGCTGGGGGTGGAGGTGGTGGGAGGGGGCCTTTGATGGGTGGGGGAGGTGGGGGTGGAGGAGGTGGGGGTCCTCCTGAGAACAAGGGCAGTGGGGGTGGTGAGGGTGGGACCCCTTTCCTGGCGTCCATAGACTCCGTGTTCAGCATGTCCTGGTCTTCGTCCTCCCCCAGATCTGAGAAGTCCAGGTCCCCAATGCAGAGCTTGGGAACACGGGTAGGGAGCTCCTGGATGGGTTCAGCCTTGGGACTTGGTGGGGCCAGTGGCTCCTTGGGCTCTGGCTCAAGGCTCTTCTGGGCCCGAAGAAGGACTCGGGGTGGAGGGCTCTGGGGTGTTCTGGGTGCAGGGACTAGTTCAGGGGAACCCCATAGTTCCCGGGTCTCTAAAAAAAGAGAAGCGACCGTCAGTGTCATGCCCTCTGGGGAGCAATAAGGAGACGTGGATAGATCCTGCCCACACGCCTACTCACCTGGGCGCCCATCAGCCTCGTCAGGCACTGCCTTAGCTAATATCTCTGCCCGGCCCTGGGCCAGTGCAGTCTGCTTCTCTGTTTCTGTCGCTGCCACATTCTCCAGGAACCGGGCTCTGGGGGGAGGCACTTGTCAGTGAGGTTGTCTGACACATCCCAGCCCAGGGTGGCGCACATGCTGGGCCCCTGGGCACTGCCTCTAATTGCAGGCACACACAGACACACAGGACAGACCATGCGCTGAGCAGGCCCAGGACCCGAACACCCAAGGACAGCCCCTGTTCAATCCTCCACATCTGCGGAAGGTCATTTCCAGCCCAGCATTCCCAGGTCAACATGAAGAGAGAAAGAAGTTCTACTTAATGTCTAACTAGCAACCTTGCCGTTCATGTTAATTGTTCTGATTCTAGACAAGGGCCGTTGGAGCAAAGGAAGGGGATAGATGTCTCAATGGCACACCAACTTGTCCCTCCCTTGGCAGGTCTGCAGTTTCTGAGAGCTATGATCTATGCCCAGAAAGGAGCCTGGTAAATGACCTGCACTCAGTTTATGTTGAAGTAATGAATGTGATCCAGTCTCTTTTTTGGCCCCTCCAGCTTCTGTTGGCCCTCAGTCCCTGCCCTTACCTTAGCCCTAGGTTGCTCCTCCACCTTCACAACACACAGCACCCTAGACTCCCTCCCTGCCCTGTTCCTGGCCTGAGGACATGGGAGAATAGGTTCCAGTTTGGGAGTCATGTCCTCATCTCCACTCAAAGCTATTAAGTTGTCACTATTGAAGCACAGGGACGACTATGACACCACTGAGCTAATCCCAGTGTGTAGGCCTTAGGTAACCGAGGAGGAATGCGTATGGGAGAGAAGGGGCCTGAGAGTCCCCCAGCTCTGGCTGCAACAGGCAAGTGGAACCCCCGCTGCGGGAAGCAATGCTGAAGCCATGAGCACATGGCAGGCCTGGCAGGCTAGCTTCTGTACTTACTCCAGCCTGGCCTGCCCAGTAGGGGACTGGGGGGCAGGTGGGCTCTCAGGGGCCCTGGGTGGGGGGGATGAGAGAAGAGATAGTAATTGTGGTGCCTGTTCCACCCCGAAGCCCTGCTGCTCACACCCACACGGAGCTGGGCAGTGCTATCAGGGATTCCTTCCCAGCCACAGTGGGAAGAGGAGGGGGTTGGGGAAGACATGACAAAAGGAAACTATAAATGGAGGGGAGAGGCTGACAT